AATGGTGGGGTAAGAAATTTCATTTTCAAAAATTGTCTGAAATGTCACGAAAAAATTGTCAGACACTACAAGTTCATTGTCGACACAGTTGCCTTCAATAGCGTGTATGACCTTCAGCTGCCTCAATGCATGCTGTGATACGCCGCCTCATCGATGACGTCAGTCTTCTGATGACGTGGACTGGAATCCTTTGCCACTCGTCTCTCAGGGCCTGCTGCAATTCTTGTCCATTGATGGGAGGCTGATGGCGTGCTCTATTCTGTCTGTCTAGATGGTCCCACAGATGTTCAATAGGATTTATATCGGGTGAGTGGGCAGGCCAGGGCAAAACGTCAATGTTCTGCTGGTTTAGAAAGTTCCGAGTTAGTCTTGCAGTATTTGGCCTGGCATTGTCGTGTTGACACAATGCCCCCTGCTGTTGGCTTTGTAAGAACGGAAGCACAATTGGCTGCAACGCTTGGTCTCTGTACTGCACAGCGTTCAGGTTTCCCTGTATAATCACCAAATCAGTCTTCTGATCTCCACTAATACCGCCCCACACCATGACACCTCCCCCGCCGAATGGATGGACCTCTCAAATACACGCCGGAGCCAAACGTTCCCCTCTACGTCGATAAACTCCTTCTCAGCCGTCATTTCGAGTTAAACCGACTTTCATCAGTAAACAGCACTCGACGCCAATTTCTCACTTGCAAGCGTCGAACCTGCCTCGCCCATCGCAGTCTCAGGCGTCGATGTTTAGCAGTCAGTACCATTCCTCGGAAAGGACGATATGCTCGGATTTCAACAGCTAAAGTCGTCGTAGTACTGTACGTTGGCTAATGGGATGTCCCAACGCTGTTGCTGCCGTCGCCGTCGCCGTTACGAATCTGTTTCGCAGGTGAATGAGCCGAATCTGACCGTCTTCCAGTGGTGTTGTCACTCAGGGTCGTCCGGTTCTAGGCCTGTCCTTTGTCCTCCCTGTCTGCCTGTACCGTTGAATCAGCCTGGCTACTGTCAATGGTGTAGAACCAAACCTTCTGGCAATTTGGACCTGTGTTGCCCCCATTTTGGCCATACCGATGGCTCTCTCTCTCTGCTCCTGTGACAGTCGTGGCTTTCATCACGTGTGGTTATACCCTGCGGACGAACGCATTTTTACAGCTAACATGCACGTGCAGTTTATGCCATTGGCGGGAAACCTGTTTCACCATTTTGTTGTCACCGCGCGAGCGCCGTCCAAGGTGGCGCGTTCGGGTTAGGTGTTTTTTGGTACCTGTTCCTGGGCAGTCATATTCCTAATACCCACTAGTTATCGCTGTTTTTAGGAAAATTACAAATTGCCAATCTATACTTTCTTTTGCAGCTTAGTTTATTTAGACATTGTTTGGTACCATTGAATACATATAAATTCTCTATTATGATTTTATTATGTCAAAAGATATTTTCCAAATGTAAAGAATTTAGTGAAGCATTGTTGTTGGTAATAGTGAGTGAGTGAGTTGGGTTTAACGCCGCTTTTAACAGTATTCAAGTCATATCACGGCGTGTCAGCTTATTGTGGGAGGAAAGCCTGAAGTGATGCAGGTCTCAGACGTTTACCACTTCGGTGAAACCCACGAGCACGGGTATGGTGCTGATAAACCTAGAAACATAATCGGGGCGAACCGGGATTCGAACCCACAATAATAGGTTTCTGGAGTGCCCAAGGGACGCAACTCTGCACAGCGAATCGCGGCGCCTTAGACGACTGGGCCACCCGTGCCCCCGTTGTTGGTAATAACTTTCATGTTAAATGTATGTTGCAAATAAGTAACCTACAGTTATTAAGTGTTCATTTAATTAATCTGTTAATAAAAAAACACTTTGTTCATTTTATTATTTTACTGTTCCAATGTAAACAACAAGGTCCATGTTTGCTATAGCTGTTAGTATTGATATTGTCAGATGTTATCCGTGGCGAATCAATGGTAAAGTGTATATACTTTTATAACTATTGTGTATTATCATGCAGTCTCGTGTGTCTGTCGACTGCTAATAAACATTTGTGGCCTGACATTTCTTCTGTTTATTTGCAGCCTGCACGGTTAAGGGGTCTAACAATATCGGATATTTACTCGAAGAATTAAATTTAAAAAATAACATTTTAGTGATCACGGGTATCTGTTTTTCATCAAATCACTAATGATAATTCTGAAACGTCGCCGATAAGCCTGGTTTTCGTTTTGAATGTTTTGGAAAATACACGAACGCCGAAGTGTATTCGCTCCGCCACATTGGATTGTGTTTACAAAATGCCGGTTATGAGATGCCTATTAGATCACGTATATTTCAAACTCAGCTGCGATAAATGCATCCCTGAATTAATGAATCAGATGACAAATGGTCTTTGTCACCAATGCAAATTATGTAAATGAAATCAAGCGAAATAGATTATGTGTGGAAATGAACAATGCGCGGAAAACTGAAGACAAAGCAAAATTCAGATTTTACACTGTGGAGCATTTTTAGAGGTGTTTTCGTCTAATAGTTGGAAACATTGGCTCGATCGCACGTTTGAGAATATTCATGGGAAGAGTATCGTGCACGAATTATGGAATTTGCACATATATACATTACAATGATTTGGTAAATTCAACAGAAATCGTACACGTGTCCGTCCTGTGTGATGCCATGACTGACGCAAAGACAACGACAGCGGTATTTATCTGCATTTCTGACTAAATCTCTTGGTTGAATTGGAAAAAATGAAACAAATAACAGTACGCAGATTGTCAGAAAGTTTCTGATTACTTACATGACACATTTATATACATACGATCCCTCCATCAATGGAAATCATCCTCTGGAAATACCGGGTACTGTTGTCAGTGACCACGCCATTTTGTAAAAGTCGGTCACCGGTAGTGAAGTAAACATTGTACATATTTGGTAATTTCTTTGAGGTGAAAACTGTTTATTCGGTATCCAGCGTGTTCTTTGTTTTTGTCAAGTTTGCATTATCATCATCGCCTTTATAATAAAAAGATGTGGCGGAAACCTTTTTGTGTAGGGTCACTTTATATATGCGTAGAAAGCAGTACGTCGGATGACGTCACTCATGGCCGTAGTGTTATGTATTAATGCGCTACTGCGATCATGAGAATAGACAAAATCCATCAAGTCGATACTAAAAAGATGGAATTTTAGGGTGGGTAAGAAACAGATTACTGCACTCGTGCCTGTCAGATACCATTAAAATTACAACTCGTTGTTACAAAGCGTATTTACTCGCTTTCGCTCGTTAGGTACGTTTGGAAACAACTCGTTAAAAGATCAATGGTATCTGACAGACACTCGTGTAGTAATCTCTATGTCCTTCAACAATTGCCCTGTAACTGTAAGAAACCATTCAACATGTAAGATCAACATCTAACGAAACATCACTTTTCTTTCCACAAATGTCCCCGTGACAGTAAGTTACCATTCAACATGTAAGGTCAACATCTAACGAAACATCACTTTTCTTTCCACAAATGTCCCCGTGACAGTAAGTTACCATTCAATATGTAAGGTCAACATCTAACGAAACATCACTTTTCTTTCCACAAATGTCCCCGTGACAGTAAGTTACCATTCAACATGTAAGGTCAATATCTAACGAAACATCACTTTTCTTTCAACAAATGTCCCCGTGACAGTAAGTTACCATTCAACATGTAAGATCAACATCTAACGAAACATCACTTTTCTTTCAACATATGTCCCTGTAACTGTAAGAAACCATTCAACATGTAAGGTCAACATCTAAAGAAACATCACTTTTCTTTCAACATATGTCCCTGTAACTGTAAGAAACCATTCAACATGTAAGGTCAACATCTAAAGAAACATCACTTTTCTTTCAACATATGTCCCTGTAACTGTAAGAAACCATTCAACATGTAAGGTCAATATCTAAAGAAACATCACTTTTCCTTCAACATATGTCCCTGTAACTGTAAGAAACCATTCAATATGTAAGGTCAACATCTAAAGAAACATCACTTTTCTTTCAACAAATGTCCCTGTAACTGTAAGAAACCATTCAACATGTAAGATCAACATCTAAAGAAACATCACTTTTCTTTCAACATATGTCCCTGTAACTGTAAGAAATCATTCAACATGTAAGGTCAACATCTAAAGAAACATTACTTTTCTTTCAACATATGTCCCTGTAACTGTAAGAAACCATTCAACATGTAAGGTCAACATCTAAAGAAACATCACTTTTCCTTCAACATATGTCCCTGTAACTGTAAGAAACCATTCAACATGTAAGGTCAACATCTCACGAAACATCACTTTTCTTTCAACAAATGTCCCTGTAACTGTAAGAAACCATTCAACATGTAAGATCAACATCTAAAGAAACATCACTTTTCTTTCAACATATGTCCCTGTAACTGTAAGAAATCATTCAACATGTAAGGTCAACATCTAAAGAAACATTACTTTTCTTTTAACATATGTCCCTGTAACTGTAAGAAACCATTCAACATGTAAGGTCAACATCTAAAGAAACATCACTTTTCCTTCAACAAATGTCCCTGTAACTGTAAGAAACCATTCAACATGTAAGATCAACATCTAAAGAAACATCACTTTTCTTTCAACATATGTCCCTGTAACTGTAAGAAATCATTCAACATGTAAGGTCAACATCTAAAGAAACATTACTTTTCTTTTAACATATGTCCCTGTAACTGTAAGAAATCATTCAACATGTAAGGTCAACATCTAAAGAAACATTACTTTTCTTTTAACATATGTCCCTGTAACTGTAAGAAACCATTCAACATGTAAGGTCAACATCTCACGAAACATCACTTTTCTTTCAACAAATGTCCCCGTGACAGTAAGTTACCATTCAACATGTAAGGTCAACATATAAGGAAACATCACTTTTCTTTCAACAAATGTCCCTGTAACTGTAAGTTACCATTCAACATGTTAGGACAACCATGTAAGGTCAGCTTCTAAAGAAACATGACTTCTACCTGACACTGGGGCATGGAACACTCCGGAGGTTGGATTGTAGCCCTTCCCGATGTTTGCTTCGCATTTGTCAAATATCACCGTACTGTGAATCCCATAGGTTTTGATCTTGGACAGCGACGCTTTGAAGTAAACCAAACGGCCTGAAAATAAAAAAAGGTTGATGTTAACACATCAGTTGTGACATTGCGTTTGGAAGTATATGTTGTTGTGTTTTTTTACAAAAACCTGCTGCGTCGAGTATGTAAGAGAATATTTACATGTGTCGAGGCACTTGCAGCATGTACGGAAATATTTACATGTACCGAGGCACTTGCAGCATCTACGGAAATATTTACATGTACCGAGGCACTTGCAGCATGTAAGAAAATATTTACATGTACCTAGACAGTTGCAGCATGTACGGAAATATTTACATGTACGAGGCACTTGCAGCATGTACGGAAATATTTACATGTACCGAGACACTTGCAACATTTACGGAAATATTTACATGTACCGAGACACTTGCAGCATCTACGGAAATATTTACATGTACCGAGGCACTTGCAGCATGTACGGAAATATTTACATGTACCGAGACATTTGCAGCATGTACGGAAATATTTACATGTACCGAGGCACCTGCAGCATGTAAGAAAATATTTACATGTACCTAGACAGTTGCAGCATGTACGGAAATATTTACATGTACCGAGGCACTTGCAGCATGTACGGAAATATTTACATGTACCGAGACACTTGCAACATTTACGGAAATATTTACATGTACCGAGACACTTGCAGCATCTACGGAAATATTTACATGTACCGAGGCACTTGCAGCATGTACGGAAATATTTACATGTACCGAGACATTTGCAGCATGTACGGAAATATTTACATGTACCGAGGCACTTGCAGCATGTACGGAAATATTTACATGTACCGAGACATTTGCAGCATGTACGGAAATATTTACATGTACCGAGGCACTTGCAGCATGTACGGAAATATTTACATGTACCGAGACATTTGCAGCATGTACGGAAATATTTACATGTACGAGGCACTTGCAGCATGTACGGAAATATTTACATGTACCGAGGCACTTGTAGCATGTACGGAAATATTTACATGTACCGAGGCACTTGCAGCATGTACGGAAATATTTACATGTACCGAGGCACTTGCAGCATATACGGGAATATTTACATGTACCGAGGCACTTGCAGCATCTACGGAAATATTTACATGTACCGAGACACTTGCAACATGTACGGAAATATTTACATGTACCGAGGCACTTGCAGCATGTACGGAAATATTTACATGTACCGAGGCACTTGCAGCATGTACGGAAATATTTACATGTACCGAGGCACTTGCAGCATGTACGAAAATATTTACATGTACCGAGACATTTTCAGCATGTACGGAAATATTTACATGTACCGAGGCACTTGCAGCATATACGGGAATATTTACATGTACAGAGGCACTTGCAGCATCTACGGAAATATTTACATGTACCGAGACACTTGCAACATGTACGGAAATATTTACATGTACCGAGGCACTTGCAGCATGTACGGAAATATTTACATGTACCGAGGCACTTGCAGCATGTACGGAAATATTTACATGTACCGAGGCACTTGCAGCATGTACGAAAATATTTACATGTACCGAGACATTTTCAGCATGTACGGAAATATTTACATGTACCGAGGCACTTGCAGCATATACGGGAATATTTACATGTACAGAGGCACTTGCAGCATATACGGGAATATTTACATGTGTCGAGGCACTTGCAGCATGTACGGAAATATTTACATGTACCGAGACACTTGCAGCATGTACGGAAATATTTACATGTACCGAGGCACTTGCAGCATATACGGGAATATTTACATGTACCGAGGCACTTGCAGCATGTACGAAAATATTTACATGTGTCGAGGCACTTGCAGGATTTACGGAAATATTTACATGTACCGAGACACTTGCATCATGTACGGAAATATTTACATGTACCGAGGCACTTGCAGCATGTACGGAAATATTTACATGTACCGAGGCACTTGCAGCATTTACGGAAATATTTACATGTACCGAGGCACTTGCAGCATATACGGAAATATTTACATGTACCGAGGCACTTGCAGCATGTACGGAAATATTTACATGTACCGAGACACTTGCAGCATTTACGGAAATATTTACATGTACCGAGGCACTTGCAGCATGTACGGAAATATTTACATGTACCGAGGCACTTGCAGCATCTACGGAAATATTTACATGTACCGAGACACTTGTAGCATGTAGGGAAATATTTACATGTACCGAGACACTTGCATCATGTACGGAAATATTTACATGTACCGAGGCACTTGCAGCATTTACGGAAATATTTACATGTACCGAGGCACTTGCAGCATGTAAGAAAATATTTACATGTACCGAGACACTTGCAGCATGTACGGAAATATTTACATTTACTGGGGCACTTGCAGCATATACGGGAATATTTACATGTACCGAGGCACTTGCAGTGTGTAGAAAATATTTACATGTGTCCAGGTACTTGCAGCATGTACGGAAATATTTACATGTGTCGATGCACTTCCGTTATTCATTTGTGATTATGATCAAACGATACACCATGACAGGCAAGAAGTTTGCACAAGTTTCAAAATTTACAAAGCACTAACCTTTGGCACCCTGGGCGTCATGGCACAGCACCATACAGAAAAACATGAGAGCGTATACACTGAAACCCATGATGCGTTTCACTGATCACCGCACTATACCTGTATGGGATTTGCTATGACTTTATATATAGCAAGTGATTCCATAGCATTTGCTTATCTAACCAATCACTTTTGTTTACGTTCATGTTCCGTACATCTAGCGGACAGCTGCGTCCTGACTGGCAAATAATAGAATGGTATATGTTTCTGTTTAAAATGTATTTTTGGAAACGTCCTGGGAGCCCTATCAGAGAGCAGAAGAAAATGTAAATTGTGATTAGTTAATAATTATTATATTACAATATGACTACCGTCATACCTTAAATTCCTAGTACCTCAACATATCGACGAAAACATAACATATAACCTTAGAGCTGCTCATAATATATTTTAACTATGCCTTTACAACGTAAATTCTTTTCTGAATCCTCTTTTATACCATCCTCTTTTAAATTGTGGAACACATTACTTATTCAACAAAGGAAGATTTAAACCTTCTATCGATCTTAATCCAGAACAAAAAGAAACAAATAAATCTACAGACCCTTATGTCTCCTATGTTCTCATAAAAAATACATAGAAAATATAGACATGGTGATAGTGAATTAAAAATGATTTAGAAAAAGTTGAAACGGGGATCCTAAATGCCGATGTGGCAACCCATTTGAAAATGCACATCATTTGTTTTCATAAAGTGTACATTTTTTAAATTTGTTAGAAACGAACTGATGAACTCACTATTGTTATTTGTGAACGATACTTGTGATGTAAATATTGACCTGATGCTAGTTGGCAATGCAGTTTTACCTAATCAGGTGAACGAAAACATTTTCAGGAATGTACATGCATCTTTTAGGAAAACAAAAAAAGGTTTGAGTGAGCAATGTTAATGTACATACGTATCTCTGCATACATGTAAAGGGAGTGATGCTTTCTGTCACTACATTATGTGATGTCGTATCTCTAATTTCGTATTGTTGTCTACAGTTGTTTTGAATTGATGATTAAATAAGCAGACTGTGAAGTAGTTATTGTTGACTTATCTCGTTATAAGAATTTACTTCAGTAATATATTTGCACCTTTGGAGATGTAGACACGAACAACGGTGTGCCCAGTGTGCCTGGCTCAGATAAATAACTCCCATGTAGGTCATGTGTTATATCTATCATGTATTTACGCATCTGCCTCACGAGGTGAGACAAGTTTGAGGAGGTTTTATTTTGTGGGTTGATATTTACTTTGCAGTTTACGTTATGTGTTCTTGTTTTGAGGGGTTTCATATTGTTCAAAGTGCTTGCTTACCCTTGAGGGGTTTCATATTGTTCATAGTGCTTGCTTACCCTTGAGGGGTTTCATATTGTTCAAAGTGCTTGCTTACCCTTGAGGGGTTTCATATTGTTCATAGTGCTTGCCTACCCTTGAGGGGTTTCATATTGTTCAAAGTGCTTGCTTACCCTTGAGGGGTTTCATATTTTTCAAAGTGCTTGCTTACCCTTGAGGGGTTTCATATTGTTCATAGTGCTTGCTTACCCTTGCGGGGTTTCACATTGTTCATAGTGCTTGCTTACCCCTGAGGGGTTTCATATTGTTCATAGTGCTTGCCTACCCTTGGGGGGTTTCATATTGTTCATAGTGCTTGCCTACCCTTGGGGGGTTTCATATTGTTCATAGTTCTTGCCTACGCTTGAGGGGTTGGGTTTTACTAACAACAGCATCTTCTGGGTTTTCTTTATGCAGAACCCTCTCACACAGATTTCAGAAAAGCTTGGGACATGGAGAACAACATCAGGCTGGGGTGGGGCTGTGGGGTCACCCCGGGGGGGGGGGGGGGGGGGGGGGGCGTCTGTGGGGTGGGGCTGTGGGGTCACCCCGGGGTGGCGTCTGTGGGGTGGGACTGTGGCTGGCCTCGGCATGAGATAGTGGTGAACCATGAATCGATATTAAATTTGTAAACTGCCACCCCCACAGCTGTTGTAGGCTTCACTGATCAGGGTTTCAGTCGATGTGTCACACTCCACTGATCATGTATCCTCGGACCCTGCTCGGCGTATTTTAACATGGAAATAGGGATATTTTTCTGATACCATTTCAGAGGTACGGGAATTGTCCACAATGTCAAAATTATTTGTAATATAACAAATATAGCATGTATGCCACTATTCTTAAATAGGAATAGTGAGTGAGTTTGGTTTTACGCCGCGTTTAGCAATATTCCAGCAATATCACGGCGGGGGACACCAGAAATGGGCTTCACCCATTGTACCCTTGTCGGGAATAGAACCTGGGTCTTTGGCGTGACGAGCGAACGCTTTAACCACAGTATATACAGTAGACAGGTTGAAGTTGATTTACGTATGCCACACACCTGTTATCCCAGATCGAATGTTTTGATACATATCAATAAAATAAATATCTCAAGTGTTGATTGTACATTTTGAATCAGGGAACTTTTCAGAAAAATGTTTCACAGAGTTGTCTTCGTTGAACATATCTGTCATGGACACATGGCAATATAAGATTGTTGATCTGAACAAGATGGAGGTGGGGTGAGGTGAAATGGGGTTTAACGTAGCGTCAAAGGTAATTGCACTTATATAGCGACGGGCATTCACGTGTGTGTGTGTGTGTGTGTGTGTGTGTGTGTGTGTGTGTGGTGTGTGTGTGTGTGTGTGTGTGTGTGTGTGTGTGTGTGTGTGTGTGTGTGTGTGTGTGTGTGTGTGTGTGTGTACTAGTCCGGACTGGTGCCGATTTATAGTGCTATCCAACTGAGGTACCATGCCGCAGTTTAACATGAATACCCCACTCAGACACAGTATACCGACACCGAGCCTACCAGTCCTTGATTAAGCCACTTAATGCCGAGCCCCAGGCAGGGTAACAACAAGTACCATCTGTTAACGTCTTTTGGTATAACGCGGCCGGGGATCAAGCCCCAGACGCTCTACCACTATCCCCCGATAAAAATATCTGAAATGCGATATAAGCCCATGTCGGTGTTATCCGTGTGGAAGAAAAACAATTTGGGTGATTAAATGTTATATGTGTTAGTACATGACTTCAGTTACGAGTATATCATCACATATTGCGAGGGGTGGTTACTGTGAGGTTAGGGGAAGCGTTCAACATGGCTTTATGAATCATCTAGGCGGACACTCCCTAAATAGATGAGATGATCATTTTAAAAGTGTAGAATCAGTTACAGGGTGCAATACTTAGACTAACATGTAGTCCCAGAAATATATATATATATATATATATATATATATATATGATGTCTACAAAATATGATATTAGATACAAATAGACAATGCTTGATTCAGTGAGACTATCCAGAATACCAAGTAGTTCTAGAATTGAGTTGGATTTATTTTGATGGGATCTAGGGGATAGCCCAGACGCAACACCAGATGGGGTTAACGTCACACATGACGTGAGCGGTGGTGGTAGGAACTGAGAGCGTATTGTGAGTTTTCCGATCACCGTCACAGATGTCGCTAATCGAGTAGTTGGTGTAATGAGAGAGGTGTTACATCCTTAACGAACTGATCAGATATCAGATATATCCCACATGTATGTTGGATGACATTTGAAAACAAGAAAAAACAACATTGTATGATCATTATGTTTTATAGAGGAGCATCGGCGCAATAATAATAATAATAATAATAATAATAATAATAATAATATTGTGAGTGGATGCCCAGCTTTGGCACAAACACAGTATCTTAAACGACATGATGGTGTAGCTCGATCATTTTATTACCGTCTTCGCCATGCTTATGGTTGTGACACAGAGCTCCATCCATGGTACGACCCGGAATATGTAGAGGGCGTCATGGAAAATGACAAATACAATATACTTTGAAATAGGCCCATTTACAGCCTTAGACGTATCCAGGCCGACAAACCTGATCTTGTGCTTTTTGATAAATCCAATGAAATCATTTATATCATTGAATTTTCTGTCCCTTTTGACACCAATGTGATTGACAAGATTGAGGAAAAATATGGCAAATATGCTTTCGAAATGTCACACTTGCATCCCAAGTACCAAGTTGTCCGACACCCCATTGTTCTCGGTGTCTTAGGTTCAGCCCTTCTGACAATCTGGGTAATGCAGAAGGATGCAGTGTAAGGGAGTCTTCACATTCTCCGAAAAGTTCTGGGTGGGTTTGACCAGGCAGAGCTTCCTGGGAGAATTCCCATTCGCTGTCTGGGCTGCGTGTAGAGGGGGCAAGGGCCCTGAGCTGATGATGAGCCTAACCAGCCTGACTGTGCCAGGATCACCTGGCTGCTTTGCTGCATTTTTTATTTTAATCTGTAAATAATAATAATAATAAGAGAAGAAGAAGAAGAAGAAGAAGAAGAAGAAGAAGTCCATTCATACTGCGCCAGATTCCATTCACCAAGTTAATGCTCATGGCACTACATAGCTTTAGCAAATAATGCCAAATGCATCAGTGAAACCTCATTGCGATTGTCAACTATTTTGGCCGCCAGGAGGTTGCATCGCGGTCGCCCTGTCTGTGTGACTGCGGCTTAAGCAAGGGAGTAGAAATAACTGGACCATTGATGGACGTGACAACTAAATACAACCACAGTAGACTACGGATATAACAAACTCAAAGAGAGCTCTAATTCTAGTTCGTTATAACCGCAGTTCGTAATAAGCATGTATACAGTATATATACAGCATATTGTCGGGACCAAACAGCAATGCCACCGCGATGCAACCACCTGGCGGCCAAAGTAGTTGACAATCGCAATGAGGATTCAGGGGTCTCTGAAAGGTTTCACTGAGGTCGCCACAAGGTTTCGGAACAGTCGCAAATCCATTCGTTCGCAATCAGTCCTTTGCACCTGCACAAAAGACTGGCTACGACCGATTTGGTCGCTCGGAGGTTTCATTGGTCTCCTAGAGGTCCCCAAGTGGTGTTATTTTAATCGCAGTTTCGTTCCACTGTGCGGCGATAGGTTTCGTTGACCCTTTGCAACCTAGAGGCGACCTGTCGGTGATTGATCAGTAATGGTGCGGTGATCGACCGGAGCTTCGTCGGTGACAACTTGCAAATAAATGATTTAATTCAGAAAAGCACCCTTTTTATATGCATTATGTTTTGATCGGTGATCGATCGACAACTAGTCACCGGCCAGTCACTGTTCAGTTGCAACAAGTCACGGAAGATTCGCGGACTAGTCACCGATCGGTCTCAACCATTTGCAAACATTTCGCCGTATCTGCGGTGAACAGTTGCCGATCGAGCACTAACAAGTTGCAAAACCTGTCGCCGATTGATCGTCGATCCTACTCTAATTCCAAATATGGGCAGAAGTAGTTGCACCGGTCTCAGCGATCGCCAGTCATTCGCAAAGGAAATCAGTCGCCAGATGTTGCATCGCGGTAGCATTGTCTGCGTGACTGTAGCTTAACTGTAATTGTAAAAGCACTTCGAAAAACAGGATTAGGACTTCAGTCTGCTATCATTAATCATTGGATCGTTTATACCAGAAACACTTCACCTTCGATTTGGCAAATATATTCTGGGAGTAAGCAAAACAACTCATAATATAAACAAGTAGAGCCGAATTACAGCAGCGAATCCTCATTGGTTTTAAAATCAATAATCAATAGAAGTCAGTCTAAATCTAATATTCTGTTCCTTCACCCACGTAATGATATATCAACTTCTGAAGGTGCGGGAAGTAAGCTCAGGACGTACAGATTTGTGAACAGGTGAAGTAAAATTAGAACCATATCTCAGTCACTGTCAACTTAGAGGTGAGGTGGAATTGGGTTTAATGTCGCGTCCAAGATTATTGCACCTATAGAGCGACGTGTATGTGTGTGTGTGTGTGTGTGGCTGCTTGTACTAGTCCGGACTGATGCCGATTTATAGTGCTAGCACACTGAGATACCATGCCGCAGTTTAACCTGAATACCCCACTCAGACACAGTATACTGACTCCGAGCCAACCAGTCCTTGTTTTAGCCCCTTAGACAGGGTAACAACACGTACCATATTTTAACGTCTTTCGGTATGACGCGGCCGGGATCGAACCCCGGACTTTCCGCTCTCCTGGCGGACGCTGTACCACTAGCCCACGGAGGCGATCCTGTCACCTTAGAAAATATCCCATTCATTTCGCTGAACAAAGTCTAAGTGACCATAAACTACATAAACTCCCCAGACCACCAGTGCCTGTAAATCAAGGACTTTCTAATGGAGCCATCACTGAAGATGAAAAACACTTATGTATATTACACTGTGCCAAACATAAACATCAAACATTTCTTCTGTATAAAGTGACAGAGACCAATAATTTGAGACAAATGGACGAAAACGATTTATGCTTATACATTTCAGCAAACAATTATGTCAACATCCATAAATTATATATGTCACCATGTTTAAAATTTCAGTCAATAATCTGCCAAATTATATATCCAACAAGACTGAGTCTTTGTGTGTTTACATCTTATATTTTGTTTCTTTACTTCTGTAAATATGTTCCAAATGTTACATGTATGTTTATATAAACTGATTGTGTGTATGTCTACTACAATTGTCTTTGTTCCGTAATTACTAGATAGATATACTAGTAGATAGATATTTTATTCGGTATTTAAGGCCAGATATTACTCATTGCTAATCAGATAGAGAATCTCACCCGAGTGTCTTTTGATATCAAATATACCAACACAAGTTGATAAAAGTGGAAAAACTCCGAGTGTTGATATATTTGATATCAAAAGACACGAGGGTGAGATTTTAATTATCATCCAACACCATTCTTCCAACATCAGTTTGTAGACATTAATAAACAGTGTCTTAAGTGTAAAAAATACTGCTAACAATTTCAGTAGCAGAGCCATTAGTGATGTCATTTCATTGTGATGTCATGTAACAATGACGTCACAATGGTCTGCAAAGCATTGTGATGTAATTTCATTGCAGCGATATCTACAATGTAGATATCGCACAGCAATGAAATTACATCACAATGCTTTGCAGACCATTGTAGATATCGCTTGATCCCACCGAAGCCATATCGCCTGTGGGAAACAGTTTGGGATGATAAATAGAGAATACTAAACGAGTCCCCGTGTAATACCAATTTTATGAAACGAGTAAATAGTACTGGTATCTGACGGGCGACGAATTTCTTGATAAAATTTTCTCTTTTATTTTACTTTGTATCGAAACCTATGAAGTATTTAAACCTGTAAGTAACAGACTCGCCGTTTTGTCGGGGAGTGTACGTAGGAAGGGACATAACTCTGCACGCTACTTTTCCTAATGATACATCTGTTTGCATGTCAGTGAGTCCCCGCGATGTCTGACGCCGCCCTCCCCGCCACCGTTGCCGACGTCCCCACCCCGTGTCTGCTGGTGGACATCGACAAGGTGAAGAGGAACTGTAAGAGAATGACTGACACTGCCAGGAATATGGGAGTCCAGCTGAGACCGCACGTCAAGACCCACAAGACCATGTAAGTAGAACCGCCATCATACATGCCGTCTCGGCCCCCTTTTTCTGGCTATCGAGCTGTGAGTATATTGTCAGGACACTGTCTGGCGACACACGCAGGTGATTTTCTCAGTCGCCGTGTCAAGTAACAGTTTTAGATGCTTATATTGACAGGATTGAATATTCAACGTATCGGGGCTTCAAGGATAATTAAAGTAGTGTCACATACGTCGACTGCTGACCTCGTGTCACTGGGAAAGCCGCCCTCCCACTCGGAGCCTTGACATATTTTAAGGCTGCTTCGTGTGGAAAAGTTGATAGATCAAATCAGACACCATAATTGGTATATGGTCTCTGATTCAAATCAAATGTAAGTCCGAAATTGATTAAGTCACCTAGGTTGTTTTCAATTTAGTCAGACCTGGATGCTAGTTCTGCTGTACATACCCGCAGGGAGGTTGGTACTTTCCCCTTTCCATGGATTAGCCTCGGTAAAGAAAAATGACGAAAAATATCTTGAGACTTGAATCATGGCAATTTTTTAGTTGGAAATAAAACTACAAAGAAAATTGCAGTCATTAATGAATCGGTTTATAACAACCAAAAACAATATGTACACGTTTAAAACTTATAGATATTGATGAACAGAGAATGTCATCAACAGCCCGTATCCTACAAAGTATCGTAGGCAGGGTATAGGTTTTAACAGGGAGTCTATATATTTTAACAGGGAGTCTATAATCGTTGAATATATTCCCTCAGTTAAGTAAGTTTATTATCTCTATTTAGGTATTGAGAGTGATGCCAATACAAACTAGAACAGCAGCTGGGCTGTTATTACTATGGCCAACAGCACGGAGTCATTGACATTGTGGATGAGGTGCGGGATACTGCAGGCTGACCAGAGAGGTATCGTATTCGATACGTGGCAGCTGGTTAGTGATTTGACGGGTTATAATTAGAATACTTTCTGTTAGTCAACGTTTGACCTTCGGACAGCGGCTAGGGAGGCTGGCTCTCTGACGCCTCTGATATGCTGCCTGGCCATGTCTGTCCCATTACCACAATCGTGATTATACATATGCTGTAATTATTAACTCACAAATAAAGTGGTGTGGACCCACGGATTGACTCCTGTGTTTGAAGAAGGACAGATATCCCAAACTTAACAGCCCGGGATAAAAGTGATAGGCTCCCAGATTAGTATTGTTTACACAGTGACCAGTGTACATGTCCACGTGGCCACGTGACCTGTGTCACCATCCCCCGCGAAGCTGGCGCGGGGATATATAGGTAATAGTGTTCAAAGCTGTGTTAAGCCCGCTTTAACCAGCCACCGTCCTACAATCACCGGTTGTCTGTCTCCAACCATCAGAAATATCATCTCCACATCAGCTTTGTACAATGAAGTCAACCAGTCATCAATTATTTCAAGGTTATGTTTTCATTAATGCGGACGAGTTAGTGAGTATTGCTATATGTTGTATTCGGCAATATACCACGGCGGTCCATAAATACACTACTCAAACGGGGTAGAGCGACACCCGAGTCTTTCATATTACTATAGTTAATCTGATATACCATTAACTATTATTACTTAAAACAAAGTTACGTGAACTTTAATGACAGTTGGTAGACGCAATCGTTTTGCTAACACTCCAATAGTTTGAGTATGGGTACTAAATCGTCCCATAGTTTTCCTTGAAAGGTTCCCCTCCCATAGTTAAACAAGAGCGGTCACCCTCCCATAGTATAACATAGTATAGTGAGTATCACTTGAAGATTAGTTTGGGACATTAACTTGATCGAACTTTGTTTTAAGTAGGAGAAGGTCCTCAATCCCGCGATTATTTTCGGACATTCTCCAATACATAATTAACGTAATAAGGAAGGATCGGGTGTTATTTAACTCCTTTTGAGTTGTATAATTTATTCTGGTGTAGGCAAATTAGGTGATGGTATGAAAAGTGGTCAAGGGCAACATCAAATCATCACTCATTAGCAACCGACCCGTGAAGATCCGGGATAGAATCGGTCTTTAGCAACCCATGCTTGCCGTACAAGGTGACTATGCTTGCCGTAAAAGGCGACGAAGGGGATCAGGTAGTCAGATTCGCTGACTTGGTTGATGCATGTCATCGTATCCAAATTGCGTAGATCGATGCTCATGGCGTCAATCACTGGATTGTCTGGTCCAGACTCGATTATTTACAGACCGCCGTCATATAGCTGTAAAATAGCTGAGTGCGGCGTTAAACAACAAACAAACAAACAAACATGAGCCATCCACAATCCCTCCGTGTTTGTCCTCCAGAGAGGGAGGGGACATCACGACTGCCGGCACCAGGAGGAAGATCGTTGTCGCCACTCTCAATGAAGCGGAATTCTTCGCTGCAAATGGCTACGATGACATTCTTTATGGTTTCCCGATATCGAAGGAAAAACTACCCAGGTGAGACATGTGTAAGCTTTAGACCTTACTGAAGACTAACAGATCCGTGAAATCGTTTATGGCACAATACATTTCCCTCCTTTAAAACATAATTCTTTATCGGAATTTATCGGAGCTTGATTTTTTGTAATCTAGACTGATTTGTGTTTCATAAAATACATTCATTGCACAGTCAGGGAGGATAACGAACCTGGTAGAAATTAACAGCGACAACCATCTATTGCCTTTCCGCAGCACTGAGCGTTAATAGTCTGTGTTGAGAACTTGCGTAGAGCCTGTGTTGAGTACTTAGCCTTCCTCCAAGGCTGTACTGAAAGAAAAGTCCATAGATGTGTCGTAATTCTATCCTCCTAATAGGCAAGTCTAGATATGTGGCCATGAGGATGGCTTTCTCTTATAGGGAGAACATGTTCTTATTATTTACATAATCTAGAACTTTTGATTTGAGCTAATGATTATTGCCTTAGGGACCTGTGCCAGTCTAGGTTGTGCTCAACTCAACAAAGTCAATTTACTGCTGCCTCAGATCATACAGTGACTGACGAAGCGTGACATTAATGTAAATTTAAATTGACGATGTCACGGACAGGTGGTGATGTGTACATAGTCTGCATCAACAACAGCAGCTGTTGTTGTTGAAAGATGCTTTCAAATATAACAGCAATAAATCTACTAATAAGGAACAGATAACATCTGTTTAACAATTTAACAACTGGTATAATTATCCGAGGTGGGAGATTTAGGAATGTAGTCTTCAAGTACATTCTCTTTGAAGCGCCTGTAAAATATACCGCAAACGGAGATGGTTGTGTCTGTTTAGACTGATCAGAAAAGCAAGCTCAATGGTACATTTTAAAGGGTAGAAAGCATTGTTCATTCCACACTTAACTTCAACAAAGATTATTCAGAGAGTTTCTTATATGTTCAGTCCAGTTGTTTAAACATATCATCGAAACTCATTCTATACAATAAAGCAGATAATTTAGTATGTTCGCCAGTTAGAAATTGCCCAGAATAAGATCATTCTTTGCTGGATAACAAATGGCCACCTTTCTAGTTCTCCATATTACACATAAATCGGAGTACTTTAAAAAATTAAGTATATATTTAAGGAAATCTGTAAGAACTTTTTCAATTATATCCAATGTACTAATCCCAATATTTCTGATGCAGAAGTGAATGTTGGTACAACCCTTTGGTCAAATAACTGGCGGTCTATTGGTAAATCCAGATTTCTCAATCCTACATACAATAAATACAAATGTTTTGGTCCTGTGCAAAAAGTGCATTTTATGCTGACTGACTTCTTAATACAATTCCAAGATACTTATACTGGTCAACAGTTTAGGAAGTATAACACCTAAAAATATAATTATCAAAGGACGTTCCTGGTCCAAAGATGACAACTTTTGTTTTATCTTCATTTACAGATAAAAAATTTCCAGGTTTAACAGCAATCAGCAAAATTATGCTGTAAATCGAAAGTACTTTCTGCAGTCAATACAGTATATGGTTGTATAATCGTATTTTTCCGCAGTTCTATAGCATCATCATCAACTATTTTAACTACGGAAGCATTTAAGGGCCATTTTTTTATGTTTTTCTTGAAATTTCAAGATACATACTAAGTTGAAATTTCAAGATACTAATTTGAAATTTTAAGAAAAAATATATAAATGGCCCCAAAAGGCTTCCGTACCATCACACATATTTGTATATACATAACCAATAAGATGCAAACAACACAGGTGACATGTTTCCCCCTTGTGAGAGGATTCACGTTTACTGGAAATACAAGACTTAATATCCTTATGAATATTATGTTTCAGATTTAAACACTTCCCATGTTTATTAGACTTAGGTAATGTTTTTTGCAAAAGACTTTGAGTATTTTTAAATAAAAGTACAATAAACTTGAATTGTATATTACTTAGAAGTGGAGGGATGACGAAGTAGACACAATTAAGGATAACAACTTCTTTGTTTACTGTAAAGGCAACGGTACAGATCCCTATACCTTCGTCAGCCTGATCACTAGTAAAATATTTCAAGCAGATCTCCATTCCTGTTGCTATGCATACAGGTGCCAGAAGCTGGCCAATCAGCTGTCCGAGTTCCACATCATGTATGACAGCGTGGAGGCCATGCAGTGGGTCAAGGATACCCCGCTCAACCCGGACAAGAAGTGGTCAGTCATCATGAAGGTGGACACAGGATATGGGCGAGGTGTGTGTCGAGTTGTTGTCTGTAGGAATACAGTATGGTGCATAAATATATATATTTACACGTCACAGTGACCGTATCGCTCACTCTCCTACCCAGAGTTCCATGCGACCACCCTAGTCCCGCTGCAACAGACCAGCGCCATATACTTCAGTCATTTAAAAACCTTAACAGAATTTTTTTTTAAATCTGAAAAATACAAACAAAAGTAATAACAGATATTTCAGGTCACTAAAATTCTTTATCATATATTTGGATATGATAATATACAAAATCAAATTAAAAAAGCCTTCTTGAAAGCTACGATGCCGGTTTTGGAAGCGAAAGAATACACACCGGTCAAGTCACAAAAATGGCGCTTTGCGAAACGAACAGTCTCGATTGGTGAGTTAAATGATAAATTCACAGTTTATAAGGAAACATTGTCAAAAGAATAACAAACGGCAAGAAGCGAAAGTAAAGAGGGAGGGGAAGGCTGAAGGGGAAAGTAAAGAGGGAGGGAAAGGCTGAAAGGGGAAAGTAAAGAGAGAGAGGGAAAGGCTGAAGGGGAAAGTAAAGAGAATGGGAAAGGATGAAGGGGAAAGTGAAGAGGGAGGGAAAGGGGAAAGTACAGAGTGAGGGAAATGCTGAAAGGGAAAGTAAAGAGTGAGGAAAAGGCTGAAAGGGAAAGTAAAAAGTGAGGGAAAGGCTGAAGGGGAAAGTAAAGATGGAGTGAAAGGGGAAAGTAAAGAGTGAGGGAAAGGCTGAAGGGGAAAGTAAAGAGAGAGGGAAAGGCTGAAAGGGGAAAGTAAAGGGTGAGGAAAAGACTGAAGGGGAAAGTGAAGAGAGAGGGAAAGGCTGAAAGGGAAAGTAAAGAGTGAGGGAAAGGCTGAAAGGGGAAGTAAAGAGGGAGGGAAAGGCTGAAAGGGGAAGTAAAGAGGGAGGGAAAGGCTGAAAGGGGAAAGTAAAGAGTGAGGGAAAGGCTGAAGGGGAAAGTAAAGAGGGGGAAAGGCTGAAAGGGAAAGTAAAGAGTGAGGGAAAGGCTGAAGGGGAAAGTAAAGAGGGGGGGGGGGGAGGCTGAAAGGGGAAGTAAAGCGTGAGGGAAAGGCTGAAGGGGAAAGTAAAGAGTGAGGAAAAGGCTGAAAGGGAAAGTAAAAAGTGAGGGAAAGGCTGAAGGGGAAAGTAAAGATGGAGTGAAAGGGGAAAGTAAAGAGTGAGGGAAAGGCTGAAGGGGAAAGTAAAGAGAGAGGGAAAGGCTGAAAGGGGAAAGTAAAGGGTGAGGAAAAGACTGAAGGGGAAAGTGAAGAGAGAGGGAAAGGCTGAAAGGGAAAGTAAAGAGTGAGGGAAAGGCTGAAAGGGGAAGTAAAGAGGGAGGGAAAGGCTGAAAGGGAAAGTAAAGGGTGAGGGAAAGACTGAAGGGGAAAGTAAAGAGTGAGGGAAATGCTGAAAGGGAAAGTAAAGAGTGAGGGAAAGGCTGAAAGGGAAAGTAAAGAGTGAGGGAAAGGCTGAAAGGGAAAGTAAAGGGTGAGGGAAAGACTGAAGGGGAAAGTAAAGAGTGAGGGGAAGGCTGAAAGGGAAAGTAAAGAGTGAGGGAAAGGATGAAGGGGAAAGTAAAGAGAGAGGGAAAGGCTGAGGGGGAAAGTAAAGAGTGAGGGAAAGGGAAAGTAAAGAGGGAGGGAAAGGCTGAAGGGGAAAGTAAAGAGTGAGGGAAAGGGAAAGTAAAGAGGGAGGGAAAGGCTGAAGGGGAAAGTAAAGAGAGGGAAAGGCTGAAGGGGAAAGTAAAGAGGGAGGGAAAGGCTGAAGGGGAAAGTAAAGAGGGAGGGAAAGGCTGAAGGAGAAAGTAAAGAGGGAGGGAAAGGCTGAGGGGGAAAGTAAAGAGAGAGGGTTAATGCTGAGAGTTTTGATGAAGATGGTTAATAAAGAGAGGTAAAACCGAGGATTACTACGTAGAGCATGTGGGAGGATTAATACAGGAGTTAATTCAGAGCGTTGATATACGGAGATGTATTTCGGAGCGTCAATAGGGAGAGTGTAATAGGGAGAGTTAATATTGAGAGTTAATACGGAAGGTAACTTCTCAAATGTTGTAGCCGGCGTGTTGTGGGACAGTGATGACGTCGTTACCGTCGCTAAAGCGGCCGTTGACGCCGACAACGTGAAGTTCCTCGGCATCTACACCCACTGCGGTAGCTCCTACGACTGCACGGGTGTAGACGAACTGAAGAAGTTTGGCACCACCAACACAGACAGACTGACCACAGTGAGAGACAAGTAGGTAGCACCCTTAAAGAGGCAATCTTGTACGTGTATTAATAATTTAACACTGGAAGTAGTACAAGACATAGGCATTTCCTGTTGACCGGCGGCGTGCGGGACTTTCACAGGACAGGTGTTTCTTGGCGACAGTTTGCATAAAGCACGACCGGTATTTTCATCTAGGATAGAGTTTCATGAAAGTATATTAATGTCTTCCAGGCTGAAGTCGGCGGGGATCGCCTGTGAGACGGTGGGGACAGGCTCCACCCCTTCCTGCAGTAAACCTGCAGACAACATGGCCGCCCTGACGGAGTTCCATCCGGGCAATTACATCTTTTATGGTAGGGACTTACATTTGTTTGTTTGTTTGTTGTTTAATACCGCACTGAGCAATAATCAAGTTATTTGACGGCGTTCTGTAAATAATCTAGACTGGACCAGCCACTACAGTGATTGACATCATGAGCATCGATACAGGCAATTCGGATACGCTGACATGCATCAACAAAGTCAGCGAGCCTGACCAAACTATCCCGTTTGTCGCCTGTTACAACAAGCTTAATCACCTTTTACAGCAAGCATGGGTTGATGAAGACCTATTCTACCCCGGACCTTCATTGTCGGGAGGGACTTACACTTTCACAATCTATCTCACTATCAGACAATAGTAAACCGATATCAGTGGAGGAATGACACATTAACTGCATAATGAACAACGCTCGTCACACAAACATTTGTTTGCAGCATTCATTATGTTGTGCATCACTATCAGCGCCAGTTGCAACTCATAAATGATACAACACTAAGCTGAAGGTGTATGCCTATGAAGCGACATGTTCAATACAATACAAGGCCATCCTTGACAACACTGGCAATGGGTTGTGTGTTTTCAGACTACGAGCACGTGCGGATAGGGGCGTGTACCCTGGATGACGTGGCAGTACGTGTAGCCACCAGGGTCATCAGTCACAAGCCCTCCAAGAACCAGCTGGTCACAAACAGCGGCTTCACATCAGTCTCGCACGACGGGATCAAACAAATCGGCGAGGAGTTCTGTGTTGTGCAGGGCCACCCCAATCTCAGGTCTGTTTGTTTGTTTGTACGTTTGTTTGTTTGTATTTTTGTTTGTTTGCACGTTTGTTTGTTTGTACGTTTAACGCCACACTCAGCAATATTCCAGCTATGTGACGGCGGTCTGTAAACAATTGAGTCTGGACCAGACAATCCAGTGAATGATGTCATGAGCATCGATCTACCCAGTTGGGATACGATGACATGCATCAACCAATTGAGTATTATCTTACGCCGCTTTCAGCAATATTCAAGCTATATCTCGGCGGGGGACATCAGAAAAGGGCTTCACACCAGTCGAACCAGTGCTTGTTGCTATGGTCAACGTCCTGCACGACGTGGTAGGATGAGGCGTAATCGTCCACGAAGCCTGACCACCTGACGCTCCTTACTGGGATCGTATTCTGACATTCTGAAGAAATTCGAAATAAATCTTCTTACAATACTTGGAACTGATATTGAAAATCACATTTACTCTCAGGATCATACACCCAAATATTCAATTATTATGTTCATGATAACTCAGAAAGGTGTTCACTGTGATAGAATGACACTTCCGGGTTAGAATAGGTCCCCAGCAACCTACACGTGGATCGTTGCTCATAATGTCAATCACCCGGTTTTCTGGTCCAGACTCGATTAGTTACAGGCCGCCCTTACATCGATGGAATATTGCTCTTCAGATATATATATATATATATATATATATATATATAAAAATAGGACACCGGAGGTGATATGACTTTGTAATAAAGTGGACGGAGGATATTTCTGTTTTACAAATTGCGCTGCAACGCGTGTTTATAAAACCGGAAGTGTTGTGTCGGCAAAGGTACAAGAAAAATCCTCATTGGAAGCTTGGTCGGAAAATGCCCTGCAAGTCTTGTGTCACGCACAGCAGTTACATATACCTAGTGTGCATCATTAAGTACCTGTTCCGACAACGAGCGGAATTGATGTCATTCCAATTATGACACAGTCCTGGTCTTCTGTTTGTAGACTTGTCGAGATGAGTCAGGAACACGGAAAGATCCGACCTGCCACGGGAGATCTTGACTTCGGAGAATACCCGCTAGGAACCATGTTGTTTCTGTACCCGTATCATGTAAGTTGACCAATCATAATATTTATATCGATAATCAGTATTTTATTATATTTATTAATAACAACTAACGCTATCAAATACGACAAAAAAGTATCTTCTGTTCAAATTTTAAATGTAGGACATTGTTAAGATAATATTACACGTACTTCTAATACAAGTCTCTATGTCTGCTCATTGTCTGTATCTCACCAGCGTTCGGGTGCACGGGTGGCCCAGTTGTCTAAGGTGCCGCGATTCGCTGATCAGAGTTGCGTCCCTTGGACACGCCAGAAACCTATGATTGTGGTTTCACCCCGATTATGTTTCTAGGTTTGTCAGCACCATACCCGTGCCCATGGGTTTCACCGAAGTAGTAAATGTCTCAGACCTGCATCACTTCGGGCTTTCCTCCCACATTAAGCTGACACGCCGTGATATAACTGGAACACTGTTAAAAGTGGTGATAAACTCAACTCACTCACTCACTCACTCACTCACTCACTCACAAACTTTGTGTCTGTCAACAGTTTGCGTGGCGCCATTTATTTCCAAATCAGACAATGAATGATTACCAATTACACACGGTTAGGGAACAAACTCCCCCTTTAAGATAATAAAACCAAAATTCTGAAAGACTGATATAATTAGATGCATGGCTGAATTATCTCACAAAATGCTGACCTTGTGAATGGTGTAAACACAGCTACTGACGCCAGGTTAAACTAACAATACAAGGTGAGCTTCTGTACCCCTGGCATTCTTATTTACAGGTGATATTTGACCACATGTATGACACGTGCCTTTTTTGTTGCAGTCCTGTGCCACGGCCTACAACCACCCCCTGTATTACGTCCACTCCGGGGAGAAGATCGTGGGGGTGTGGCGTCCAACCCGTGGGTGGTGATAATCAGGGTAGAGAAGAAGATTTTTTTTACGTAATTGACATTTTACCTCTTAGTCCCTGTTACAGATAATGCCTGGCATCCAGGGTGGTGCCTGGCGCAAGTAAGAAAATATATACAGACACCTGTAGAAAACACAGGCAAGGTTAAGGGTGTTGGTGTCCCTATTAACTGTAGATGTATAGAATTTGGAAAATCAAATCTCAGATCCAAGATCAGTGTCATATTTTTAATGCATTTACTTGTACAGGAAGTGGAAAGTGAACAAGAACTAAATAACATAGCAGTGGTGCTGACACGGGACACCATTTACTGCGTTTGCTAATTGGGCAGTTGTATATAGGGCCCCTCCAGTTCTGGGGCAGTCTGCGGAAATCTTTGTTTTGTTCTGATTTACGGAGCTCCAGACCCGAGAAGCCTTGTGTGTAAGTAACCCGCCATTACTTCCTGCCTGGTGAAATGTTTTAAAGTTATCAAGTTCGGAATATAGCTTGGAATCATTTTGTTAATAATCTTAAATATTTCCGGAGCCTTGTCCTTAAGACGATTGATATGAAGAAAATTAGTGTAATAATAGTAAATAGAAGTGAGCTGTCATCATCATCATAAACAAATTTAGAGGGCTCTCTCCTGATTTTCTTATCCAATTGTGTTGTGTTGGCTTTAAATGATGGTGCCCAATAAGGGGACGGTAATTAACGTGATGAGATGAATGTTTTTTTATAATAACAATCTTCCCCTGTCGCTTAGAATACTGCTGTAACTAGTTGTGTTGCGTCCTTTTTGCATATTTCAGTAATGTGGCAATTAAACATTATCATGGGGTCGATAGTAGCAGCAAGCAGGACAACACTGTCACCACAAGCTTTTTCTGTTAACCAAAAGTAAACTTTTAAATAGTAGCGCGACCTCTTTCCTGAAACTTCCCTGGGTTAGCCTTCATGTCATTGTCCTCCAACCATCTAAGTGTGTAGTTTCAGTCTTTGTAGAGGACAGATGTGACTTTATCTGTCTCCCTTTGGGAGGACGACAGCGTGTTGTTGTGCACACAAAGGATACTCACACATAACATTCAATGAACAATGATGATGAAGGTTCACAAGCAGGAGACACATCTAAAGACATTCACAAGACTAGCTATTCAGGGACTTTCAATAAAGTACCAAAAATTCCAAACCTACCAGTTTCTCATCATGAGCACAGTTGTACAATCAAGACTCACCCAGTGAATAAAATATCTCATTTCTACTAATTTTAAATAAAACGGCCTTAAGTAGAGCCTTGAGGTATTTATTTGATTATATTGAGCCAAGTCACCGAGCCTGAACGCCCGATCCATTTTGTTGCGTCTTGCAACAAGTCTAGGTTGCTCGATTTGCGATGGTAGGGCGAGGGTGTGGAGGCGCCGTCATGAACGTTACGCCCAGTGTTGTGTACAGGAAGTTGACAGATTTCAAGGCGGAAGTGTCATGGTGTGGGGTGCTTTCTGTGGCAATGCACGTTCCGGGGTTCTTGTCATCCGTGGCAACCTCAACGCTGCTGCTTACCGTACCAGGTACTGGCACCAGAACTTCTGCCTTTTATGGCAGCACATGGACCCGGTTTGATCTTACAACACGACAATGCCAGACCCCACACAGCAATTTTGACAAGGAATTTCCTTCAGAATGCGGGAGTCAACGTCATGGACTGACTGTCAAGGACTCCCGACATCAATCCCATCGAACACGTCTGGGATGCTCTTGGCAGAAGTCTGCGCTCTCTCCAGAAACCAACCACAGAATTTGCAAGATCTTGGCACCATTTTGCAGCAACAATGGCGTCTTCCCAATCATGTGTTCACAAGCATCACAAGGTCCATGTGGAGGCGTTGTGTGGCAGTTGTCAACGCACATGGTGGCCATACACGCTACTGAACTTGTGTGCCATCAGATTCTCGTGCTTGGGACTTATGATTTAAACTGTTGATGTTATTACCGAATACTGTAGGTGCTTGGAACAAATTATGGTTACCACCGTTAATTAAAATCCTTCTTTGGACATTAATGATTAAAAATTACCTTCTCTGATACATTTGTCCGTTGTATATCATGTATGGGATTACTTTTAAAAATGTGAAGTTTTTAATTTGACTCAGTATATAAATACTAAAATGTGTATTTGCATTGTAAATTGTTCATTTCCATTATGCAATATTATGTTAAACTGTATATAGGGAGAAGGCGGTAATAAGTGTTGCACTTGGGCCCAATCCCTTTGTGTTTTTGGACAATACAATATGTTTAATACTACTACTACTACTAAAAATAATAATAATCTCTTCTCCATGCAACAACGACGTCTTCATATCCCAAAGAATTGTTATATCTGGCCAAATATGTGTAAACGATGTAAAACGTTATCACCTAAAATATATCCACTTTAAAACATTTGTCCTGATCCATTGTACATATGAACACATTGTTACGTTAAAATTCTAAATCACCCAAGGCCTGTGACCATCTTGATCTTCATTGAATACATATTATAGCTCGTGTGTGCAGGGGATTTTCAGAGGAATAAACTGAATTTAACCGTTATATTCCCATGCATACCCGGATGATATCCCAATATGTTTGTTTGTTGTTAAACGCCACACTCAGCAATATTCCAGCCATTTCACGACGGTCTGTGAATAATCGAGTCTTGGCCAGACAATCCAGTGTTTGACATCATGAGCATCGATCTACGCAACTGCGATACGATGCCATGAATCCACCAAGTCAGCGAGCCTGACCACCCGATTCCGTTAGTTGCCTCTTACGACAAGCATGGTCGCCTTTTATGGTAACCATGGGTTGCTGAAGACAAATTCTAACCTGGATCTTCACGAGTAGGATGATATCCCAGAAACCTCGACTAGTTCTAAACTAAATATTTCACCTGAGCATTGCTATTTTGACGTGTGTGTGCGCTATGGTCAGTGTGTAAAATGACTAAAATTTTCACTTAAGCAATTTATTAAACGCTTAAATATTAAATTATTTTACAAATTGACTGAAAGAGTTGTCCATCAATTTTTATATGATGACGAATTCCAAACATTTTGAGGTTTATTTTCATCACCGAGTCACTGAAAATGATTTAAAGAAAACGAAAGTCAAAGTTTATTTGTATATTTTTTGGCTTCTAATCCCAGCATAATTAGTCTACTGTGATGGTTTAAGTCCTTTTGAACGTCTTAACTTATAGTCAGTCTGTTTAAAAACTGAACAGATATATCAGTCAATTTGTAAAATGACTGAAATATGTGGACATTTTATAAATTGCCCGAGCGACTCACATTTGACATATTGACTATACACGCCGACAAGCGAGCAGGCTTGTGAAAACAAGGATCAGTGTTGTCTGTCACGCATCGAGGAACATCCCAACGAAAACAGGAACAAGAATGATTCTGTTCAATACTACAGCAAATGAAAACAAAATGCAAATATCGTAATTACAACCGACAAAAGTTGTATGTATAATATCAGGCTAATACCTTATTCGTGGAATGTATCCGTAAATATCCACATAAAGGAACAATATCCCATACGTCTGCAACTGTACAAAACATTTTTAAGATGCCACGTGTTACTGAAACAAACTAATATTTTTAAACATAGATAACTTTTATGGATAATAACTGTTCACGACAGTTTGTTTCGGGTGTTTCACATTGGTTTGAAGTCTCATTGGTCAGTCGAAATAGAACACGTGACAACTATTTTCATGAAGTCCACGGTTCTTAAAAAATCCATTGAGCTATAAGGTAACACCGAGCAATCAACGTATTTTCGGTTAGTCCTTTGAACAAAGTATGTTTTTATATCGGCACTTGTCTGCTTTAGTAAACCTACACATGTAAGCACTTTCATTGCACAAGATAACATTGATTAATCAGTGAACGTATTTTCGGTTAATCATTTAATGGATGGATTTCATTTTTGGTAACTCAACTGATCATTCCCGTTGTTGCGCTGTCACGTGCATATTACATAATATACATTTCACCCCCCTTAAAACCTGGATTTAGATTGAATAATTACCCCAGACACAAGAAATGCCAAATGGAAACTTTTCTAAGGTAATGTGAGCGGTGCTACCCCTAATCATACCTGTAATAAATTCATAAACTGAGTATCAGGTGAATGACGACAAATACACAGGTGTAGGGTCATACCAGGATACATGGATGATAACAAGGGAGCAGTAATCGTCTTAGCCACGTAATCCGAAATCCGGGCGGTCAGGTAGCCTAGAGGTTAAAGCGTAAGCTTGTCACACCGAAGACCCGGGTTCGACTCCCGACATGCATGGGTACAATGTGTGAAGCCCATTTCTGGTCTCCCCAGTCGTGATACACTATACTTGCTGATCATATTGATTTACTTTGAAGTGTCAAAGTGTACCACTTATTTGCAATTGCTTCAACATTTCCAGGAACCCATTAAAAACTCCATTACTTTTCTCCAATACAGTAAGATGCATTTAGTCTTTTGGTTTGGTTTGGTTTGGTTTGTTGTTTAACACCGCACTCAACAATATTCCAGCTATATGACGGCGGTCTTTAAATAATCGGACCAGACAATCCAGTGATTGACATCACGAGCATCGATCCACGCAATTGGGATACGATGACAACCAAGTCAGCGAGCCTGACCACCCGATCCCATTTTTCCCCCTTACGACAAGCATAGTCGCCTTTTATCACAAGCATGGGTTGCTGAAGACCTATTCTACCCGGATCTTCACGGGTCGTCACTGCCACTAAAGTCTTCAGGTTCATCATCATGTGCAACGTTTTGGCAACCAGAGCAGGTGCAGTGTTCAGTAAGTGGCAGTCATGGCATGATACAAGGACACTTTCCTGAGATGACCTATGATCGGTCACTGCAGATGAGATGAATGATGTATCTGCATGGCATGTGTTGCTTGAAAGCATCTTCTGTAGGTGGAACATTGTAGCTGCCTTGTCAGTGTTGGAGGCCTGGACATAGCCCAGGTCATATATCCAGGGTGTTCAAAAGTATAGCAGGAGTTCTGCAACATGTGTCAGCGACAATTCTACCATGAATTTGGAATTTACTCGATTCTGATTGGTCAATCAGAGGCTATTAAATCACCATAAACCCCCTCTGATTGTAACAGCTGGTTTGACGACCGCATCACCGCGGAAGCTGCGCGTTCGGTTCCAAATTCAATTTAGCGGGGTTAAATCTACAGGTAACCTAGCTCTACATTGAAAACACAGTATGTTTATCTCCTAATTAACAGTTGGCTCCCTTGTTGAGTTTCCACCTTTGTTATGTTATTACGTTTGCTGTTCATACAGGAAAAGGGGCGTTCGGGTAGCCTAGTGGTTAAAGCGTTCGCTCGTCACGCCGGAGACCCGGGTACATTGTGTGAAGTCCATTTCTGGTGTCCCCCGCCGTGACATTGCTAAAAGCGGCGTAAAACTATACTCACTCACTCATACAGGAAAATATATGTTCTCTGCTTCATAGCATGAATTCACCCGATGGAGTAAGCATATACTCCGAAACCTTGTGCTCCTTCTTAATGAAGATGGTGGCATCGTAAATTCTTTTCCGTATACCTTTATGTGTCTAGAGATTGACTCCAGAGTATCATCTGCTTGTCCGTTTGAGGGAGAGCAATTACCTTGATATTGTTCTGCACATTTTTTTTGGTTTCTTCGTATACTTTTATGGGCTTTACCGTGCATACCCAGGACCATAATGATAGTTGTATGTGCACGTGTTGCATTTTTATACTGTTTATGTATTACTTTAGGGCTTGACCTTCAAAGTGATATTGACCTTCAAATTTATCTCTTAGGTGGTTGAACAAATCATTTATTTTAAGTAAACCTTTAATAATATCCGATATAGAAAAGGTATTTGCAAACGATGATATGTATGTTTTGTATAAAGCTATTATTAAATGAAATTAACAATGGGAATAAATTGACAAAATGGGGGGGATAACACATAACCAAATTCTTCGAACATCATAAGAGTGAATATGAACATTGCCATCTCATCATAAGGCGTGTCGGCTCATTATGAGATATCAAATGGCTTGGTTGATAATACTAATAATTTAAAGGGGTTCATTTTCCAATAATTGGAAAATGAAAATAGAGCGAAATTTACCATTTTTCGGCTTATTTTTAATCACAACTAAGTTTGTGAAAGGCTGTAAGTAATTATTTTTTTAATTCAAGTCTACTTTGTGTAAACTATCACATAAATGATAAAAACAAGGACTCAATTTATACACTGCTTTTTTAGGGGACTTTATGTGATTTTCTCTACTTTTACAACAAATGTGCCCCCAAACCAGTATCTGCCACCAAAACATTTGACCAGAACCATAATTTTCTAGCCTAGGATACAAAAATAAAGAAAATCTATTAGGAGGGTATGTCGGCAGTTTGAGAGCCTGGCCACTACTTTATTAGCCCCTTAGAAATAAGTAAAGGTCGTTGCTATGGAAACTCGAAAATATTTTTTTTTAAATCCCAAACTATCAAAAGGCACCATTTCACCACTAGATCTATCTGTGTGCCAAGTTTGGTAAACATATTTTTCATGGTTTCTGCTCCGGACGCGAAACGTGGCGGACAGCACCCATTCCTATAACCTCCCCCCCCCCCCCTTCCACTTCGTGGATAACAGTGAAATCCGATGAGCTTCCACCCTTCTTTTTCGGCTGATTGTTTAGGTTGAATAAATTAATTAACATGTGCCCTTTGTAAAATCGAAATGTTCATAGATCACGGGTTACCAATCAGTGTTCAGAAATGCGTATCCATATCGCCTTCAAGCTTATTTACGCTGCCCTTACAGACTGTAGCCCAGTCTCTCGTCACTCTCAGTGGCATTAGATCATATCGACTCACGGCAGCTAGTGAGCCCTAGCGGGCAGTGTTAGACAGCAGGGAAGATCTTTTGTTTGTTTGTATGTTGTTTAACGCCGCACTCAGCAATATTTGGGCTATATGACGGTGGTCTGTAAATAATCGAGTCTGGACCAGACAATCCAGTGATTGACATCATGAGCATCGATCCACGCAATTGGGATCGATGACATGCATCAACCAAGTCAGCGAGCCTGACCACCCGATCCCGTTAGTCGCCACTTACGACAGGCATAGTCGCCTTTTATGGCAAGCATTGGTGGCTGAAGATCTATTCTACCCTGAATCTTCACGAGTCCAGCAGGGAAGAAGCCAGAGATTAGTGCCTGTAAGATTTTGACCGATGCTGCTCTGATCGATGGATGTTCAACACAACAGATACTCGATGCCATACTTGTTTATTGGGTTCTACCAAAACTGGAATCACTTCCTGTTATCAAGCTGGTACAAAACAAGGAATAAAGAATTGTACAACGAATAAGAGTCATAGATATTACATCATCCCTAAGGCTTCTTTTAGAGATATTGCACACGTCTCTGAGGTATGTAACTGATTACTAAGAAACAAAGGCAAAAACAAAAACTAGATAAATTATCATGACTATACTAATAAAATAACAAGTAAGAATACTTTTTACTTAGAAACTTAAAATGAAGTCAGACAGCTTACGTCCTTGTCAAGCCAGGGGATTGGTGTGTTCCCATCTACACTACTCAACACTTTCCCTCTCTATGGTGCATTAGTCACACTGATAGTCTGCAAGCTTCACTGGCGGCTGGGTTTCCCTGGAAGAGTGTTGCAGCACATTCTGGCTGGAACTGCTGTCTTATCAACACCTGATGTTATATCACTACTTCCGTTTACAGGTTTGGCATCGGGTTGGTGATTTATAGTTTGGAAGAAGGATGATTCCTTGTAATGCTTCTTTCTTCATTTGCCATTGTGACCATCGAACCTTTCTTCGATGAAACTGAGTGGTGTAAGGGCGTAGCAGCTTTCCTGTTTTGCTGTCATCTGTGACTGTGTCATCAACATGAATGTTGGGAGGTTGACCATTTACTTATACATCTGCATAGTGTTTCATGCATTGTTTGCCTAGGGCATCCAATCTTTCTGTCATAGAGGACAAAGGGAAGTTCTGGAAGCATGGTCTTCATTGGTCAATTGAACAACACTGTAGCTGCTGGGGTGAGTGTTGCACAATAGTTCCTGAGAAAGTTGTTTAGTTCTTCTTTCCAAGGCTTGCCTTCCATGTGCGTGTCCTGACTGCCTTCTCAATGGTCTTCATGAAGCTTTCTGCTTCAGTACTTGCTCTTGGCCACTCTGGGGTGATTTTTCTGAGTGAACTCCTCCCGGCCATTGTTAGTTTTAATTATGTCAGGGATGCCAAGGGCAGACATTGCATGGTTCAACTTTGGTACAGATGGTTTTGATGATGTCTTTACAGCATATACTACTGGATATCTCGAATACTCATCTATAAGCAACAGTGGGTATTCACCAGAAGGAAACGGTTCACAAAAGTTAATGCTGATATTTTGCCATGGTCATTCAGGCAGAACAGACATGATGTTTCTCAATGATCTGTGTGGGTAGCTGGTTGACATGGTATGCAATTGGATAGTATTCTTCTACCATGTAGTCGATGCCAAGAAACCACACCTTTTCTCTGAGCAGAGGCTTGGTTTTTGATGATTCCCTAATGTCCCTGGTGTGCGATCAACACCGCATTGTTGAGATTTCCAGGAACTACAAGTTTATTCCCTCAAAGCTCCTCCCTGATGTGATAACAGGATCTGTTGGCTGGACTCTCCTTGATCCTTTGGCGACTGCACTGATCACCTGCTGCAGCGACTCATGTGTTTGAATTCCGTGAGCGTCATAGCCTTTGGTATAGCTTGTGATGCCAGAAGTTGACAAAACTTTCAGCAAAAGATGTTGACTTTTGCTATTATTGACATGTCCGCCGGGTGGCGGGACATGTAATCTGTGGGATTGTCCTTACCAGGATGATACTTCACAATGAAGTCATAGGCCTGCAGTCTGAGATGCCAGTGTTCAATCCTTGCAGGTGGCTTTGATTTTGGATTGTTGAAGATATGCTCTAGAGGTTCAGGATCAGTCACTAGGGTTAAACAGGTTCCAAAGAGATATAGATGAAAGTGTTCACATGCCCAGACATGGGTGGCGATAGGATTCTTCATAAAATATGTTCACATCAGTTCTGCATTCGACCATGGCTGATATCAGGGTGTCCATTATTTGTGAACAGCTGTATGGGGATGACATTCATGCTTATTCTGACACGCAGATGTTTCACGTGCCTCTTACTCCGTCTGATTCTAACCTGAGAAACTTGGCTGAGGATGGTTTGAGTGCCTCAGTTTAGGACACATGTTGGCAAAGTGATTTGGAAGGCCAGTTACTGCACATACTAACTTTGGCAGGGCACGCTCAATCAAGGGATAACTTCCACCACAAAAATAGCATGTGCTTTTGACACATGGTTTTTCCCATTGACTTTTCACCCCCTGGCTTTTCCCACTGTTGCTCTTTTAGTTCTTGTCTTGACAACACGGACTACATCTGCAGCATGCTTCTCCATACCTGAAGCTTGTCTGTCTGATATTTCCAACAATCCGGCAGCATAAACAAGATGTTGGAGTGACATTCCTTCTCGAAAGGCTTTGTTATGTAGATGACTTGATGAACACTCTTGAACAAGTGCATTATTTTCCATCCAAGTGCCAGTAAATTCACATGCAATTGCTGCGCGTCTCAGTCGGGTGACAGATGTGTCAATAGGTTTAACAGGTTTCTGAGCTAGGTGGCGAAATTCCTTCACAGAACAGTCAAGGTGTATAAATGGGCTGAGATAAGTGGTTAGAGCAGTCGTTGATTCAGTGTGGGGAGAATACTGAAAATGTCACGCAGTGCTTCACCCACCATAGTGAAGTGACCTCGCTTTTCTTCTGGCATTACCAGTAATGTTCATAGCAACAATCATGTTGTCAAACATGTTGCCAGTGTTAGATTGTGACAGATGCTGATCTGATTGATGGATGTTCAACACAAGAGATACTTGGATGTTTATTAGGCTCTACCAAACCTGGAATCACTTCCTGTTGTGAAACTGGAACAAAATATGGAATAAAAGATTGTACAGACAAAATACAACTTGAGGATATTACAGTGACCCTTTAAGGATCAGTTTATACAAAAGTGGAGGGAAGCTATTGAGACGAGTCCAAATGGTATATACTATAAACACTATAAGCAAATCCCAAATTATCTCCCCTAAAGCAAGTACATGCCGATATCAAAATTTTGTACTTAATTTCGTACTTCAAATCATTTGAGAGTGGGCAATAGCAGAATATACCAAGAGAACTTTTGATATACAAGAATGATTCTTGCTTGTTTCTCCGCGATCCTGATGTGTCACCGTTTAAAGGTTCATTCTATTACAAGTATTTTGGGAGGCAAGATCAAAGGCACCACCCAGCATATATTAGTCAACAGACAAGGTCGGTCTCACCCCTTTTGTCAGATACCGTAACATCACAAATGTCATGGTTGAGTTGTCCCATTAACCAATACTTGTTATCCATATATAAGATTCTCCATCTGTCAGACACCTCAAGAGAATATAAGATCTCCATCTGTCAGACACCTCATGAGAATATAAGATTCTCCATCTGTCAGACACCTCACTAGAATATAAGATCCTCCATCTGTCAGACACCTCATGAGAATATAAGATTCTCCATCTGTCAGACACCTCATGAGAATATAAGATTCTCCATCTGTCAGACACCTCACGAGAATATAAGATCCTCCATCTGTCAGACACCTCATGAGAATATAAGATTCTCCATCTGTCAGACACCTCACCAGAATATAAGATTCTCCATCTGTATGACACCTCATGATGTTTGTTTCTTTGATGTTTAACACCTCACTCAGCAATATTCCAGCTATGATGGCGGTCTGTAAATAATCAATCTGGACCAGACAATATAGTGATTGACATCATGAGCATCAATCTACGCAATTTGGAAACCATGACATGCATCAACCAAGTTGGCGAGCCTGACCACCCAATCCCGTTAGTCGCCTACTTACGACAAGCATAGTCATCTTTCACAGCAAGCATGGGCTGCTGAATACCTATTCTAACCCGTATCTTCACGGGTCATGATAATTAAATATACAAAAAGACTTTCATTGTGTATCTGTATCACAGGCTATATTTGCCAGGCAAATAATTTAAAAAGGTGCAATGCAGTACTCTATCAAGGTACATCGTTTAGCATGTTGGAACCGATTACTGAGTCAACCCAACGTCTGTACAGGTCTTAATGATGCATCTACAGTGAGCACATAGCCTCATAACTGGGTCATTCTACAGCATGTACAGAAAATGGAAAATGTTGTCACCGACTAAAACATAATATTCTTTTGTGTTCATGAAAGCAATTTTAGCTTGTTTCAACACTATCGACAGGATAAACTAAATCATAAAAACACATTCTCTCATGCTGATTCTGCTTCTCATTTTGGATGTTATTAGTTCAAAGTTCATCGTTTTAAACACATTAATTTTATAAAACAAAACACTTAAGAAATATAACACTTTGGTATGCTATTTGGTACCTGGTATATACTTAATCTCCATATTTAATACCCAGACTGCAACTTACATGTGACATCTGATGTTAATTTCAGATGTTCGTTATGTTTCATAAATTAATATCGTGCAAACTTCTCTGCTGAGGATACTTTCATAAATGCTAGTTTACAATTTATTGATTCAACTTGCGATGAAAGCATGTCAATATTGCCACTTTGGGTAGAATCACCAACTCTTGGTCCTCCTGTGTAGGTGACATTGAAATTGTGTTACATCGCACGCAGAGAGGTATACCCCAAAGTCAACTTTGTTCAAATCTGCCATGTTTGTGACAAACTCATATCTCTGAATTTAGAAAAAAAACATGTAAATTGAGCAAACACGATATTCTTGTAAAAAGCAGAGATGAGAACTAAAATTGTTTTCATGATCAAATGGTTCATTAGTTATATTCTATAAGAGTAGAACATAAAACAATACATTATCTATTGTGTTTTAGTAGATCAATTATTTTACACATTAACTTAGGCATCGTTCTTTCTTTTATCCTACTTTATATACAGAGGATGAAGTCTATTAGGTGAGGTGAGGTGAAATGGGGTTTAACGTCGCGTCCAAGATTATTGCACTTATATAGCGACGTGCATGTACGTGTGTGTGTGTGTGTTTGTGTGGCTGCTTGTTCTAGTCCGGACGGATGCCAAATTATAGTGCTAGCTCACTGAGATACCATGCCGCAGTTTAACATGAATACCCCACTCAGACACAGTATACAGACTCTGAGCCGACCAGTCCTTGTTTTAGCCCCTTAATGCCAAGCGCCAGACAGGGTAACAACAAGTACCATCTTTTAACGTCTTTTGGTATGACGTGGTCGGGGATCGAACCCCGGACCTTTCGCTCTCCGGGCAGACGCTCTACCACTAGACCACGGAGGCGGTTGAAGTCTATTAGGACTCATCCATAACATGCATAATACCATCACAGGTAAATCTCACATGATTTGATGAGCCATCTCTACTCCAGTGTCTAACAAGTGCAGTATCTGACAAATAGGGCATGGCCATGTTGTATACCTCCCCACCCTGTCAGCATGGTCAGTATGGGTTATATAATCGGTAAAGAAATAAAATTGATGCAGTGTCATTGTGGAAGCATATTGAATTAAGTCTGTCACTGGCCACAGAAATCCTCAAAGAATATTAACATTCTACAAGGCTGGTACTGTCCAAATCACTTAGCATGCTTAGTGATGCACGTAACTTGTTGATAACAGCTGTGAATCTGTCCGCCACAGCTACAAGACAATCCTCCCTGTCACATCTGTTGTTTACCTTTTTAAATCAAATTTTTAAAAATTAAATGTAAAATCTCGTGTAAGTCGTATACAGTCCTAGCTCTTATTTGACAAAAACAGTAAGTAGGCTAACTTAGAAGGTCAAGTGGATGTCACATTCCACATATCAGCTGACGACCCTGTTTGTGAAAATATGCACTAGAAATTCGATTAAAAGAAATAAAAATCAATTTTAAGACCGCACAGATAAAAGAACCAAATAAATGTGTTTTGGCCTCATCTGTTGTGTATTAGGAAGGAGAAACATAAAAGGACAAGTTCACAAGAATATGAACCTATTTTTCTTGTACTTTTTCAACATGAAAAGTATTTACCTTGAATATCCATTGTCAAAACAATACCAATATCACAAGTAACTTTATTTTTCACATTTATCAAGATTATTTAATTATTTCCAAGTACAGCGATCCCTCACTACAACGCTACCTTCGGGGTCTAAATAATTGATGAGCGTTAAAGACCATCAGCTGTTTAGCCAAATGGAGTTGTTGGAGGTAGATTACCATCAAAACAGTTTACATGCTCTGCCTACGTAACACGATCTATGTTTTCAGAGTTTTTAAAAAGGATCAGAGTAGTAGTTGTTTATGATTCATAGTGTAAAAAAAGATTTATCAAGTGTAATGCGCTTTCAAAAACACATCCATCCAGCTAATTCAGGTGAATGGACAGGTATAACAGGTCAATAAAAATAGGAAATTTGACATGAAACATCACTAGACATGATAACTTACCAATTAAATTGTATTTTCTGCTCTCCAAGGCATTGTACATATATTACAGAGCTAACATGGTCAAAGCATTTTAAGCATATTTAGTGAAAACATAAAATTAAACAATCGCATATATTGTATTTTGTTATGGAAATTTAATTTATTCGATACCATGTATACCATGGTATACTGAACCGCAAAAGAAAAGACACCCAAAGTAACATTGCATGAAAATGAAATTTGATGATAAAAAACAAAGCAGATGAAAATAAAACAGGATAAAACCGATCGCCAAAAACGCATCACGGCAACGGCCATAGTAACCCGATGCACGCGAGTTCCTTGCAAATTGAAATGCACATGTGTACCCCCATTTCTTGCCCTATAAAAATCACCCCAGATCGGGTAACATTCATTCGTTATTGAATTGCTACCATATGCCAAGATTGACAAGAAATCAGCGACGATTGCAAGCTGGACAAACCGCCCGGCAAGTAGCCAATGCATTTCAAGTCCACGTAAGGACCATATACAGGCTCCAGCAATGGTACCAGACCACCAACACAACAGGGTGGCCACCCAACGTCGGGATCGTCAGATTGTGCGACAGCATCTTCAAGATCGCTTTGTTACTGCTGTAGAAACTGCTCGACAGAGCATGGGGACACACCGACGACACATTAGTACGGACACCTTGCTTCGACAATTGACGAGCACACACCTAACAGACAGGCCCATGACCCATTCTAACACCACGTCAATGCCGGGACCGTCTTCAGTGGGCAACACAGCACCAGCATTGACGTCACCAGCAGTGGAGAAGAGTCCCCGTCTCAGACGAGACCTGTTCTCAACAGCAGATGGCAGAGAGAGAGTCTGGCAATGCCGTGGGGAACGTTATTCAGATGCTTGTGTTGTTGAGAGAGACTTGGGTGGTCCAAGCATCATGGTGCGGGGTGGAATTGGTCTTGCACAGAGGGTCGGCCCTGTGGTCTTCCAGAACATTGGTCCAGGGAGAGGCAATGGTTTCACAGCAGCTTGGTACATTGATCAAATCTTGAGACCACACGCTATACGTTCATTTGGCACGTCGCCGCAACCACAAGTTTCAGCATGATAACGCCCGTGCCCATACTGCGAGAGCAACAAGAGACTTCCTCCAGCAGAATGGCAGCAGAATGGCATCAAAACCATGCAGTGGCCTTCCCTCAGTCCCGATTTAAATCCCATTGAGCACCTGCGGAACGAGATTCAAAGACGGCCGAATGACGGCCGACCAAGGCCGACAACTGCAGCTGAACTGCATCAAGCGTTCCTCAGAGTGTGGGCTCAAGTGCCTATGGCCTTCATCAACCGCCTCATCCATTCCATGTGTCGACGTTGCACAGCAGTCATCAATGCACATGGCAGACACATGAGATACTGACTTGTGAGGCCATTTTCTCAGAGACTCGTGTTGTGTTTCACTTGAAGAATATTTGACACTTTAATTTCAACCTTGATGATCAGTTTTGCCAAGTTTCATCTTTTTAATATGTCTCAAAGTATGTTCACAGTGTTTGGATAAATAAGGTTTCTCATTAATCTATCCATGGTGATGTTTCTTTTGCAGTTCAGTATACATTATATAAGGTATGTTAACATCTAGAACACCCTGAACACAGGGTATCTGTATAGCATCCATGATATATGAAAGATAAAAACTATTAAAAAACACCAAAATAGTTGTTTTCATGGTAATAGGGTAGACCTGCATGTGAATAGATCCAGTCAGTTGGACAGAATTTTTTGGAGGTGTTTTTCTGCCAAAATTCAGGTCAGGCGGTCAGAAATAGAAAAATAAAAATTTACAACTTCAAAATCTTTAATTATAGTATTTTGAATAATTCATATATCAGTATATTAATAGTAATATTACAGCAAATGAGTTTTTTGTGAACATTGTACATATTTGTGGTCAAATCAAACCACCCACTGTTTCTGAAACTTAATAATATAATTAACACTACTATTTGTTGGAGTTTAACATTTTCTTAAAGATCTGGCCTTAAAGTGCTGGATCTTTAATACCGTATTCAACGTAATAAGTGCCCAGGGCGCACTCAAAATTAGACATAGGGGGCTCTTATTAGAATATTATTTTGGTGGGGGAAAAAACAGTGTTGAAAGATTGTTAATTTCGTGGTTAATGCCGACAGCCTGAAAAGTTTATATACCACAGATACATTTTTCCTGAATTTTATTGCCAATAATTAAGGGTGCATATAACACACGAGTGAAAATATGGCGTTCATTTTTAATTCATAAGGGGGAAAAATTAAACAGAATCTATTTTTCCAGGATGTTTCCACTCGGCAACTGACTTTAGAAACGGACCAGGACATATCCTATTTTCGTGTTACTCACGTAATCAGCTGGTAATGCATGTGTAATCTTGGTGTGACAACATTTAGCAACAGATCATTTTTGTTTCTTGATATTGCCAAATAGCCTTGATATGTAGCCTTAAGGTGATGGGAATAGTTATATCCTAAAAGGACCAAGACAAGTCTAGATTGACGATATGCCGATACCAGAGATAGGGCGTTACAGGGTGGGACAGGTTGAATAGGCCAATGACTTATTACATTTCTGCTTCTGGAAATGTGATAATGAGCAGATAGGTATACAAAGTGATATTCTTACCACTGTGTCACTGGTGATTGCTGTAGTGTACATTTTCTTTTGTTTCTTTGTTGTTTAATACCGCACTCAGCAATATTCCAGCTATATGAAGGCGGTATGTAAATAATCAAGTCTGGACCAGACAATCCAGTGATTGACATCATCATGTCCACGCAATTGTGATACGATGACAGGCATTAACCAAGTCAGCAAGCCTGACCACCCGATCCCGTTAGTCGCCTCTAATGACAAGCATAGTTGCTCTTATGGCAAGTATGGGTTGCCGAAGACCTATTCTACCCCAGATCTTCACAGGACAGTGTACACTGGTGCCATTACTACCCCGACACTAGTAGTAACAGTGGCAACAGCTGACACCAAGTGGAATCAATGTTGTAATGACAAACAAGTAAGGTGTAAAGTAGTATGTGCACTTACTTGGCTTGCTTGATCTCGACTGTCGCCATATGGAATCCCCAGCCCGCTGATTGGCTGGGTGATGCCTGGGTCCTCTCGCCTCTCTGGCACGGGTCACGGCACTCGGATAGCTTCAGCTGGTCGTCCGGACATCACCGATCACCACACTCTCCTCCATTTACAGGAACCCTTGGAGGGATGGGACCCATTCCCCCGCAGATACCGATCAGGGATTTTCCCATGGCAGTTGGGCTTCTTGCACATCTTTTGCTGACATTTGGCTCCCAAGGATAACCTGGGACACAGTGACCTTGGAAGATGTTTCCATTCCAGAATAGGTCTTCTGACCAGGCTTAACCTGGTCTCTGCTATCTGCCCAGCAAATCTACTGGGCCTGCTTCCCACCACTTCTGCCCCCTGTGACTCCAAGGCTGTAAGGTATCCAGTTATAACCTGGGACACAGTGACCTTGGAAGATGTTTCCATTCCAGAATAGGTCTTCTGACCAGGCTTAACCTGGTCTCTGCTATCTGCCCAGCAAATCTACTGGGCCTGCTTCCCACCACTTCTGCCCCCTGTGACTCCAAGGCTGTAAGGTATCCAGTTATAACCTGGGACACAGTGACCTTGGAAGATGTTTCCATTCCAGAATAGGTCTTCTGACCAGGCTTAACCTGGTCTCTGCTATCTGCCCAGCAAATATACTGGGCCTGCTTCCCACCACTTCTGCTCCCTGTGACCCCAAGGCTCTACCGTATCCAGTAGATAGCCCTGGCATTACTGGTGGTGTAATGTAGGACTTCTCTCACTGAGATGCCTCTAGCCCGGGCGACGATCACGGCAATGTCTCTAATGTGGTGCGAGTCTGTTTCGAGCAGCAGCCTCTTCAAAGGGACCGCCCGCAACCCTTCCAGTTGCAGCCAGTCAAAAGTTTCCACTTTGGTGTTGAAACTAAAATAGGTCTTCGGGAAGTCTTGGCGCCAAGCTGCGACGTCGGAAACTTTGCCTGTGAAGTTGTATACATGGACCACTTGAGTTGGTGGTCTGGCTGTTCTCATCAGCTGGATTCCATAGCGATGGACATCCGAGCCATAGGGATCCCGACTTGTACCTCTTAGTTCCAGGACAACCACCTGGTCCATCAATTGAAGCCGAAGAACCGTCTTCAAAACTTGTTCTTGCTTGGCCCAAGTATGTGGAGGCGTGGTCCTATCCAGCCCTACCACACCCAGGGCCCGGACATTCGAAGAAGAGGTCAACAGATCAACCATCCTTCCCAGTTCTGTATGGCCGAAATCCCTGACATGTTTAGGATGGATCCCAATAGCTGTCTTCCAGGAGGGATTATCGTCGATTTGACGGGGATAGGTGGCAGGGTCACAGTAGAACATGACCCCTCCCTCATTCTCCACGCGAGTCTGTGCCTGGTCTTGGGTTTGAGGATGGTTGAATAATTCTTCGACCAAGGTGTCATACCGCCTCCCCAAGATGTCTCCGCTCATCCGGTCATGTTGACAGTGTGAATCAATTGCCTCCGGTAAATTCAGCGAGGAGTGTTGCGCAGCCTCCACCGGGAACTCTTCATCCGAGCTTTCTTGACAGGACCGAGTAGGAACCAGGTCAGCAGTTCGCCTCTCCACAGGACTTGTGGACGCCTTTACAGCATGGACATTAATTCTCTCCAGCTGCCGCCGAACCCTTTCTCCGACCGGCTCCAACAGCGTCCGAAACTCTTTCAATTGATGCCAATCCAAGTCCACCAGCAGTGCCACCAGGGCCCTCCAGTGCACCAGGCATGCCAGTGAGTTCATCGGCTGCAACTGGAATTGGGCTGGCACACGCCAACCCTGGCTTCTGCACATCCTTCTCAGGTTTTCAGAAGCCTTTTGGGTCACTGTACAGTCTGCTGGTATTCGATGGCTGGTGTTCAGATGGTGCTGCAGTTCTTTCAGAGTGGATCCAGGGCCAAGGATCATGCCAGACAGACAGTAGAGGGCTCTCATGCGATCTTCCACTACCTCCTTGGTCAGGGGTTGGATTCGCTCGTCAAAATAAATAGGCAAGTGGGCCTGTTGCACATGCATTTTTAATTTTCTAGACCTTGTTGTGCATCCCGGCAGTGGGCACACTGACTTCCTGTCGCCCCTCCCCCTGTGAAAGCGCTGGGAAGCTGCTGCAGACTTTGTCCGTGGTGGAACTCTTCTTCTGACTTCCGGTCCAGACTTCCAGGATGGAGAGTGCCTCTGGGTTGGTGTGTTGTTGCGGCCCACTGCCCCAGCTTGGACATACGGCACTTCCGGCAACACTCTTCGCTGCACCTTCCGGACGTGTTCAGTGGATTCTTGAGATGAACTCAGCCTCCCCCGTTTCCTTGATTGCCTTTTCTCAGCTCTGACTGTGACAGTGACAGTGACAGTGACTCCTCTTCCTCTGGGGGTATCTCTGACTGTTTCCAAAGGGGATCCAGCTCCAAAGCTGGATATCCTTGTCCTGTCAAAGGATTCACTTCTCTGACGGACTTCTAACTGACATGGTTCAGGGGCCTTCCTGGACCGATATGACTCCGGCAAGGGGACATTGTCAACCATTAAATCCTGACTGGTAACGCTGCTGGATCCTGTCAAGGTCAGTTCACTAGTCTTCCGCACAGGGTACCTCATCCTCCTTCCGACCCATTTCACACTGGGGAACTCCATAGGGGGGAACTTGCTCATTTCTCTTTCAGAACTCATTTTAGTGATTGTAGTCTGATCCCCACGCTGATATTCCTGAAAAGAAATATACCATATTAAATCCAAAACGTGTCAAGGAACGTGTGCGCGTGTGTGTGTGAACATTCCATCATCAGGTTTTTCAACCTAGAACAGCCCTTCCGCAGCAGCCTCCCCTTACTTAGAACCCTTCCACAGCAGCCTCCCCTTACTTAGAACCCTTCCGCAGCAGCCTCCCCTTACTTAAAACAACCCTTCCGCAGCAGCCTCCCCTTACTTAGAACAATCCTTCCGCAGCAGCCTCTCCTTAATTAGAACGCTTCCGCAGCAGCCTCCCCTTACTTAGAACAACCCTTCCGCAGCAGCCTCCCCTTACTTAGAACAACCCTTCCGCAGGAGCCTCCCCTTACTTAGAACAACCCTTCCGCAGCAGCCTCCACTTACTTAGAACAACCCTTCCGCAGCAGCCTCCCCTTACTTAGAACAACCCTTCCGCAGGAGCCTCCCCTTACTTAGAACAACCCTTCCGCAGCAGCATCCACTTACTTAGAACAACCCTTCCGCAGCAGCCTCCCCTTACTTAGAACAACCCTTCCTCAGCAGCCTCCCCTTACTTAGAACAGCCCTTCCGCAGCAGCCTCCCCTTACTTAGAACAACCCTTCCACAGCAGCCTCCCCTTAATTAGAACCCTTCCGCAGCAGCCTCCCCTTACTTAGAACAACCCTTCCGCAGCAGCCTCCCCTTACTTAGAACAACCCTTCCGCAGCAGCCTCCCCTTACTTAGAACAACCCTTCCGCAGCAGCCTCCCCTTACTTAGAACAGCCCTTCCGCAGCAGCCTCCCCTTACTTAGAACAACCCTTCCTCAGCAGCCTCCCCTTACTTAGAACAGCCCTTCCGCAGCAGCCTCCCCTTACTTAGAACAACCCTTCCGCAGCAGCCTCCCCTTAATTAGAACCCTTCCGCAGCAGCCTCCCCTTACTTAGAACAACCCTTCCGCAGCAGCCTCGCCTTACTTAGAACAACCCTTCCTTAGCAGCCTCCCCTTACTTAGAACAGCCCTTCCGCAGCAGCCTCCCCTTACTTAGAACAACCCTTCCGCAGCAGTGTCTCCTTTCTAAGATGACTGACTGTTTCAGTAACTCTACATCATCTACCACCTGGGACTGCTTTAACCAGATCAGCAAGTGCATGTCTTTACAGGGCTAAATCCAGTCATGATGCAGGGCTCCAAGTTCCTATCTTTACATGTTGGCCATGCGAATTCACACAACGTAATACATGTAATATTTCAACGTCTGCCATTTAAGTTGGATAACTTTTGCCCAATCCCCTTGACCATATATGTCAACAAAATATGTTTAAAAGAAAATAGACATGTAATATGCTCATGAAACTGTACCTATCATAATGATGAATAAATGATTATGTTAATTTGAAACTTGTTTTCTTATTTACTTGGAAACGCCATTCCTTCTTTTCCAATACAACCTGCAGTAGTGAATTTAATCTTCAGTTCATCCACATCTTCTCATCTGTTTTGGTATAGATCTACTACATGAAATTGTAGCGCAATAGCTGATTTAGATATGGATGCTTTTTGTCTGTTGCATAACTTGTAGTCTCTAAATTTTCTATGTCTGTAAGAATCACTATGCACATTAATATTAATTAACTTCTGACTGCCATTAAAAAAATCAATATTTCCAGCAATAGATGACGAAACATTGTATGCTAAGATTTGTGGTATTGCAACTTACAATTTTTTTTCTTGCTCGATAGATTTATTGGTTTCAGTCGTGTAAACTTGAAAATATTATGCACATTCTAATTCGGTTTCCTTTTGAATTTCCTTTTAAATTGACAGGATTCGCCAAGTTTACGAGTCTACTACACAAGGGATCGTGGGAACCCTTTCTCATCCATACTGGGTGAACTACATTGCAGTTACCGGTACTTTTTTATGATCGATAAAAATCACTAAATTTTGCTGATACCATGGATACCGAAAGCATGTAACTCTGGAAATACCATTTAGGCAAATCTGTATTGATGTACGGAATTTATGTAGTAATTACACTGTCTGGTTATAAAAAGTGTTTATTGTAAATCTGGAATTATGTTTGTAACCTATTTTAGTAATTTTATTCAAAATTTTATTCAGTATTGTTTATATTCATTCCAGCCATATCTTGTGTGAAATGATTGGTAGATCACACAACTCACCGTTATTTACAGCAACTACGGTCAGATTACCGCTATTGACGACTTGAAAAGAACTTCAGGGGACAGAGAATGTTTATATAAATAAATATATGTATCATAAACGCCATACTTTGACTCGTTAAGTCACATTTGCTATAGTTTGACTATTGTATGTCAACATAAAGTTTTCACGATGGCAAGCGCAGGACCTTTGACGGTGATAGGTCAAATTGTTCCATACGAAAAAGAATAGCCCACAATGGCGATCAGCTGTACCAAAGTGCTATGTGCATGGTTATTAATTTATTCCAAATATGTACATAGTAAAGCTGCAACGAAAATAACATAATATTGGAATATATTATTCCTGATAAAATAATAGTTTCAGATACAATTCTTCCGATCATTGTATCAAAAATCTATAATGCTATTTTATCAGGTACTAGTATTATTAACCGAATCATCGGTAGATTCCGAGAAAACTTGTGTACAGCTGATTGCTTAGTTTATAAGACAATACACCAGTAATCTTAATCTCTGCATACAAAACAATGCCTAGCAGAACAGGAAATACAATTTAAACGGTAAATCATCCTGTCCAGTGATGTTTTATCTCAAATACAAATTGAGCAGGTTTAATTGTGATCACCTGTTCTTTTACCTGAATTCGCTGAAGGGATACAATTGACGTAATTTCTTTCTGCGGGAGACAAACACATTTTTATTACATATATAGGGATTGTGTATGTTTTTCCACACTCACCAAGAGCGATGTATTTTAAACTGTTTTGTGGCATTTCCCAAATCCTTCACAAATGTGACCAATTCTCTTGCAACTTGGAGCATTTGGATTGGTAAAAATCCTTGCATCCACAATGTATCACCAGGAAATGTCCCAAAATCACTGTACTGTTGTTGCTATCATGGTTATAGTGATTACAGCTCTAGATAACTTTTTGAGCAATTGAGTTTTTACTCAAAGGTATCTATTTTAATTGGGTAACCAGAATGTTTTCACTCATCATCTATTCATCACTCTATTGGGTTATTCCCAATATGAGTAAACATTTTGAGATTTAAAACAAATAATAACAATGTTTTAGATGTATCTAACGGTTCTAACTATAGGCTTGACTCAGAAAGTAAAACTTTGCTCGCAATTGTGTTTAGGAAATTAGCTCCATTGTACGCAAGCTGAATAAGCTTCATTGGGTATTTACATTTAGTTTTTTCATTTATTAATAATGCATGCGTTTCTGTAAGGAAGTTAATTGAAAGTAATTGGGTTTTGAACATTTTGGGGGGGTATTTTACGACAACCAGGGATGTGAGCAGGTTTTGCCGAAAAAAAAAGGAAAAGTCTAGGGGGGTGTGGGGGTATGCCCCCCCAGAAATTTTTAAAACATTTGATTGCATTTTAAGCAATTCCATGCAGTTTGGACAACATTCACACCAAGAAATGTAATAAGTCAATGGCTAAAGTCAATAAGTAAAATAAACAAGATGGCAGATGCAGTAAAATTTCGAAGTTAAATCAGTACTTTAAAAAAATCGGGCATAGCTTTCGCGCACCTGGCTACCCGCCAGGTCTGGGAGCAATACTGCCATAAACTTCAACCCCCATCCCCCAGACACAAGGACAACTGTCACAAGTGTGCAATGTCTGACCCTTTCCCCATGTTGAAGCATATTGAAAAAAACTTACCTTGTACTTACCTTTTGATGAAAAAAAACAAAACTCCATTGCAAACATAAGACATAAATACAATATATATCCCCATGACATGGGGTTTTGGACGCTGAAGAAACATTCATAAATTTCTCGCTTATCACATGAACAACTGTAAAACATCTCATTCACTTACAGGCTAAAAGACAACTTTATCTTAAAAACAAGCCATCAGCTGACTCTGAGTATTTACAATTTCTTCGTGACGCCATGCCCCACGTTATAGTGCAAGTATTCGTGACGGAAAACGTATGATGTCCGAAAACCTATGCTGTGAAAGCTCCGATCGAAAACAGGACAATCCCCGCCAATTGTCCGGTTTTCGATCATATTTTTCGGAGTGTTTTTTTTTTAATTTTTAATAATTTTTTCCGCGGAAGATGATTTTTTCCGAGGACTACTATTTTAAAAAACGCGATTTTCCGCGTTTCCGCGGAGATTTCACATCCCTGTGGCCCACAACATGCAGCTTATCTGTAGATCTAGTGAGTGAGTGAGTGAGTTGGGTTTAACACCGCTTTTAACAGTATTCCAGTCATATCGCGGCGTGTCAGCTTAATGTGGGAGGAAAGCCCCAAGTGATGCAGGTCTCAGACGTTTACCACTTCTGTGAAACCCACAAGCACGGGTATGGTGCTAACAAACCTAGAAACATAATCGGGGCGAACCGGGATTCGAACCCACAATCATAGGTTTCTGGTGTGCCCAAGGGACGCAACTCTGCACAGCGAATCGCTGCGCCTTAGACGACTGGGCCACCCGTGCCACCTTGTAGCTCTAGTGATCGAACCTCAGTTTTGGTTTTAGCGAGTCCATTTTGCATAACAATAAGGCATACCCTAAGTTCACTAATAAGCACCGTGGACAATTATTTAATTATTGAAGATAACTGAAATCACAGGAGTCCGTATCTAAAAATAGACGCCCTCATGCATATTCATGACCATCTCCACACGCGAGCCCGAAGGGCGAGAAGGAATGCAACAGAAAACTACTGCAGGGCCCGACTCGATTTTTCAACAAATTACTACGAACGATAGATTATACCCACACTGACACTACAGTTACCGATTGCTTTTCTAACTTGTGAACGGCATTTTCGCCAGTTTGGTACGTTAAAAACACCCACCTATACATCACAATTTAATTAAAATATATACAAGCATCGGACACGAAGCTGAGTCCGTCTTTCATACTTGCACGACTTCCGGAATGATACGGACTGAATGAAGAGACAATTTGAAGGTGAGTGAATTTTACATCTAAAAAATATATTCTTCTACAAAATGAAATAAATTATTTTTTCATGTCATAAGAATTATTGATGGCAACAGCAAATATCTGGATATATTTTTTTAAATATATAATTCACCGCTACTAAGGGAGGCAACTCTGTACTGGATCTACGAAAAGTCCGCGTAATGTGAAAATGACGTTATCGATGTCTATTTCTTGTAAATGGTTGAAAACACTAATGTCATTAGTTGGTAAGTGACAAAATGTTACACTAGAATTCATTTCAATACACTACTAGCGTATTGCATGTGATGTCAAGACATCATTTTGTTTCAATCGCAAAGAATATTTTTCTCTGTACGACTTACAGCCGTGTCGGGTAATGCTGCGTTTTGATATTTTCGCGTTAAAAATGAATTACAAGTAAAATCATCTGACAATATCTTTTTGTATTGTAACAAGGTTTATTTCACTAAAAAGGAAAATCGGATGGATAAAATTGCGATCTGATAGAACGTCGAACTTGGTTTTGCTTAGTGGCGATACGGGGGGTTACGAGAAAGGCCGCTTACGCAAATAAAAAAAAATCCAAAAAATTATTGAACATCAGTTATCTACCCATGAATGTTTCCTTCTTTGAAATAATACAACATGGACCAGTTATTTGAAGTAACTACGAAGTAGCAGGCAATATTTCGTTGATCTTGACACTTCCGGCGATCACGAAAACAGGGGGGTTGCCCCCGTTTAGTTGGAGATTTCGCAAATTCTACACATAAAGATACTTGTAAATTGTTATAATGCTATCAACCAGATGCTATTTAAATATTTTATCCAAAAAGATTGGGATTTTGTCTCAATTTTGGGAATAAAATCAGTTTTATCAGGCTTAGGTGCTTACCCGACAGCACTGTAACACATACACACAGGGACTCGGACAGGCCTGTTTGATTCCAATATTTTACACGATACAATACGATGACAATGTATGAGTTGATCTTTTGGAAACAAATAATGACTGACGTTATTTTCACGCTCATAAGATCTTCTATATCTTCTTTCAAATGGAGTTGTGGTTCCGAACAAAACATGCCACAACAACTACAGTAGGCTACGTTCACAGCTTGACAGTTGGAAATAATTGAACATTTAAGTCAGCAGTGTTATTCTCACATAAATACCCAAAATATGTATGTTTTCTGTCTCTATATACACACCCCTTTACTAACCCTTATTAAGTTTCCCCTTTCACATTATTATACAAATTATTCATGCAAATCTGTTATTTTACAGTATACTGTATACCAGGTAGTATTTAAACAAGCTAAATGTCTGTGCTGGCCCAATTTACTATCATACTTTCCTTACTGGCAATGCAATGCAACATTTACATGTCCAAATAGAACATAACGGCACTGAAGTCAAACTAGCTGAACCGACTGTATAGATACAGTATTCTGAGATTTTATGTAAACTGCAAAGAAACAAACAAAAAATTAAAGTTCAACAGACAAATGTTTATTCAAGAATACAATAATGGTTATTTTGTAATCATTTCCAAAAAATACTGCCTTTGATCATGACTTAAGTAATGTTGTGAATTGCGTTAATCAAAGTATCATACATCATATCTGGCCAAAACATTTATGTCTGTTTCACAACTAATAATAGCATCCTTCTTCAGTGGGGCTACGCTTTCATGCATTGTGCATAATTATTATTCATGTATACACTGTCAAAAAAAATGTTCAAATTATGAATCTTTATTGATAATAATTGAGTGAGTGAGTTTGATTTTATGCCGCTTTTTGCAATATTCCAGCAATATCACGGCGGGGTACACCAGAAATGGGCTTCACACATTGTACCCATGTCGGGAATCAAACCCGGGTCTTAGGCGTGACGAGCGAACGCTTTAACCACCAGGCTACCCGACCACCCTTATCGATAATAAACAATGAATTGAATGAGAAAACACATCACATCATCATAATGGATGTGGCATTAAATCAACTGAAAACATTCTTAATGGGAAAGATACTGAACATACTAGGTGACATGTACAACAAGTTATCAGCTTGTGTGAGAACAGAAAGTGGATTATTAAATTACTTTAGCTGCAACATTGGTACCCTGTATATTAAGCCATATGAGGGCGAATAACTCTTCAATCATGAAAACAGTACACAGTTAATGTAATAAATACGACTAAAGCAGTGAAATACTAGTGAAGAACATACATTTAGACTATTCAAGACTTCCTAATCAAGCATAATTCATGATTGGTAATAATTTCAACTTACTAATTGATTACTAAGTACTATTGAGACATAGCAATATTCCACTTTGCAAATATGTTAATTTTGTTCAACGAAAACAAACGTATTTGTTGAGAATGAATATCATATGCTTCTATGTTGTGAGATACAACAATCTTTGGAAAACATATCTTCACCAGCATTTCTATTTAAATCCCAAATTCAAAAAATGTATTAAGCTGATGCAACACTATCCAAGCTATAGCCCAATTGCTAATTTCTTATGTAAAGTTGACAATACAAGGCGAACTGAGGGAATAATTTACACCTGAATAAATATATCTATATTCAGTACTTACGAGGGGTGTTCATTAAAGATTTCCCCTTAACCACTTAGGGTTATCATATTTGGTTGAAATTTCACATGTGTAATGATACATGTATCTATGGGTTATGTCTTAATTTGCAGCACCAAACTATTAATCTTACCACTTTTACAGGTGTTATGAGTGAGTGAGTGAGTTGGGTTTAACGCCGCTTTTAACAGTATTCCAGTTATATCGCAGCGTGTCAGCTTAATGTGGGAGGAAAGCCCGAAGTGATGCAGGTCTCAGACGTTTACCACTTCGGTGAAACCCACGAGCACGGGTATGGTGCTGACAAACCTAGAAACACAATCGGGGCGAACCGGGATTCGAACCCACAATAATAGGTTTCTGGCGTGCCAAGGGGCGCAACTCTGCACAGCGAATCGCGGCGCTTTAGACGACTGGGCCACCCGTGCCCCCCTACAGGTGTTATGATCGAGTAGGGTGTGACAATAGAGCCAGTAGAATACAGAGCAGTGATTAGGTTTTTATATTTGAAAGGTCGCACACCAAAAGAAACTTTCGATGAAATGAAAGCAACTTATGGGGAAGATGCCCAATCATATGACGTTGTTAAACACTGGCATCGCCAGTTCAAGTGTGGTCGGACATCTGTGGAAACAGCTGCCATTCCTGGTCGCCCCCATTCAGCCATTGATGAGGACGCTATCCATCAAGTGGAGACCGCCATTTTGGCAGACTGACGTATAACTGTTCGCCAGTAAGCACAAGATGTCAAGATCAGTGTAGGGTCTGTGGAAAAATAATCCATGACAATTTGAACATGCATAAGGTGTCTGCACGATGGATTCCCAGGTTGCTCACACCTTTCCAAAAGCAGGAACGAGTCAATTGCTCAAAGGATCTTTTGGACATGTGCCAAAAAAACCCAGGCAAACTTTTTTGACAGACTTATCACACAGGATGAAACATGGGTTTATCACTATGATCCTTAGACTAAAGTTCAGTCAATGCAATGGAAGCATGTGGAGTCAACCACCCCCAAAGAAGGCACGTGTCCAACCCTCTGCAGGCAAGTTCATTCTCGCGGTGTTTTGGGACCAGCACAGAGTAGTGATGATGGATTTCTTGGCAAAGGGTACCACAATTACAGGAGCTTATTATGCTTCACTGCTGCGGAAATAGCGGGACGCTATCAAGCTTAAGAGGTGTGGCATGCTGACCAAGGGTGTCCGTCTCCTGCAAGACAATGCTCCAGGACACAACTCTCATGTTGCCCAGACAGAAGCGCGGTCCTGTGGCTATGAAATCCTTCCACATCCTCCTCACTCTCCTGACCTTGCACCATCTGAATTCCACCTCTTTCCAACCATGTCGTATCTTCAACATCGACCACATTCCTTTGTTCAGAAGTGATAATGCTTGCTCTTTTTCCACCTCTCACTCAATAATCCACATTGTCAACTTTGAGGATATTTTCTTCTCAACAGTTATTTTTTCAACATCGACCACATTTCTCTCTCTTTGTTCAGAAGTGATAATGCTTGCTCGTTTTTCCACCTCTCACTCAATAATCCACATTGTCAACTTTGAGGATATTTTCTTCTCAACAGTTATTTTTTCAACATCGACCACATTTCTCTCTCTTTGTTCAGAAGTGATAATGCTTGCTCGTTTTTCCACCTCTCACTCAATAATCCACATTGTCAACTTTGAGGATATTTTCTTCTCAACAGTTATTTTTTCAACATCGACCACATTTCTCTCTCTTTGTTCAGAAGTGATAGTGCTTGCTCGTTTTTCCACCTCTCACTCAATAATCCACATTGTCAACTTTGAGGATATTTTCTTCTCAACAGTTATTTTTTCAACATCGACCACATTTCTCTCTCTTTGTTCAGAAGTGATAATGCTTGCTCGCTTTTCCACCTCTCACTCAATAATCCACATTGTCAACTTTGAGGATATTTTCTTCTCAACAGTTATTTTTTCAACATCGACCACATTTCTCTCTCTTTGTTCAGAAGTGATAATGCTTGCTCTTTTTCCACCTCTCACTCAATAATCCACATTGTCAACTTTGAGGATATTTTCTTCTCAACAGTTATTTCATCACAATGACTGAGGTTTTTACTCAATGACAGGTGCCCTGGAGAATTTAGAAAAGTAGTTAACTTGGTGATGGCCTCCTGCCACTGAGAAGCTTTGTCAATAATCGTACCTGACCGCTGACTGAGGAGCTTATTGACTTGATGTTCCAAAACAACAAAGTGCTGTTGAAGATTTGCTGCCAATGGATTCAGAATAATTTTCTGCTTATCTCTTTTCTTCAAAAAGTCAACCAGCAGCAGATGAGTTCTTGTCTTATCATCTTCCGTCAGTTCCGGAACTTCTACAGCAGGTGCCTGCGCAACTAATGGTTCAGCTTCATCTTCAGCAGCATCATCCACATCCCTATGGTCACCATCACTATCATCTCCACTTTCGGTTTCCTTCATTTCATTGTAGTTTCTGTCCTTCTTGCAGCATGTTAGGTCAGTCATTGTTGGAAAAAAGGGCGCATCATAGAAATGATAAACTTCATCTGTGTGTTGTTTTGATGCAACATCTTCCTTGTAATTCTTCACCTGTAGACCCTCTTTGCTGATGCATCTCCCTACAGCTACACCAAGTTGTCCCGGAAGGAAATAGCTTTCACAATCAACTATGAGAGGGTCGATGGTCATACCCTGAGCTCGATGTACTGTCAAAGCAAAGGCCAGGCGTAAAGGGATCTGTTTTCTGTTGGCTTGCACTTTCTTCTTGTTAGAGTAATAAATTTCAAAGTTGAGGGGTTCAACAAGTACACATAGGCCATCAAAATCAACAACTGGACCCTTGTCTGTGAAAGAAAGAACAGTTCCTTTTGAACCATTCACCAAAGAATGTTTCACATTTCTTATGAGGATAACAGGTGCTCCCACTTTCAACTGTAAGTTCTTCTTCGCTTGACATCGCTGCAGCAACAGTGTCTCACCCGAGTCCAGCGCTCTATATCATATTATGTTTTCCCCATCTTCATGCAGTGCCATCTGATTTTCATATTCTACATCAAAATTTGTCCCAAAGAGCAAGGTTGGTCTTTTGTTTGTGTTGAGTGGTCTATTGAGATTCTTCATTAGTGTATGAGTTTCCTCCGATGGGCGTCCATTACAGAGTTCATTGATGGCGACAATCAAATCTTGGAAATTTAGGTGGTGAGGAAATATATGTTTGAACACACATGACTGAAAGCAGAAAAGTCCTGGATCATTATGAAAGTGGTCAGGAACTGGAGGAAGTTGCTTGAAATCTCCACAAGCAATGATCTGTTAGCCACCAAACCAATGTTCTTTACTGCGGCAATGACTGCATACATATTCAAGAACCTCAAACAGTTTAGCGCTGAGCATTCCTATTTCATCAATGATGAGAACTTCTGAAAGGGTTATGTTTTTGAGGCAATTCCCATATGCATCATTGTTGAGTACGTTAGTAAGGACCTCCTCCTTGGAAAATCTTCCATCAAACAGCCCAGCCCAGTGATGCAGCGTCTCTCCTCCCAAATCCTGGTACTGTTTGCTGGCCAGACCTGTGACAGCAGTTATTCCCACTTTCCGTCCAGCTGACTTGAGAGCCTTGATGATATTCCTGTAAAGCAAACAGAACTTTAGTTTCATTCATGCAGATAATGAAAATACAAACCAAACCAAAAATGTTAATGTTTTTCAAAATAATTCAAATCTCTTTCTTAGCTGTATTCAACCTGAAGTTTGTACCTGATTTTGTATTTGAAAATTAAGACTAATGTAAAAACTGAAGACTGAAGCTCACCCCTCTAACAAAGAAAGCTCTTGTAACATTTACAAGACATTTTACATAACCATGGCACTTGTTTTGTAATCAGAGCATCATGGCACTAAACTCATGTTGAATTTGTCAAGGTGAGCTAACAATGTATTAACACACCATAGTGTTGCTCATGTTCTTTTGTATAAATAAAAGCCCAAATTAGAATATTTATGTGCAAATAATATCAGTGCATACAGATATTCAACAAACAGCAGTTCAACAAACTTTCTATCACATTACACATTGACACATGGTCATTAAATGTATATACTACCAGTGATGCTGGAGGACATTCTGAATAATCTCTTGATTTAAACAATGTTTTTAATAAGTTTAGTTATGCACAGTGGCCATTCAGTTTTGCTTAAAACACACATTTTTTTACTTTAGGTCTGACAGTTATATTAGTTTTCATTAAGCTTCATTGTACTTTTCTCTTTGCTTTTAGGTTAACAAAAACAGTTGAATATAGAGAAGAAGGCTGCATATCAGTTGATCAACTACATCATCTTTATTCAGAAAGTTGTAGTAAAGACTCAAGTGTGAGATTATTGTGTAAAGACAAATTTTCTAATGTAATCACAAAAGTTTTTCAAGATGTAAAAAGACGGCGACAATACAGAAATGGAATCCAATGTGTAACATACAATTTAGGAATCAGATATAACCTGCCGAGAGAATCATGTAGTGATCTAGTAAAACTTCCACAAGAATGCACTGTTTTATCCAACAATCAGAAATTGCACCTGAAGTATCCTCTGCAGACCTTAATCAATGGGAAGTTCCAATATACAGAATTCATATTTAAGGAAGAGTTTCAACTAGTCATCAGAGGTCATGTCATAGATCATGTGCATCATGGCATTGAACGCAATCCATCCAGGAACAATCAAAGTATTAATGACCTTGTTTATGCCACACAACAATTCAGACTGTGCAAAGGGAATGTGGTGGATGACAGTTCTTCATATAAACCATCATTCATAGTGAAGGAATCTTGGTCCCTTGTTCATGATGAAAATTCCCACACGTTTCACATCAGGTCCAAATCTTGTAACATTGTACTTGACTGTCTGTCTGTTGGTGAAAGATGTGCCAAATGTAACAGATATTTAAAGAGGGCCAAGTGTATCGTTAACAATGCACAAGCACACAAGGTGAAAACTGAAAGTCAGAAGACCCCATGTCACACTCCTCCTCTGCCTGAACCATGTGAAGCAAACTGTGATCAAACCAGTGACCTCCTACCAACTATTAACTTGGTTCCACAAGATCATGAAGATTTGTTAAAAATATTAGAATCAGAACTACCAAATGCGCCATCAAACTTCAAAATATTACTGGAATCTCAGGTTCAAAATGCAAGAACAGGATTGGATGTACATCGTCGGAGATGGGATCCAAAAGTCATTACGATCTGCCTATCTATGTATTGTAAATCTCCTAAGGCTTATAGCGACTTCAAAGGAAGTGGCGTCCTTGTCCTACCATCCCAGCGCCTTCTTCAATATTACAAGAATTCTGTCAAGCAGTCTCCAGGAATTAATGAGGAGCATCTTACCTGGATGGAAGAAGAAGCCAAGAAGAATGGAATAGAGGGTTTTGGTCGTCATGGTGGTTTGTTCCTGGACGAAATGCAAATTCAAGATGATCTGCAGGTAAGAATAAAATGACAGACCCCAAAGCTACTTTTCTCTTAATTTCAGTGCCATTTTCAATAATTAGCACAGAAATCACATTGGCCAATTACTGCAAGGGGGAATGGCTGCACAACTAGAGTGTTTGAGTGATACAGCCAAGCGGGATTGGAACTTTAGAACACTGCAATATAACCAAAAAACTTTGATAATGAAATTATTTATGACACATGAGTTACAATTATTACTCTCTGAACAACTGAGTGAGCTTTTTTTTGAAACCATGATCATGCTAACGAGGAATTTTACTTGTTCCAGGAAGAATGTTTCTGCTATTCACTCATTCATGGGATTCTTTTTCAGATTGTCCGTCGTGGGAGTGACTGGTCCCTTGTTGGTGCAGTTGATGTCGGGCCATTATGTAACAACATAAACATCCTCATCAAGAAGAAAAAGAGTGTACAAATGGCAACACATGTCCTGCAATTTGTATTTCATGGCTTGTATGGCTTTAGATGGCCAGTAGCTTATTTTGGTACCAACCCAGGGTTGTCACATCAAATATACTTCAACTTTTGGAAGATTGTAGAGGCCTTGGGTGATCACGACTTCATCGTTGATTATGTCATGCTGGATGGAGCTTCCACTAATAGGGCATTTCAGACCATGCTTCTTGGTACCAAACCATCACTGTTACGACAAGACCTATTTCAGACAACGAATATCTTTGATCACCACCAAATATCCGTGTGTCAAGATATAAAACATGTCTTCAAAAAGCTCAGAAATGGCCTGGAGTCCAGCAAACTAAACTTCAAGTCTTCAAAAGGACGTTACCTTCTGCTTAACACCGAGCACATCATCTGGGAACACTGGGAAGGGGCCTTTAGATTCAATGTCCAAAATGGACTACGGGTACATTATAAACTAACCACAGAACATATTGAACTAACAGCAGCCAACAAGATGCGGAATAAGTTAGCTACAGATGTACTGGACAAGAACATGCTGTACCTGATGCAGTTGTATCAGAGGTCTCTTCCTGATGGTGATTCTCTTAACAGTACTATTGAGCTATTGAAGATTACCAGCCCCCTTGTGGATTTGTTTCATGATACAACACGGCACGTCAAAAGCCTTCATGACGAGAGACTAACACATGTCCGACAAGCCTTAAAGTTCTTCAATGGGTGGGAAGATCAGATTACAAGTTCTACTCAACATCCAAATCAGAAACACCTCTTAACAAGAGAGACAAGAGATGACTTTAACTCCTCCTTGGTTGGCTTCATATCTGTGTGTGAAAATCTGATACCAAATGGCGCTACCATTAATCCAGGCTATTTCAATTCAGACTTGGTGGAGAATTTCTTTTGCCAACAGCGAGGTGTGTGCCATGGCTTGAACAATAATCCAACCCTGTCTCAATATGGCCCTGCTGTGAATGCTGTCTGTATAGGCCAAAGTACAGTGTCCAACAAATGTAACAGTGGATCAAAATCACACATGTTTCGAGCTACAACACCTGGGCCTTTACGGCCGTCTAAGAAGAGAAAAATGTGCTCAAAGACCAACTGACTCATTTCAAGCTGAAACTTCATGCTGCAGTTATGTATTGTTCTGATTTCTGCATGAATAAAGACAATTATTTACAGAAGCTTCAAGGAAAACGTGCAAATGCCATCAGGTTGCAATGTGAACAAAAAACTGTACCAATTATGTGACAAGATCAGACTGGAAAGGAGAAATTGTGGTAAAATTCAGCCAAAAACATGTTCAAATTGGCAGATATTGCCCGACTTTAAAGCTAAAGTTAGCCCTGTCAGATAATTTTCAAGTATACTCTTACACTAAAGTTCACCAATTTCTCACTCTTTATCTATTGCATTTATCATAGTTCCAAAATCATTGTTGGTGTGGGAATGTTTTTAAGGAGGTCTACTTTGGGAGCATCGAAGCTCCACCTGGAAGCCTCCATGTTCCAGTCATAAACAGTCTTGGACATAGCATTATCTGCAGATATTTCCTGATTATGCCTTAAAAAAGCAAGTGAAGGTTTGAAATGGGAATCCAGCATAAAGCAGTAAGTATGGGTGACACTACAATCATGAATTGGCCATGATTATTTTGCAATATGGGCTATAAAAAGGGAAACTACATGAAATTTAACAAAACAGGAAGTGACAATCAGTGGTGAAAGTGGAAGTGTGGACACTTCCAAAGTTAACCGTTTAATCATTCCCACACCAACACTGAGTTTGGAACTATGATAAAAATAATTGAAACAGAGAGAAAAATGGTTAATATTTAATTTAAGAGTATGCTTGGTTACTTGAAAATTGTCTGATTGTACCAACTTTGGCTGTGAACCTGGCCAATTTGGGGCATTTTAGGCTAATATTTTACCACATTTTCTCCTATGGATACATCTACGGTAGTCACATAATTGGCAAAATTTTATGTCTACAATGCAACCAGATGACATTTGCCTGGTTGATCATGTTTCTGTAAATACCTGTCTTTAATCATGCAGAAATCACAAAGATTGGGCCTTACTGGAAAAGATTTGAACTGGGAGCGTGGAGGCTCCAGATTTGTGGGAGCCTCCACAATCTAATCTCTGACTGTTAAACCCAGTGGCACAAAGTGCTCGGACAATTATAAGGTTGATCATGAAAAGAAAATGGTTGTAATTATTATCATGAATACTCACCTACCACAATGATATAGACATTGGTACCAACCAAATTATTGTTTACTCTATGATATGCCACATGCAAGTGTATAGTCTTATATTGGTTTGTGAACAGTTTTTTTGTGTTATGTTGATAACTTGTTTATTGCTATCTTCATGATCTGAATCACATGATTGAGATTGTGGATAGAACGATATGGAACGAAAAAGACATTCCATTTTGTTATTTCTCATGGATCAGTGTCAAGTGTTTTTATCTCCTGAACAGTCAGTTCGATGTTAACATGTTAGTCTTGTTATTTTTTAGTGTTTTTTATTGTATTGATATAAGTTAAGTATTGTTATGACAATACTATAACTGTAAATTCACTTCAATGCCTGTTCAGTATTGTTAACTTGTTTTTAACATTGGACTCTTCATTGTGAAGTAATCACAAATTTATGACCATTTAGGCTAAAATGTAAAATTTGTAAAAGGTGCTTTGACATTTAATGAAATCAGACATTTCAGTATTATTGGGTGTAGCAAATATCTGTATATGGTTCCAGTATCGTCCATTTATGTCTTCAAATACATGTAATCAGTTCAGTACTAATATTCAAAAGAATTCCCTAGCAATTTATCACTTATGTTTGTGCCATGAACAATTCCTCTTCAGTATTATCAACTGTAACTAGGACCTGTTGTTTGATCAGTTTTTTTGGTGCCATAAAAATGCCAGTTCAGTATTATAAGATGTAACATGTACTGTAGTTTTATATCTTATTTTTAATACCAGTTGACTATAACAAATATATGGGTTTTTTATTTTTGTTTTTGTGACTTCAACAATGTAAGTTGAGTATTATAACTGTAGCTAATACCTGTTTATTACTTTCCACTTAATTAACAGTTATTTTGTGCGCTGAACAATCCCAGCTGAGTATTATGACCTGTAGCTAGTATCTATTGTTTTATGAGTTATGAACAATGCCAGTTCATTATTATAAAATGTAGTGCAAATACCTGCAGTTTTATCAGTTATTATTGGACCATAAAGCCAGTTGACTACTTTTGACTATAACAAATATCTGGGGAGTTTCACATATTTTTTGTGCAACTTCAACAAAGCCATTTCAGTATTAAAAACTGTAGCTAGTGTCTGTTTTATCAATAATCTTTGTGCAATGAACAATGCTAGTCCACTAACATATCTAAGTATCTGTGTTTTTATCAGTCATTTTGGTCCACAAGTAATGTCAGTTTTTCCATCATTACTAATATTGTTTATGTATTATAATTGCCAGTGAGTATTCTATTTTCTGCATGGACTGTACCAACTATTATGGACTGTTACGTGATGAACAAAACCGCCCAAATGGCGTGCTGGTTTTCTTGGGGGAATTAGTCAGCATATAGGAAAACTTAGTATAAATATTATATCATGATACAACTATGGATTGTTAACAGTAGCCACATTTCTCATGCTCACTGACATTACCATTGTAGTACATGTATCGTACAATTGTAGCTAGTTAGTCGTCATATTACACTTTTACACCATGTACACCGTTACAAACAGTAGGTAGCTAGTAAATATATATACTTAACGACTACAATAAATAAATTATTAAATAATTTTAGAACCTAACTACCAGCTCATCTTACTGTTTGTTATGTGCAGCTATGCACTTGATGTATAACAAAATCAATGTTATCTCCTAATATTTAGACACATTTATGCCGCTAGGCATATTTATGATTTAGGTATAATGAGAGGGTTGTAAACTAGTAAAGTAGGTTGTGAAAATTTAACATTTTTTTAGATCTCAGGGTGCTTGCTCAATTTTGTTGTATGTAGAAAATGTTTATTTTGAAATTTATTCCGTCCCTTGCAATAAGTTAATACCATATTTTCTGACATTGTCTCAATATTTTTTTATATTTTGTGACATATTTCATGTTTATGATTACTTCTTATGTAGATGTAGAGTCATTCATGACAAGTCATTATAATACAATGAAACAGGCCTTCAGCTACAATCAAAGTGTTTTGTTGTTTTCTTTGTGTATGTTTCATTTTTGGAATTATATAAATATATTCAAAATGTGTGTTTGTTTTGTTTATGATGGTTCAAATATATGAAGAAATTCACCAATAGTATTCATGGTATTAGCATTTTACTGATTTGTTTTACAATGTTTGTTTTTCCATATTATGAACTTTTATGTATAGATCTGTATATACTTTTTTTTATAAATTTTGTTTCAATTTTTTTTGGTGCTAATTTCGAATGACTGCACACATCGCAGTTTAGATAAGTGTATGTCACTAGTGCATGCTATACTAATGAAACATTGCAATGTACTGAAATTAATACTTACCTTCTACTCGATTTTACAAAACACGGCGTTCTAGAATTTAGAAGGCCGTATATTTGGCGGGCTTTGTTCGCAATGCACGAAAACAGAGGGTCTTAGTATTCAATATTCGTTACAAGCAAAAGAATATGCAATGAATTTCTCACCTCAGCGTATACGTTTTTCCGGTGCCGCACTGTCCCGTTATAAGCAGATTGTGGCCGGATAGGGCGATATCCAAAGCTTCTTTCTGCTCCAAGTTCATCTTCAAGTCGTCGGTTAACAGTTGTGAGATCGGATCCAGTGAGCACGTGCGGTAAATAGCGTTGGGATTAGCTCCCTTGTCTTCATTCAGTCCCAAGCTCCTTCCCAGCGCGTGACACCATCGTTACACTCTCGGTATAGAGAGCTCCGGGAACGTACTATCGCTGTGAGGAGCTTGCATTCAGTCCGTATCATTCCGGAAGTCGTGCAAGTATGAAAGACGGACTCAGCTTCGTGTCCGATGCCTGTATATATTTTAATTAAATTGTGATGTATAGGTGGGTGTTTTTAACGTACCAAACTGGCGAAAATGCCGTTCACAAGTTAGAAAAGCAATCGGCAACTGTAGTGTCAGTGTGGGTATAATCTATCGTTCGTAGTAATTTGTTGAAAAATCGAGTCGGGCCCTGCAGTAGTTTTCTGTTGCATTCCTTCTCGCCCTTCGGGCTCGCGTGTGGAGATGGTCATGAATATGCATGAGGGCGTCTATTTTTAGATACGGACTCCTGTGCTGAAATCCAAGTCCAAGATATTCCACAGAGCTCCAGATAACTTTTTGAGCAATTTAGTTTGTACTCAAAGGTTTCTATTGTAATTGGGTTATTACACTTTTCATTGGGTAATAAAAATGTTTTCACTCATCTATTCATCACTCTTTTGGGTTTTTCCCAATATGAGTAAACATTTTGAAATTTGAAAAATAATAATAATGTTTCAGATGTGTATAACCGTTCTAACTACAGGCTTGACTTGAAAGTAACTTAGCTTGTCATTGTGCTTCGGAAATCAGCTACACATGCTATAAAAGCTTCATTGGGCATTTACGCATGCTGATTTTATACATTTAAGTGTTTCATTTAATGCATACGTTTTTTTGTGTGTTTTTTTTTTTTTGGGGGGGGGGTATTTTACGCAAACACGCAGCTTATCTGTAGCTCTGATTCCAGAAGAATTGAAGATTCCTATATGAATCCTGGAAATGGCAAGAAATCAGTCAATGATCAATATTCACAAAGTTCACAAGCAGTTTGTGCTTCTTGAAGGCGAACGAATTCTAATCCGACTTCCAGTCGAGAAATACTACAGTACAATTACAGTTATCAATGAAATCGTATCTAAAACACTTGAGATATTTGTATTTCCCCCGTCATGACCACAACATAGAAATGTCAGCGTGACCTAATGTCTGGACACGCGGGCAGTTGTGTTCAAACAAACCCACGTGCGCAGGTTTCTATTTTATTATTACACAGACAGTTAGGAATGGCAGCTGTTCTAAAGTGTCAGAACAGATGCACAACGCAGCTTAGAACAAAGATGCGACGATTTGTCACAGAATAATCTCCGTGAAGTCGGCGAATTGTCTGTCTAACCTATCAGTCACCTCGTTTTCATAGACAAAATGGCGGACTTAAAAAATGAATGCGATGACCGGGACCTCGTGTCAGACATTTTCTACGAAGTCCGAGTTTAGTTCATAGTGCCATTATAGTGTAAACTGAAGTCAATACTACACAGACTCTAGTAGTAACAGTGGCAACAGCTGACAGTGTTTAGAATTTATATTGTAATGACAAACAAAAAAGGTAAAATGGTACCACACTTACTTGGCTTGCTTCTTCTCTACTTGCCGCTATAAAGAATCCCAGCCCACTGATTGGCTGGGAGCTGCCTGGGTCCCCCTCTCTCCGACCAACTCGTGTTATTCCGTTGGAACATTTACAGACTCGTGACACTATCAATGACTGTTATGTGCTAACTGCCAACATGGAGTTATCAAACAATAGTTGGTTTCTAACCAATGTTATTTTAAGTAACAAGCTCCAAATATTGAGAAGAATTAAAATGTTACACATAGTAAAAGGCAAGTAAAGCAATAAAATGTTCATAGAAAGTATACAATGTCAGGCCATAAGTGAGTGAGTGAGTGAGTTAATATTTAACGTCACATCGGCAGTATTTCAGCCATATCGTGACGAGAACTGATATAAAATACAAAGATTCGAATGGATTAAATATCTGTCATCGAAGGACAGTAAAAATAACTAGAGTATCACAGTTTGGATTTTAAAACTAGTTGAGAACATTAAAAAGAATACATTTTCATCAGGCCATAAGGCCTATAAGACACACAAAACAGCATATCTACAGATATTCGTAAAATAACAGGATGCATAATATAGCTTCCCATTGTTAATTATAACTTTTACATTGGCGAAAGTTGGATTTTAGCGAAAGCTTTAGTTTTCTTCTTTAAAACATGGGGGGCGGTCGGGCAGCCTAGTGGTTAAAGCGTTCGCTCGTCGAAGACCCGGTTTCGATTCCCGAAACGGGTACAATGTGTGAAGCCCATTTCTGGTGTCCCCGCCGTGATATAGCTGGAATATTGCTAAAAGCGGCGTAAAACCATACTCAATTACTCACTCACTAAAACATTGGGGATAATGACCACTTGCGGCTAGGGTCTAATAAACCATTCGATCCGTATTAGGAGAACGGTCTGGTCGACAGAGGACATCTGCCAAACTGTACGATAATGTTTGGATGCTAATTGCCACTGGTCGTATCTCAGGTGTGAGTGGAAGCTGCCATCAGCTGGGACATGTACTTGCACAATGTTCCTGTTACACATCAACATAGTCTGTCTTCAATAGGAGTCTTTGGGCGAGCGATTCTATCTAGTTCTGTGGACCCGTGAAGATCCGGGTTGGAATAGGTCTTCAGCAACCCATGGTTCCCGTAAGAGGTGACTATACTTGTCGTAAGAGGCGACTAAAGGGATCGGGTGGTCAGGCTCGCTGACTTGGTTTGACGCGGGTCTTCGTATCCCATCGTTGATCGATGCTGACGATATCAGTCACTGGATTGTTTGGTCCAGATCGATTATTTACAGACCGCCTTCATTTAGCTGGAATATCGCTGAGTGCGGCGTTAAACAACAAACAAACAAAGCTAGAACTATGGCAGTGGCACTGTGCTCTGTGGCACTGTGCTCATAATGCTACGCTGAGATCTACAAAACTTACATAAGGTTCAATAGTCGATGTGCCTTTAAACAATCTATATACACGTAATTTGTTGCCATGTGCTTGGCCAGTATCATTCCAAAGACGTAATAGCAGGATAACAAGAAATATTGTACAAATCGAAAACAGGTAGCTGAAGGCTGCTATAAGCAAGGCATTCGTTCTTCCAGGAATTACGGTAATCAGCGTTCCACCTGCAAATAGCGCTGAGCATTCTTGATTGACCAGCAGCAAAAAAGCTACAGCTTAATTCCCTTGCATCTCAAATAGCTCAGCCATAATATAATACAGGCTGGACTAGATTATCATATAAAGAACTGTATACATTATAAGCCAAACCACCAATAATATAAATTTCCATATCAAAAACACTAGGCACTAGCTATATTGGCAAGATTTAGCAATTTGTTTAGGAGTCAAGTTCAAATTGAGGTTTTCATGTAACCAGACGCCCACATATTTCTGAGCATGCGTACTTTCAATCTGATCACAACCAATGACAAAGTTAAACTCAGATCTTTTAACTGCGGGGGGTAAATTAGACTTGATCGCTATGTATCAGGGCATAGCTTATTATCAAAACTGTATGTAAACAATCTGAAAAATTATTAACACAAGTTTTATTTTTTAATGACTCTTCTGGAAGTAGATCAAATCCAACTGATTTCCCACGTTTAGCACGTGCAACTACACTCTCCAACCCATTCGTGACCAACTCGTGTTATTCCGGGACAAGCCAAATAGCCGCTCGTGCCAATCTCGTTGCCATTTTTTGCGAATGGGTTCCGTCTTAACGCAAACGGGCGTAGCTAAAAGAATTGTTAACTCGTTGCGTAATGATTCAGGTATATTTGCCCCATGCATATATATTCCAGGTGCTATTGAAAACACATCGTAACATACAGTATATTTTTTTAATGCAAGACATATGTAAAATAAAGAATTATTCCAGAGGGATTCTTTGACCGAAGTACTTAAAGTCATACACGCATTCTGATTGGTTTGTCGCATTTCCGCACATAACATTCAACGATAGGGGGGCGAGTCTTCTTGCAGGTTACGGAAAGGAGCGAGTGGTGACGAATGTCTCTATTTAAACGCGAGTGAGGGGAATCGGCTCGCTTAGCAGGTTGGTTGTACACGACCAACCCAAACAACAACACAAGACCTGAGTGAACAAACAGTCAGTTTGTTAGACAGCCACGGAATCTGTGTTTCATCAGTCAACAATAGAATGCTTACAGTCAATTATTAGAAAATGTTTTTAATCAGTTATAGAAGTACATATATGCGAAGAACGTCAGATGAACATGACAGAGAATCATTTGTCACGATACTACATTTGTCACGATACAGTCTACCGTACCCGACGTAATACAACAGTTTACATATGACTGAATATAGTATACCCGACACACTCTGAGTAATACATTACCCGAATGGGCATTCATGCAAGATACGTTCTAGTTCCTATTCATATTCCAGAAGGTAAACAATGTAATACAGCTAACAGTATTGACATAATCTTTTCACAGCATTAGTACAATGGAAATATATCAAGTATACCATTTTTAGTCACCAATAGACTGGCAGATATTGCCCTGGGTAATTTCATATATACTGAACAACAAAAGTTCCTGTGACATTGAATAAGATTTAATGCGTCCCCAAACCGATCTTCCATGACACAATGATTGACGTAACGTTCACCTCGACGTCGGTCACCACATGGACACAACAGGAGAACTGAAATCACCACATGGACACAACAGGAGAACTGAAATCACCACATGGACACAACACGAGAACTGAAGTCCCTAATTGTAATACAGATGTTTAAATGAAGTACCTCCGCCCCCGGAGCCCCGCTTTGCTCGCCTGTGAATATGGCGTCTGTTGTTTCAATACAAAGAATACACATCTACCCATAGTGAATCGCTATTCTGTAAAATGTTTCACAAACCCATAATATATCGTAGTTCAAGTTTGAAACTAAATTATCACGAATTTGTTTTTTACTAGAGTCACAATACTCATCCCCTCTACACAAGTTTTTACTAAGAAAACCGGAAAACTGCTTACATCTTACTTTCAAGAACATGTGTTTGTGTAAGATCTTTCATTTAATAAAAAAATAATTTGGATGGGAATAGTCCTACTAGTTGCAGAAGATTAACCGGGTGGCCATTGTCCTAGGTGGGAATTGTTCTCGGTGTCAGTTGTCCGGGTGGTAATTGTCCCAGGTGGCAATTGTTCGGGTGGCAATTGTCCTAGACCCGAAGTTTACAAAAATGATTAATCTGACTACATCTAGTTCCATATGTTTTGAATATGGGGTGTACATTGCTCGATATGTTATGCATCCGACATATTCCAGTCGCGAACAACAAATGTTAAAAACGATTTGTAGTACGTTTCCGCGCAACAAAGTGGAACTTGGAGTATAGATGTTGGAGAACCTTGTTCCATACATGGAACTGGTAGACACATTTCCCGGAATTAGATCTGAAAGATAATTGGGCGTTCTGATATAGAAAAGTTTATGAAAAATACATATGTAATGAATTAAACGACAGTCGAATAGAGATGAATAGCCCGTTTTATTATATATTTTCGAATGAGACACTCCTCTGACTGATCCACATGTTATTCACAATGCATCTAATGAAGCTTGTCTAGTATTTCTAGGTTCTTTGTACAGTTATTCCCTATGTAATCATCATAGTTAAATATTGGTGAAATGAAAAAGGTTGTATAAAGTTTGGAGGCTATTCCTTTGAAGATGGTATTTCAAGCTTCTTAAACAGTTGATCATTGGACTAACTTGGGCAACAATACTATCTACATGCATCTGCCTCGGACCATCATTCTGCGGAGTAAGTCTAAGCTGTTTGTGAGAATTAACAGTGTCCCTCTTTATTTCGTTCAGAAATAGATCTGGCATTGCACTTGCTGTTCACTTCCTAGAAAACAAAATTGATTCAGTCTTATTAGGATTGAAATTAACTTTCCAAGTTTTTTCCCCATCTTCTATCAATTCTAAATCTGTATTTAAATATATTGTTGATTAATCACGGTCATCAATAATTACATATAGCAAAAACGTCAGCAAATATTTGATATTGCACTGACTATTATTCACAATACCGTTAATGAATACCAACAATAATAATGGCCCTTAGACAGAACCCTGTCGGACTCCTGCGATTATTGGTTTTATATTAGATTCACAGCCATTTATTACAGACAATTGTTTTCTTTTCTTTGAATAACTTTCAAACCATTTCAAGAGGGAACCATGCACCCCACTATGATGTAATTTATATTAAAAAAACTTTGCCAAACTCGATCAAATGCTTTTCTTTAGTCACAATTATACAGCTCTTACTTCTTTACCATCGTAACCCGTAACCCGTACCCATTCTTGCTGTAAATGGTGACCATGCTTGCCGTGAGAGGCGAGTAACGGGATCGGGTGGTCAGGCTCGCTGACTTGGTTGATGTATGTCATCGTATCCCAATTCCGTGGACCGATGTTCATGATGTCAATCACTGCATTGTCTGGTCAAGACTCGATTATTTATAGACCGCCGTCATATAGCTGGAATATTGCTGAGTGCGGCGTTAAACAACAAATCATTGAAATCAACATACAAATCTTTACCATCGTCCATTGCCTTAGCTATACCATTGTATAGATAGGTCAGCTGATATCCAGTAGAATCACCAGCTGCAAATCCCAATTGCAAGATGTAATTATTCCATCATCTATGAACACAATTGACTCGTGTTTAAACACACGTTTCTCAAACAACTGGTGACAGAGGCGGGTTTATCAACGTACAATCATGAACGCTCGTCTTCTCATCCCGACATGGGTACAATGTGTCCCCCGCCGTGATATTGTTGGAATATTGCTAAAAGCGGCGTAAAACCATACTCACTCACTCACTCTATCACTCCTCTTCTTATGTGCTGTAACCACAGAGAAACATTTCCATTTATCTGGTAAATGTGAAGTTAATAATGAATAAGTTTTGTTAAAATCTTTTTCAATTCCATTTCCCCGCCGTGATAATGCTGGAATGTTGCTAAAAGCAATACTCCATTTTTACTATATCCTTTTATGCTTGTTTAGTTGGAGAAAGTGTATTATATCTCAATGTTTCCAAAGCATCAGAGCCTGAAAATAATAGTAATCGTATTCTGAAGTGCTTAGAAGAACAATTATCAGTTCCTCTATGTAATTTCTTCAATTCCTCAATGCTCTGTGCAGCCCGCCTGATAGACTAACATTTAGTCTCTGAAATCTTATATTACACAAGATCCCTCTTGACTCTAAAAATAAAAAAATTCCCTATGCTGTGGAATAGAGCTAGCTTGAGCTGGGTAGACTTGCTTTTGTATGCATTTCTAGATTATTATTTTTTCATAAAATAAATATATTCCACGGTCATTGTGCAGGACTACCCGCCTGAAAGTAAGGCGTCCTGTGAACCGTGTGACCCTAACAGCTAACCATAGTGGCAAATATTGGGGTGGGCAAGGTAACAGTGTTACATCATACTTACAGACGAAGGTTTGTTGGCGACGTGGCATCTTACGATAAGCCGGGGCAATAAATCCTGACCGTGATCGGTATGGGGGCGGTAATGTCAGGGTTTGGGGGCCGTATCCAGCACAACAGGCGAACTGATTTAGTTATTGTGAATGGACATTTGACTTGCCAGCGATATGTTGACTCACTCACTCCTTCACTCACTCCTTCTCTTCACTCACTCAGCCACTCTTTCATTCACTCATACATAATCCTAAAGCAATATACGATTAAAATACATTTAAATAAAACAATCATTATAGCTGCATATCTAACTCTGATTTGAAGCAAAGAAAACAAAACGTCAGCTGTTGGACACGAAAGCATCAAAGGGTAGAATTAAAATAGAAATTGTATTTACAGTAAGTACCGCATCTGTTGCTGATAAAAGAGCGTGACAGTGACTTCTCGCGCCGACAGAGGTGGGCGGGCTGACATTGTCATGTCGCCAACACGGCGATGATAACCTGCGCGCGGAAGTTAAGTCTTATCTGAAAACGAGGCAAACAGATACCATATTAGACGTCCACACCGCCGCTAGTGAGCTTACAATAGCAACATCACGTTTTCCTCAAGTCCAGAGTTGACATTGGTCGCAGTGACAGTAGCATGCGAGTGGACTGATTCGTGAACAGAAGCTTTGTGCATATTCGACGTGAGTGAATTTTCAATTCAATTACATTTATTGAAGAATTAAAACCATGTAATGTTCAAATTAGTTTGTGTCTCGTATAGCACGTTGATATACCTGATAATATTCGTTTGTAATCACACAATTTTAAGTCTTTCACCTGATTACGAGATTGGAGCAATGAGATCCGACATGATATCATACTATGTAGGTAATCATATTGTAGCGTAATGTCCCAACAAAATATTTATAAATGTTTTTTTCAGGTTTTTGTCAAATAGGAAACTCAGATTCATGTCTTTGATCGGTTACTTTAATCCATGGTCTGTACATGGCCAATTGTTTCAAACTTTGTAGTCAAATCAAATTATCCTACCTGATGCTCTACTGCTTCTCTCCATGTCGCGTCACACGTGCACTATGATAAACAAATAACGTTATCGCGGACTCCAGATATGACAACAAGATGTAGACAACAGGCAGCATGTGAAGGAGCGTCCGGCGTCTCAGCATGACAGCAGTCATCAGCTGCTTTATCGCTACACAGTGACACACATGTCAGTCTTGTTGTGGCGCAGATAGTGGAGACATGTACCAAGTGTCACCCCTGGCTGTCCATGGTTGATCATGAACGATTGTCCTGTACTATACCTATTATTGTATACCCCTGTTAGCATTATTCCTGTCTCATCACTGTGGGGAAACGAACCCGGTGTAGGTTGCACACCATCAAATGTTTTCCCATAGACTTGTATAGTAACTTATAACTAGGCATTCAACAGCCAATCGATGTACAACTATGCAAAGCCTTTCTTAAAGTTGAAAACACATAAAAAAATTGAATAGCTTAGCCAGTTTCATTTCCCAGTACAGAAACCTAAACACGCAGTTCTGCACCAAATATCTTGTACTGTGTCTGTTTGTCTGTCTGTCTGTTTGTCTGTCTGTCGAGGGGCACGAGTGGCCCAGTCGTTTAAGGCGCCGCGATTCGCTGTGCAGAGTTGCGTCCCTTGGGCACGCCAGAAACCTATGATTGTGGGTTCGAATCCCGGTTCGCCCCGATTATGGTTCTAGGTTTGTAAGCACCATACCCGTGCTCGTGAGTTTCACCGAAGTGGTAAACGTCTGAGACCTGCATCACTTCGGGCTTTCCTCACACATTAAGCTGACAGGCCGTGATATGACTGGAATACTGTTAAAAGTGGCATTAAACCCAACTCACTCACTCACTGTCTGTCGACGTTTATAACAGTAACTGCCCAGATAACGGAGGGTCTAGACTAACGGGGTTTCTGTTCATGTATTCATAGTTGGATAAGATGTAAAGCGACAAAACCCTCTCCATAATCAAAAGAAATCTTTGCAAAACCAGAATCGATTGTACGACTATATCATGAGCATGTGTTTATGAATCTCTATCAAATAGTGATGATCCCAGGTGTTCGCGAAAAGGTGAGAAATGGTAAGACATGCACTATTTATTTCATGTTAATTTCAAGTAGATGACTGGTGTAAAAATGATTAACTTGCCTAGTTTATTTCACAACTAGATTATGTACATTAAATAGAGAATCTCATCCTCACCGAGTGTTGATATATTTGATATCAAAAGACACAAGGAGGGGGGGGGGGGGGGGGGGGGGGGTCCTCTACGTAATAACGTCGGAATGTCCTCTATATAATAACTTGTGAATGTCCTATATGTAATAACGTTTGAATGTCCTCTATGTAATAACGATTGTATGTCCTCAATGTTATAACGTTGAATGTCCTCTTTGTAATAACGTTTGAATGTCATCTTTTGAAAAAGATTGATCCTGCTACAACGAAATATCATACCGACATGTTTTATTCTGCCATTGTAGATGGAGTAAAACAAATTCAAAATTGACAGAAAACAGCTGTTCGATTGAGCTGAGGTTAGCTTGTGCTATGTCACATGACCTTCATTGACTCGGAAAAGCGTGCGGCCTTTTGTTTCGAAGCGGGATATAAGGGATTTATTCTCACGCTCAGGAATTCACGTGTCTGTCTTCTTCGTAGCGGGGTATAAGGGATTTATTCTCCCGCTCTGAAATTTAAATCCCTTCCAGGCGGAAAACATACTATTTCATCAAGAGCACGTGAACCAATCAGATCTCATCATTCTGACTTGGGGTATGATAATAACGTTTGAATGTCCTCTATATGATAACATATCTGCACGCGAATCCATTGAGAGGGGTAATAAGGTAGCGAATTATTATTATTATGTACAGATTAAAATTTAAAAAATGCAGGAAAGAGGGTTTGGGTGACCCTTGCACAGTCAGGCTGGTTAGGCTCATCATCAGCTCAGGGCCCTTGCTCCCTCTACACGCAGCCCAGACAGCGAATGGGACTTCTCCCAGGAAGCGCTGCCTCGTCAAACCCAGCCAGAACTTTTCGGAGAATGTGAAGACTCCCCAACACTGCAGCCTTCTGCATTACCCAGATTGTCAGAAGGGCTGTATTCCTGGTAGCAAACCCGGGTACTCTCCCAATGTCAGTCAAAAGATTGGGAGGTACCAAACCTAAGGCACCGAGAACAATGGGGAGTCGGACAACTTGGTACTTGGGATGCAAGCGTGAGTAGTATAACATGCACTTTTGCCCGTTTTTAATTGCCGTCCTCTCATTGGCTGATTTCTGCCCGCAGAAGTTCTAAAATTACAAAGTGAAATTTTCCAGCTGAAAAAAAAGAAATAGAGAAAGGATTATCTTTATTGAAAGCGTCTCAGCAAAATGTTTAAAGTTTTCTTTTGTGAGATTTGGTGGTTCCATAAGGAACCTGTGTGTACGCTGTAGACGTGGATGTTGACGTCTTAGATCATCGTGGATGGTGAGCCAAATACGGTCTTCAGGTAGACGCAGTTGGGGGAATGCCTTCCATGTTCTTTTTAAATACCTGTAGGAAGGATGATCGGGAATATCCATAATATCCGATCCCACTGTCCACGAACTCCGACAGCTATCCGCATCCAAACATTTACATCCGTAGTCGACACTAGCGTCGCAATCCGTGCTTAAATCCATTTTCACGTCCGATATCTCCAACAGCTCGAGCCGCAAATGATATAACCGCGATGACAGTCCGGCGATCAAAATCACGTGATCAGCCGGATAACCATTGAACGTCCTACACCGGACAATCATGTGGCAGTTCCGGGTCAATGACCCGCACTCAAACCCGGTAACTTAGATTTATATAACAACAGTTTGCGGAATTAAACAGTATACACGAAACCGGCGGTTCTGTTTGGGTGTTCGACATACGTTCGACTGCCATCGACATGTCAGGACACGTAGAACTGTCTTGGGATACATTCAAGTTTAAACACCCTTTCCGCGTATTGATAAGTGGAAGTAGTGGTGCTGGAAAGACCACCTTTGTATATAAGTTACTGCAGAGTTTAGATAACGATTTACCTCTGTGCGAAAAACCCGATGCCATCGTGTGGGTATTTAGCGAACAACAGGTTCTGTAGGATTGAATATCGTCTTTCTGCGCGAAACACGGTATATCTATATACTTTATACGTAACGTCATCGAAGCAGAAACGTTAGTTCGAGATAAGAGTTGGATAGTCCAGAGACCATATACCGGTCTGAAGTGACTGATTATGACTTTAAATAGTTTGAAATTTGTGCACAAGTTCTAATTTTGGCATGTGTTTATGTGTCTTATGAGACAGTTTAAGAGGCTGTGGCTCACATGCTATGGTTTAGGAGATAAACTATCCCTGGACAGATGTGTCCTGAGGGTAGACTGATACCTACAACAATGTCTACATCTCCCTTTCCCAAATACCAACAGGGAATGACCGCCTTCGTGGTCTAGTGGTAGAGCGTCCGCCCGGAGAGCGGAAGGTCCGGGGGTTCGATCCCCGGCCGCGTCATACCAAAAGACGTTAAAAGGTGGTACTTGTTGTTACCCTGTCTGGCGCTCGGCATTAAAGGGCTAAAACAAGGACTGGTCGGCTCGGAGTCAGTATGCTGTGTCTGAGTGGGGTATTCATGTTTAACTGTGGCATGGTATCTCAGTGTGCTAGCACTATAAATCGGCATCGGTCCGGACTGGTACAAGCAGCCACACAGACACGTGCATGCAGGTCGCTATATAAGTGCAATAATCTTGGACGCGACGTTACTTTAAACCCAATTTCACCTCATCTCACCAACAGGGAACAACTTGTTGACCGGATTGTTGAGCTGATTTCAATGCCATTGGTGTTTATTCCAAAGTCACCTTCTCTGTAGGCTGAGATGCCAGAAGTAACAGCCTGACTCAACCCAACACCTATTGGGACCAGATGGCTGAATTTGTCTTCGTAATTTCCGAGGCTGACATTGTAAGAGGACTACTTTGATAAAAGTTTCTTGACATCTGTGAGGGTCGAAAAGAAATGAGGCAAGCCAATCCAAAAATCATTGTCATGTCCGATGTACTGTCTGTGGACTGACTGACTGACTGGCTAAGTATGGTTTTACGCCGCTTTTAGCAATATTCCAGCAATATCACGGCGGGGGACACCAGAAATGGGCTTCACACATTGTACCCATGTCGGGAATCGAACTCGGGTCTTCGGCGTGACGAGCGAACGCTTTAACCACTAGGCTACCCGACCGCCCGTCTGTGGACTGAGACAGATGCAAGTAGGGATGGTGTTACTGACACTGACAGTTTCAGAGCTCACTGTGAACCGTCATAGAATTGGACCAGGTTAATGGCATCCTCGATTGCTCGAACGACTGTAAAGTCTCCAAGTTGGTGACACTCCTCAAGCAAAGTCTTTTTCAAACATGAGTACTGTTTGTACCTTCTATGATGAAGAATTCCCCTGACAACGTCATCAAGATTGTCTTCAGGACTGTACTGGTGCATCTCGCCCACAAGAACATAAAACGCATCTGCCCAACAGTTGTCAGAATCCTTGAATCCATTATGACTGTGGTGTTCTCTCGCTTCTGGCTCTTGATGATACTCAGCCGGGCCGATGTAAAATGCTGCCCAAGCCTCAGCCTACTGCAGTTGTCTTACACTGGAAGAAAATATACAACATACAGATATGTCTGGAAAAACTAAAGAGACAGTACACATTGATTTTTTGTCTCTTCAACATTATACAGTTCATGTTTAATAAATACTATAAACTATTAAATTAATGAGACAAATTAGAGCGACTCTTGCCAGCAAAGTTATGCATTGTTAATGGATAGAATGAAGATTGTTGTTATATTAGATTCACTGAACCATGTGCACATGGGCAGAAACAATGGATTAAATTAACAAATCTCTCAATAAACAATGTAATTGTGTGCTAGATTTAGACAGTACTTCAAACACACATCCCGCGTTAAGTGTTGTCAGCTTGTTTACACAAGTTAATTAAGCAGTTGTGACAGTCAACCATATATGAAGCTTGTCATAATTTTGTAATAGATTATACAGTAAACTACGGTTATAACGAACACGCTTATAACGAACTGACGGATATAACGAACTTGCTTTTTTGGTCCCGACTATATGCTGTAGTTATGCTGTATATATGCTTCTAACGAACTACGGTTATAACGAACCAAAATTAGTAGTCCCTTTGAGTTCGTTATAACCTAATACGCAGAAAGAGGAAGAGAAATAAACCGCGTAGACGATGATTCGTGCCGAGGCTATACAATGTGCAAAGTCTGAACTAGATTTATTTTCAGTACCGGGTGTTGTGACGAGCATGACCCGATAGTCAATGGGTGCGATATACTCCGACAACCTCTACAATCAGGTTTGGACCCATATGATTTGATATCCTAAATCCCGTTAATAGTTATATCGATTTAGCGCAGTGTTTTTTGCGAATTGTTGTCAAAGTAACTAAAAGTAATGGCGACAATACAAACCCAAGAGCATCGGGACAAGATAATAATATACCTCCGTACCACGTCACGCCTATAAATAATTCCCTTCACAGTCATTTCCGCGATGTAAGGGTAAAACTCGGTCAAAATCAGCAGGAGGTCACGCCCAGTCTCGGTACGTAGCCTGCCACAGTTATCTCGAACCGCTACTGTCCTTCGACGAAGAATCTAAACAGAGTTTTATGTCATGTCAAGGATGGCATATGGACGAAGCCAACAAATTTGACGATCTCAATATGGACAATGCTCGCTGCAACTCGGGGACGAAAAAACGGTGGCAATCAATAGTTCCCACGCGTGAAGAAGCATACCTGTCAAGACTTAACTGCATATATTTTTACAACCCCGTTATCTCATAGACGGTGTTAATATAAAACTAGAGCACATTCGTTCATCGGATCAGTTTTGGTTGATGTACGCCGATGTTGGGACTACTTATAAAAGTGAGATCGTCAGAGCGGAATTTTACGTCAGACAAGTGGAAGTTTCACCACGAATAAGAGAACTACACATTATAGCTTTACAGAAAGGGATAACTGCAAAATATCCTATTATGCGAGTCAAGACAACTGCTCAAAGGTCAAAGGAAGAGGCCTCTGGGCAAGGCGCAGGCTAACCCCAAGCCTCAGGTGGATCCCACTTCGGCCCCAACCCTTCCTACAACCCGCCCGGTGCAGAAGGCCAGACTACCCAAGAAGAAGAAGTTCCCCCCTTCAGTCCTCGACATGGAGATAGAGGAGACCCTTCCCTCCACCCCTCCGCCCCCAGTAGCAGCGTTGGAACTCGCTCCCCTCGAATCCAGAGGGGAGGAGACCTTCCGCTCGCCTGAGGGGACGGGCCACGGGAGGAAGAAGAGGAAGAGGAGAGGCTCTCCCGAACCAGCCTCCCGGCCAACCACTACCACCGCGTCAGCAAAGTCCCAGACCCCGACGCCCATCCTGAACGACTCCAGCGCTCAGACCACCTCACCAGAGCCCCCTTCCCTTAGCGACGGCCAGACTCAGACCACCCGGTCGAGGTCAAGGACAAGGTCCTTAAAGTCGCGCTACTGGGAAAGGCGGAGGGTATCCTTAGATACGTATAAGGCTCATCCCAACCTGGGCGCGGACTGCATAGAGACAGCCCACGACCAGCTGTTTCCCTCCGCCAACACCGACGGAGCCCCACTCCCACCCAGCCAAACCCCCACCCCCTTAGCCTTTATTAGTTTGGGTCTGTAAAGTTTATATTTTTGGGGGGGTTGCACTTCTTTATTTATTCACTACGCTTTTTTTACCAAGTAGTATAAGTGCAACCCCGTGTGCGAAATACGCTTGCAGTCGGAAAGCGCACGTTAAATCTCCAATGATAGAATAGAACGACATGTTATACGTAGTCTCGCCTATTATGGAAGGTCCACACTTTCCTTTAGCAGTAACGTTTAACAATCCGAGTTCAGTATTTATCAAAGGTAGCAATTGTAGCATTGTTCTCCATTCTTCCATAGTAATTGCTTTTCCTTCAATGGTCGCCTTACCGGCCAGAAACATTCTCACGTCCAAAACTGTACGGTTTTCAACTCGACATACGTTCGGTCTGGTCACTGCCGACAATTTGAACTGATTAAGCGAACACTTTTCGCCACGGGTGTTCAGACTTTTTATTGCCTCAGATCTGGGTAGATATTTTAATGTCTGCATGGAAAATAGCGTAAGAGGGTTCGATCGTAGAATTATTAGTTGTCCAAGTGATCCATTCGGCTACCGAAGAACCGGTTAGAAGACACATCAAGATAGATGTACCTATAATCATAATACGTTTCTTTCCGTTAATGGTCAAATTTCTACCCAACAATCCGCAGTTAGCGGTAGCGACCATGGGAGGTTCGTCAAAAGGCTGTTCCATGTTTTCTCAACTGCTGAATTAGTTAGTCGTTCGCCGGTTTAGTGTATACTGTTTAATTCGCAAACCGGTGTTATATAAATCTAAGTTATCGGGTTTGAGTGCGGGTCATTGACCCGGAACTGCCATGTGATTGTCCGGCGTGGGACGTTCATTGGTTAGCTGGACACGTGATTTTGATCGCCGGACTGTCATCGCGGTTATATCATTTGCGGCTCGAGCTGTTGGAGATATCGGACGTGAAAATGGATTTAAGCACGGATTGCGACGCTAGTGTCGACTACGGATGTAAATGTTTGGATGCGGGTAGCTTTCGGAGTTCGTGGACAGTGGGATCGGATATTATGGATATTCCCGATCATCCTTCCTACAGGTATTTAAAAAATCGATTAGATACCTACTACAAATTTCCTATTCAAATTAAGCAGACTCCTCTCGAGCTGGCCAGGGGCGGGTTATTCTACACGGGAATGAACGATTGCGTTCAGTGCTATATGTGCGGTATTAAACTGTAGACAAAATCTTACAAGAACATAGAAGACATACCTCCAACTGCGTCTACCTGAAGACCGTATTTGGCTCACCATCCACGACGATCTAAGACGTCGTCAACATCCACGTGTACAGCGTACACACAGGTTCCTCATGGAACCACCAAATCTCACAAAAGAAAACTTTAAACATTTTGCTGAGACGCTTTCAATAAAGATATCCTTTCTCTATTTCTTTTTTTCAGCTGGATAATTTCACTTTGTAATTTTAGAACTTCTTTTTTTTAAGTATTGTATACACTAAAGCGTAGTATATGGTGTACTCTTTATAAATCAATAATTGTCTACCCTGGTTTAGGGGGACCCTGCGGTTGGTTGGTTGGTATGTTGTTTAACGCCGCACTCAGCAATATTACAGCTATATGACGGCGGTCTGTAAATAATCGAGTCTGGACCAGACAATCCAGTGATTAATATCATGAGCATCGATCCCCGCAATTGGGATCGATGACATGCATCAACCAAGTCAGCGAGCCTGACCACCCGATCCCGTTAGTCGCCTTTTACGACAAGCATAGTCGCCTTTTACGGCAAATATGGGTTGCTGAAGACATCAGCCAATGAGAGGACAGCAATTAAAAATCGGACAAAAGTGCATGTTATACTACTAGCGTGACATTTCGAAAGCGAGGTCTGCATATTTGCCATGTTTTTCCTCAATCTTGTCAATCACATTAGTGTCAAAAGGGACAGTAAATTCAATGATATAAGAGATTTCATTGGATTGATAAAAAAGGACAAGATAAGGTTTGTTGGCCTGGACATGTCTGAGGCCTATTCCAAAGGATTTTGTATTTATCATTTTTCATGACGCCCACTACATATTCCGGGTCGTACTATGGATGGACCTCTGTGTCAAAACCACAAGCATGGCGAAGACGGTCATAAAATTATCGAGCTACACCATCATGTCGCTTAAGATACTGTGTCATTGCCGAAGCTGGGCATCCACTGACAATGTGTTGGACAGTCTCATTAAATTCATTACATAATCTACATTAATTTTCATATTCACATTTTGATGCAAAATCACACATTGACGGTTTCGAGTTGGAAGTGACTTGTCCTGAGCAGCAAACAGAAGGCCCTCCGTTCCACTTTTCAGGCCAGACGACTTCATCCAAGCGAAGGACTCTGCAGGTTTGCTGATCTTCTCAACACACTGCACATAACTCGATGCAGTGGTCGTTCAGATAGCCTCTCCTTGAAAAACTGAGTCTGGACCGACTTGATATGGCACTTCGCTCGGTTGACACTCATTTCTGTACCGTCCAGCAGTACAGAACCATCAACAAAATCAACACGGACCTTGAGACTATGTCTCACATCCTTGGCTCGTTTTAGAAAACTGTGGAATGCCTTTTTTTCATCATGAGTCTTGACATGCTTCACAAATAAATGTGTGCAAAAGTGCACAAAACAATTCTATCATTATTATTATGATTATGATTATTATTATTATTATTATTATTATTATTATTATTATCGTATGAACGTCCTCAATGTAGCACGGCAATATGAACACGGCAGGTTACAAGCGTCCCCGGGAGATAGTATCGCAGAGACATGCCGCCATGCAGTAAGAGCGAGTACAGTCTGTCGGCAGGAAGAGGCGCCACAGAGAACGAGTTCAGGCCTGATGCGGAGACGGAGGAAGATCCGGAATACGAAGAGGAAGAGCTGAGATACGGATGGGGATCGTGGAAGCCAAAGTAGGTACTTTGTAAATGGCCCTAAATATAGTTAGACCATTACAATGTAATAACTATATTGTTCTGTGCGATATTTAACTCAAAAGAGGATACAGAAAAAGACTTATTGCTTTCGATTTTCTTATGGTTTATAGTGTTACCAGGAAACCCGTCCATGACAATCACAACCACCTCTGAAGTATTTCTGAGAAGGTGGAGATTAAGAATAACAACTGATTCGATTGCTCTGGAGATACTGGTGCATGTTTGTGTAAAGTCACCAGCTTATTGGGAGAAGCACCTAGAATGTAACCACCAGATAACGTCTCCTTATCTCTTGTCGAGATTCTAACACAGCTAAAAATATAATGTATTGTGTCTAATATATCTCAACTGAAATAAAAGAAAAGCAATGAGGTCTTTCACTGAGTTCTATATAAGTCTATCTAACTAACCGCTTGGTCTTTGATTTAAAACATGACCATTTCTCAGCCAGAATGTCGGGAGTGGTGCTTATGAATCTGTGGAGGGGGTGTTTGTCTGCAGATAATACTTGGCTTGTTGACCTCGGGTCATGTTTGGGTCATGTTTGCGTCAATTTTGGGTTATGTTAGCGTTGCGGGTCAACTCGTCCAGGGTTCCACACCATACACGTCGATATTTAAGTGCAATAATCGCGAACGCGACGTTAAACCCCATTTAAACTCACCTTAGAATGCAAATTCAACGCAATGTACATGTATAATATGTACAACTCTAAGCCAATATAATTGAATATTGATTAATGTTAAATGTGTAAATGTTGTTAGTGTATGACAATCAGTGAACCAGTTTTGATTGTTCTCACGTTCTGTATTTACGTAAAAGTATACACAAGAAACACGTGTAGATAATACACTCGAGTGACACATCACAATCCCCCAATTTATATTCCGAGTTGGGATCAGCTTTTAATGTTGTTTTGTAATTCAGCTATCACCACGTCCCTCATACTGAACATTTGATTTCCATCCTTGTTTCCTTGTGCTGGAGAAGTTGTACATCCATCACATGTAACCGAGTCACAGACACAGGTGATAACAAACTGGGTTTGGGGGACTTTCTGACGTAGGACATTACATTGAAGGTATATGCCATGTACATAGGTACACTGGGTGCGGTGATGCTCGAAAATGGGTGATGTGATATTCCGCCAATTGATGAAAACTTGAGTGAATCTTGTGACACGAATGCAACATTTAAATGCAGTGTCACCTTTGGTTTGAAACAGTTCATAAAAACAACAGCCTTCTCATGACAATTCCCATATTCTCACTGGTACGTTGTGTAATGTCCAATCCGTATATACCCGCATGTTCATTAAGTGATTTAAGAGAAACTATTGTAGATTGGATGTTTTAATTTTGTTAACGTTTTGTATGTTGTTCATGAATACACGTACATGATGTTAGTGTGACGTTCTCAGCTCTTTCTTCTCAAGGTGTCTGCAGGCGTTCAACTGTATCCGCTGGTACGTCTTCTGGACGTCGGTCTTCAGTCTGTTCCAAGGCTTCACAATCAACGGCGTCACCAACGCCATCATCAGCTCTCTAGAGACACGGTTTGAGTTGCCCAGCTCCTTGTCCGGCCTCATCATCAGCTCCAACGACTTCCTCGCGCTCTTCCTCGTCCTCGTCATCAGCTACTACGGTGCTACACGCAACAAGCCTCGCCTCATCGCTGCCGGTATCCTGATCCTGGGGCTGGGGTCGTTTGTGTTTGCTCTGCCACACTTCATTACTGGTGTATACAACTACAAGGCTTCGGGTGAGTGAAAACTGAATGCATTGCTGGTGTATACAACTACAAGGCTTCGGGTGAGTGAAAACTGTATGCATTGCTGGTGTATACAACTACAAGGCTTCGGGTGAGTGAAAACTGAATGCATTGCTGTTGTATACAACTACCACCTCGGGTGAGTGAAAACTGTATACATTGCTGGTGTATACAACTACCACCTCATGTGAGTGAAAACTATACATTTCTGGTGTATACAACTATCACCTCGGGTGAGTGAAAACTGTATACATTGCTAGTGTATGCAACTACCACCGCGGGTGAGTGAAAACTGTATACATTACTGGTGTATACAACTACCACCTCGGGTGAGTGAAAACTGTATACATTTCTGGTGTATACACTTGCACAAAGCGATCCTAGCAAAAAAATGATACACAAACTCTTATCGCAAATATAGTCCCGAGTCACACAAAGCGACCTTAACCCTAAGATGGCCATAACCCCCACGCTTTAACGTAGGCTTACGATAGTCTCAGCGCTACGATCGCTTTGTGCAAGTGGGCCCAGATTCTCAAAGCATTCTTAGCGCTACGACTGTCCTAATCCTACGTTAAGCGTTGGAGTTATGGCCATCTTAGGGTTAAGGTCGCTTTGTGTGACTCGTGACTCGGGACTATATTCTCGATAAGAGTTTGTGTATGACGAGACTGTGATTTGTAGATAGTCAGAACATGTCCGGGGAGGTTTGGTAAATAGCTTATCATTAGTAGGATCATGTTTGACTTGCCTTCTGGTAGCTGGTGGTTTGTAGTGAGTGGGTGAATGTTGTTTGACGCCGAGGACAACGGGTTACAGCTGTATAACGGCGCCTTGTACATACTGGGGTCTGTGTCGGGACACTGGGTGACAGCATGAGGAACGCCCATGGAGTTAGGTGACACTCAGCTTGTTGTGAGAGGCGACTAACGGGATCGGGTGGTCAGGCTCGCTGACTTGGTTGATGCGCGTCTTCGTATCCCATCGTTGATCGATGCTGACGATGTCAGTCACTGGATTGTCTGGTCCAGACTCGATTATTTATAGGCCGCCGTCATATAGCTGGGATGTTGCTGAGTTTGGCGTTAAACATCAAACAAACAAACCATGGTTAATGAGGTTTAGTTACTCTCTGGAATCTTACAGGTATGATGTTTGAAACTTGTTATACATCTTATATCACGTTACGGCATCCATTGTCAGTCACACGTTGGGGTAGTGCATTAATCTAAATGTTGGCAACGTGCGGCCTTGTACCTGCCCCTGTGGATTACAGTTACAAATTTAGGACGCATCATTTATCAAATGATGTATAAAGCTTGTAATGAGGTCAACTCAAATTCCTTGTCTGATGGCGGGTGATGGCGTCTCATGACCTCTGACCTCATCGTCAACTGCACAATACCTCCATGAAGATTCAATTAGCTTAACAGCCTTTTGGTAGTCACGTTGTCTTTCATGGTCAGGGTACATGACCTGTGGCTGTCCGTTGATGTTCAGAACTAAATTAGAAAACAGATTACGTGTGAACAAAGGACCTACTCTCTCACTCACTCACTCGGGGGGCACGGGTGGCCCAGTCGTCTAAGGCGCCGCGATTCGCTGTGCAGAGTTTCGTCCCTTGGGTACGCCAGAAACCTATGATTGTGGGTTCGAATCCCGGTTCGCCCCAATTATGTTTCTAGGTTTGTCAGCACCATACCCGTGCTCGTGGGTTTCACCGAAGTGGTAAACGTCTGAGACCTGCATCACTTCGGGCTTTCCTCCCACATTTAGCTGACACGCCGCGATATAACTGTAATACTGTTCAAAAGCGGCGAAAACCACTCACTCACTCACTCACTTCACTCAATTCACTCACTCACTCACTCACTCACTCACTCACTCAGCATTGTATTTCCAGATGTCCACGAAACATCATGCAGAGAGATTGGCAACACTACCGAGTGCGGTGAACGGAGAGACTCCTACCTACAGAAGTACGTCTACATCTTCATGCTCGGTAACGCGCTGCACGGGGCTGGAGCCACGCCTATGTTTACCCTGGGGACGACCTTCATTGACGAGAACACGCAGGCCAAGATGACGTCTCTTTATCTAGGTGAGTACTTCATTGTATCTCATCACGGTCTGCGGGGTTGCCGACGGTCTGACGGGTGGCTCCACCCCATGGATTTCAACAAAGGGCACCGGCGTCCCAGAAGGATTGGTGTGGTGTGGTGTGTTTTGTTTTTTTCTTGCTATTTAAACAATATTTTGTCGTGAAGTTTTAACCCAACAATGAAATTGTGGGCATGCTGGGTGAATGATAGTTTGAAGCAGTGACCGAAAAAATTCTCAAACAACTATACCAGCAACCCCATGATGCCCCCATCGTGTGTCGTCCGTTCTGCTTCGTCCCAACAATCCTGGAAGCTGTTTGACCTGCGTGCTGTTATCGTATTTTCTTTATGGATGATTCTAGGGCTCAGTTGCACACAGTTATCTCAGCACTGCGACTAGCACAGACATCCAATAGTTGGAGCACTGCGACTATCACAGACATCCAATAGTTGCGGCACTGCGACTATCACAGACATCCAATAGTTGGAGCACTGCGACTATCACAGACATCCAATAGTTGCGGCACTGCGACTATCACAGACATCCAATAGTTGCAGCACTGCGACTATCACAGACATCCAATAGTTGCAGCACTGCGACTATCACAGACATCCAATAGTTGCAGCACTGCGACTATCACAGACATCCAATAGTTGGAGCACTGCGACTATCACAGACATCAAATAGTTGGAGCACTGCGACTATCACAGACATCCAATAGTTGGAGCACTGCGACTATCACATACATCCAGTAATTGCGGCACTGCGACTATCACAGACATCCAATAGTTGGAGCACTGCGACTATCACAGACATCCAATAGTTGCGGCACTGCGACTATCACAGACATCCAATAGTTGCAGCACGGCGACTATCACAGACATCCAATTGTTGCAGCACTGCAACTATCACAGACATCCAATAGTTGCAGCACGGCGACTATCACAGACATCCAATAGTTGCAGCACTGCGACTATCACAGACATCCAATAGTTGCAGCACTGCGACAATCACAGACATCCAATAGTTGGAGCACTGCGACTATCACAGACATCCAGTAGTTGCGGCACTGCGACTATCACAGACATCCAATAGTTGGAGCACTGCGACTATCACAGACATCCAATAGTTGGAGCACTGCGACTATCACAGACATCCAATAGTTGGAGCACTGCGTCTATCACAGACATCCAATAGTTGCAGCACTGCAATCTGTTAGAATGTCTGCCCGTGTGTGTTGTTGTAAATGACGCTCGTGTTTAACGCTTTCAATGACTCCCGTGTGTGATGTTGCCAATGACGCCCGGGTGTGATGTTGCCAATGACGCCCGTGTGCGATGTTGCCAATGACGCCCGTGTGTGATGTTGCAAATGATGCCCGTGTGTGATGTTGCCAATGACGCCCGTGTGTGATGTTGCCAATGACGCCCGTCTGTGATGTTGCCATTGACGCCCGTGTGTGATGTTGCCAATGACGCCCGTGTGCGATGTTGCCAATGACGCCCGTGTGTGATGTTGCCAATGACGCCCGTCTGTGATGTTGCCATTGACGCCCGTGTGTGATGTTGCCAATGACGCCCGTGTGCGATGTTGCCAATGACGCCCGTGTGTGATGTTGCAAATGACGACCGTGTGTGATGTTGCCAATGACGCCCGTGTGCGATGTTGCCAATGACGCCCGTGTGTGATGTTGCAAATGACGCCCGTGTGTGATGTTGTCAATGACGCCCGTGTGCGATGTTGCCAATGACGCCCGTGTGCGATGTTGCCAATGACGCCCGTGTGCGATGTTGCCAATGACGCCCGTGTGTGACGTTGCCAATGACGCTCGTGTGTGATGTTGCCAATGTCGCCCGGGTGTGATGTTGCCAATGACGCCCGTCTGTGATGTTGCCAATGACGCCCGTGTGTGATGTTGCCAATGACGCTCGTGTTTGATGTTGCCAATGACGCCTGTGTGTGATGTTGCCAATGACGCTCGTGTGTGATGTTGCAAATGACGCCCGTATGTGATGTTGCCAATGACGCCCGTGTGTGATGTTGCCAATGACGCCCGTGTGTGATGTTGCAAATGACGCCTGTGTGTGATGTTGCAAATGAAGCCCGTATGTGATGTTGCAAATGAAGCCGATGTGTGATGTTGCCAATGACGCCCGTGTGTGATGTTGCAAATGACGCCCGTGTGTGATGTTGCCAATGACGCCCGTCTGTGATGTAGCAAATGACGCCTGTGTGTGATGTTGCAAATGACGCCTGTGTGTGATGATGCAAATGAAGCCCGTATGTGATGTTGCTAATGACGCCCGTGTGTGATGTTGCAAATGACGCCCGTGTGTGATGTTGCAAATGACGCCCGTGTGGAATGTTGCAGGTATTGTGTACGCTGCTGCATCAGTTGGTGTTGCTGCAGGTTACACAGTGGGCGGACAGTTCCTCACCATCTTCACCGACGTTGACAAGGTCGACGTCTCCAAGTAAGTACAACGATGTAACAATACACCCTTAAACGTACAGACACCTCTCAGCTCATCTCGGTCAAATATGAGCGTTCATTAAACAATAATCGTCTTCATAACGTCGTCGTGTCTTCGGACTTCATGCGACAAGAGTTAGTGTTTTCAGTGAGCCATACAATAGAAAGCTCTGGCTGGTCGAGGCATTACCTAGCGGAATAGAGCGACATGCCTCTTCAGTTAAGGACTTCAATTAAATAAAGCAATGCTACATTTATGTTTTTTCCTCAATACTTTCAGAACAAGTAAACCGCCTCTTAGTTTAATTTTAATTCTGTTTCAGAATAGACTTGACCCCCGTTGACCCCCGCTGGGTTGGGGCATGGTGGGTCAGTTTCATCATCAGCGGTGGTGTGATGTTCATCATCGCCATCCCCATGCTGGCCTACCCCCGAGTATTACCAGGTAGCCTCTCTCTCTCTCTCTCTCTCTCTCTCTCTCTCTCTCTCTCTCTCTCTCTCTCTCTCTCTCTCTCTCGATCGATCGATCGATCACCATTTCGACGTTAAACACCATTTCACCATACCTCAAAGGGGTCTCGGGGCAATTGGCATCCGAGCAATTTCCAACGATCATAATACAACGATCGAGGGTTCGAATCTAAGGTTCATTCTGATCACGATCTTGGTTTTGTCAGCACAATACCGATGCCCATCGGTTTCAACAAAGTGGTAAATGCTTAGGGTCGGCATCACTTTGGACTTGTACTACGGACAACTGAAACACTGCTCAGAGTGGCATTAAACCCAACACACTCACTCGCGTTATTCAAACCAACATGGTTGAATAAAAAACAACTTTACCGACATAACTAACCCACATTCAGCCTGTAGGATGGCATCATACCCAAAAATTAACCCTATTTCCTACCCGTATTTCCAGGTAGCGCCGCTATTCAAGCAGCCAGAAAGTCAGAAGCGTATCAAGATGGCGACTCCGAAACGGGCCGAGATGACTTCGGCAAGACCTGGAGGGACTTCCCAAGGGCGATGTGGAGCTTGGTACGTAAAACAAATGCATTCGGCAACATTCGGCAACATTCGCCATCATTCGAAAGAACCCACCGCGCGAATTCCAGTACAGAGTACTCCATTATCAACTATTCTGACATGAATTGAGCAGAAGTACCATTCGGGTGAGGGTTAATATGCGCTGAAAAGACCCGGGTATAATGAGTGAACCCCATTTCTGGTCTCCTTGCTTTGAAACCCTCAAAAGTGACGTATACGGCACAAATATATGTCTACGGTAAACTACGTTTGTAACGAACACGCTTATAACGAACTGGGGTTTATTTATTCCCGGCCATTTGCTGTATATATGCTGTATATATAATTATAACAAATTACGGTTATAACGAACTACAGTTAGTGGTCCCTTTGAGTTCGTTATAACCGTAGTTAACTGTGCATTGTCTCCCTGGAACAGATCAAGAACCCGACGTTCTTCTTCTTGTCGCTGGCGTCGTGCATGGGAGGGATGGCTGTCAGCGGCATGGCGGCGTTCGGGGCCAAGTTCCTCCAGGAGCAGTTCAACCTGCAGGCTGCCTACGCCAGTATGATCATGGGTAGGTTGGTAGTTTCCAGGAGATGATGTTTTAAATATATTAGGTACATATCGTGTTATTTGCATATTATCGTGCAGAAATCAAACAAACAAACATTCCATCTGGGTGAGTAAGTGAGTTTGATTTTACGCCGCTTTTAGCAATATTCCAGCAATATCACGGCGGGGGACACCAGAAATGGGCTTAACACATTGTACCCATGTCGGGAATCGAACCCGGGTCTTCGGCGTGACGGGCGAACGCTTTAACCACTAGGCTACCCGACCGCCCCACATTCAATCTGGATCATCAGTCACTTAGTGGCACGAGCGGCTCAGTCACTAAGGTGCCGTATTTTTTCTTTGTGCAGAGTTGCGTCCTTTGGGCACACCAGAACTCTATGATTGTGGTTTAGAATCCCAGTTCGCCCCGTATCTAGGTTTGTCAGCACCATACCCGTGTTTCGACCCGTGAAGATCCGGGTTAGAATAGGTCTTCAGCAACCCATGCTTGCCGTAAAAGGCGACCATGCTTGTCGTCAGAGGCGACTTACGGGTGGTCAGGCTCGCTGACTTGGTTGATGCATGACATCGATTCAAACTGGGTGGATCGATGCTCTTGATATCAATCACTAGATTGTCTGATCCAGACTCGATTATTTTACAAACCGCCGTCATATTGCTGAGTGCGGCGTTAAACAACAAACCAGCCAACCAACCTTGTGTGTTTCACCAAAGTCGTAAACGTCTGGAACCTGTATCACTTCGGGCTTTCCTACCACATTAAGCTGACATGACATTATGTAACTCAAATACTGTTAAAAGGGGCATTAAACCCAACTCACTCACTCTCCTGAAGATGGCGCCATTCTTTTGTTCCCAGGGGTCATAACTGTGCCAGGCGCAGGAGGGGGTATGCTGCTCGGGGGATACATCGTCAAGAAGATGGATCTTAAGTGTCGCGGCATCATCAGGCTCAGCATGACCGTCTGCTGCATCGCCCTCGTCGTGGGTGGCCTGTTCCTCATCCAGTGTCCCAAACCCAAGATGGCGGGCGTGACGGTGCAGTACAGCACACTTGAGTGAGTACAGTCAGAAGAACATTATAAGTTGGAACTACGCAGACGAGAATATCGCATCCACATCGAGATACTTGGCTAAATATATATTCAGTATAGTTCTGGAAAGGACCCGTGTGCGAACTACGCATCAGTCGGAAAGCGCACGTTAAATCTCCAAAGTAAGTAAGTAAGTAAGGAAAGGACTCGGGGTGGATTACCTCCCCTTGTAAGAACCTACAAACGCAGGTTGGGTGATCAGTCGCTGTGAGTCGGCTGATTGTGTGTACTTAACCGTGCCCCATTACCTGGATCGATGCTCACGTTGTCTGCGAATGGTTTACCTGATCCAGGCTCGACTATTTACAGGCGGCCCCACAATAGTTTGTCTATTGCGACTGCGGCGTAATACAACACTCACGTCTTGCGTATTCAATTTTAAAATATATTGACAGCTCTTATTCCCTTTGTGGCCATGTTGACAAGTATGTCTCAAGTTTATGGGGACATTCCTAAACTAGGAACAACAGTCGGTCTGACGCGGTGATCGAGAGACTAGAGGATCTGCCCGATAATACACAGCATCTGCTGACACCTCACTGTTCATAATATCGACCACTGGTTTGCTTGCTCCAGACCCGAACTGTCTCTGCGATACAAATGTGCCGTTGTAGACTTCGGTAAAACGTCATCATCATCATCAGCAGCAGCAGCAGCAACAACAACGCAGCAGTAACACCATCACCGTCATCATTTCCAACGTCGTTATAATCAGCTACCTACTACCATCATCAGTTACATGATTACTGCTATTTCTTCTTGGTTTAGACCGCCTCCGTAGTCTAGTGGTAGAGCGTCCGCCTGGAGAGCTGAAGGTCCGGGGTTCGATCCCCGGCCGCGTCATACCAAAAAACGTTAAAATATGGTATAGTACTTGTTGTTACCCTGTCTGGCGCTCGGCATTAAGGGGGTAAAACAAGGACTGGTCGGCTCGGGGTCAGTATACTGTGTCTGAGTGGGATCTTCATGTTAAACTGTGGCATGGTATCTCACTGTACTAGCACTATAAATCGGCATCAATCCAGACTAGCACAAGCAGCCACACAAACACACACACACGTGCATGTACGTCGCTATGTAAGTGCAATAATCGTGGACGCGACGTTAAACCCAATTTCAACTCACCTTCTTGGTTTACTTCAGATCTCGAGAAGGCAAGAGTAGCCTGAAGGGCCCCTGCAACTCGGCCTGCCACTGCTCCGAGCTCAACTACGAACCTGTGTGTGGGGCGGACAATGTTATCTACTTCTCGCCGTGTCACGCGGGATGTTCCCTGCAATATGATTGGACGGATGGGCCGATGGGACCCATGAAGGTAACACTTGACCTTGACCTCGCTTGATTCCAAAAAGAAATCACTGTACACAGTGCTTGAAATCTCATTAAAATCAGATCTAAGTTCTCGCTGCCGCTAAATAAAGCTTATTAAAATCAGATCTAGGTTCTCGCTGCAGCTAAACAAAAATCTGAGGACATCCCATTACGGGTCACGTCAGAACGACCTTTCCCGAACTTTGACCGACCACTGAAACGACTGACAAGAAGTCGACATCAGCCAATTAGAAAGCAGCTCTCTTGAGTTTTATGGCACTCGTTTCAACCTGGCGACTTCAATTTCAGACTACGCTTGAAAAATATGTTGACACAGTTCTGGATTGAAATTTTGAAAACTGAACAAACGAACATTCCGCAATGTCCAATATATAGTTGAGATTGTATGGCAGTGCTTCCCAGGTACTGTGCAATGCCTCCTCTGTTCAAATGTTTATCCCACTGAGGCGAGAGATAGACGATAATTTTGTCGTAATCAGTTGTACGGGCCGTAACTGTCGTTCGGAATACCCCGTGTTAACATTTTCGAGGTTGCATGATTAGAAAACACATTCCGACTGTCACTTTCATGATCTGGTAAGCGACGCTTTGTTTGGTCGGATGAAAGGTCGTTCTGATGTGACCCGTAATGGAGATCTGTGTTTAGCGATAGCGAGAACTAAGATCTGATTTTAATGAGATTGACAGTGCTTGTTATCGGAGCTTGATAATGCGTTGTGTTACAACGCCTGACCGGATAAAATGTAATTCTCAAAAGATATCTGCCATCTTTTGAGTGTGATCAATCGTATGAGCTCGAGCTGACTATAGTTGGGATCTTGTTGTGTTATTTTGTGTCATCGGTCCCTGACGGTCTGGATCATTGTTCATGCTATCAACCACAGGTTTTGCTAGGCCGAGACTTGATCCTGTACAAGCCGAAGATACATGGCTGTAGTATTAATGGTTAATGGTGAACCGACATGTAGTCAATCGCTACCTTTCTTGGTATTTTAGAGACATAATGGTGTTTACAGTGAGTGTGTGAGTTTGTTCAACACTCCTGTATTCTAACAGGAATTCTGTATTCCGGAGAAACGAAAAACGAGCTTCACACATTGCACCCATATGGGGAATGGAACTTGGGCCATGGCGAGCGAACGCTTCAACATTCAGGCTTTCCCATCTCCCAGCTCTTGTAAAAATGAGTTAGTGAGTTCTTACGCCGCTTTTAGCAATATTCAAACAAAATCATTTCGGGGGACACCAGAAATGGGCTTCACACATTGTACTCATGTGGAGAATCGAAACTGGGTATTCGGCGTGGCGAGTGAACGCTTCAACCATTTGGCCACCCCACCGCCCCACTCTGGGGAAAGACTATGGAGGTTAGATTGAAGGAAATGAAAGCAGAAAATGAAGCAGCTACGGCTCGGAATTACCCAAGATGATTGGTGTTTGTTTCAGATGTATAAGAAATGTTCCTGTGTGGAGAGCAGTTTACACCTGATGAACATATCAACGTTGTCTGACAACGTCACAGCGGGTGCGTACACAACGACTTCATCAACCAACAACATCACTGTCCCTGGCGCCTTGGCCGGCATCTGTCCGTCGGACTGTAACTTGCTGTACGTGGTGGCGCCGCTGTTGTTCCTGGGGATGTTGCTGACGTTCACGGTCGTGTCGCCGTCACAGACAGCAACCCTCCGGTGCGTTCCAGCTGTGTCGCGCACGTGTGTGTGTTTGATGTACATCGTGTTGACCTTTACCTATACAAATTCGGTAGCTTGTTCACCCCTAGTACTCATACAAAGTGACTCAGTGAGTGTTGGTTGGTTTGTTGTTTAACGCCTCACTCAGCAATATTCCAGCTATATGACGGCGGTCTGTAAATAATCGAGTCTTGACCAGACAATCCAGTGATTAATGTCATGAGCATCGATCCACGCAATTGGGATCGATGACATGCATCAACCAAGTCAGCGAGCCTGACCACCCAATCCCGTTAGTCGCCTCTGACGACAAGCATAGTCGCCTTTTCCGGCAAGCATGGTTTGCTGAATACCCATTCTACCCCGGATCTTCACGGGTAGACTGAGTGAGTGAGTGAGTTAAAATTTAAAGTCGCATCGGCTTTATTTCAGCCATATAGCGACAAGAGCTGTTAGCGAGTGAGTTGGGTTTAATCTCCTATTGAACAGTATTTCAGTTATATCTCCACGTGTCAGTTTTATGTATAGGTCTTCAGCAACCCATGCTTGCCCTAAAATCAAGATTCGATTATTTACAGCTCGCCGTCATACAGTTGGAATATTGCTTAGTGCGGCGTCAAAAAACAAACAAACAAACATTGTTATAGGGGAGCAGCATGGCTAGGGTGTTAGATAATATAACCAACTGTAATTCGAACCTTCGAGTATAGGTTCCTGGCCCACCGAAGGGACGCAAATCTGCACAGCCGATGGCGGCGCCATTTGTGATCATGAATGAGTCGTGTCCACAAACATACTGACCATCTACCGGGGTGGGGATCGGGTATGAGCTGACTGATTGTGTGTGATTCGACACTGGCTGTGCGCATGGTTCCAGCGAGGAGGATGTGAACTACTAGTTGGACTAGCCCAGATTGTTTTTAGTCCATTATATGCTGCATTGCGACTTAGGACTCCCTCACTCACCCTGCAGCAGTGTAGTGTAGAGTGAGTGAGTGAGTATGGTTTTACGCCGCTTTTAGCAATATTCCAGCAATATCACGGCGGGGGACACCAGAAATGGGCTTCACACATTGTACCCATGTCGGGAATCGAACCCGGGTCTTCGGCGTGACGAGCGAACGCTTTAACCACTAGGCTACCCGACCGCCCCTGTAGTGTAGAGCTGTAGTCATGGTGATAGCAGTGGTCGTAGAGAGACGTAGCTGGTGTAGCAGGGGTAGCAACAACAGGCGTAATAGCTGCCCAAGTAGCTCAAGTAGCCCAAGTAGCCCAAGAGGTCGTTGAAGAAATCCAGTGTTGTTGTTGGATCCCTTGTGTTGAATTAATAAATGTAATATGAAAACACCCGGGCTCTAGACCAAAGTATTAACATCAACGACATGCGTCAAGTCCAACGGTAAGCTGCCACACCATGCTATGACTGGTGTACTTCTCAAGACAACATCAAATCCAACTCACTCACTCACTCGTCTGTTTCCAGGTGCGTCCCGGGCGGACAACGGTCTCTGGCTATAGGCTTCCAGTGGTTATTCCTGAGACTTGGAGGTAGATATACACCGGTATCCCACAGCACATGGCAAAATTGGATCGTAATTGCGAGGGTTATGTTCCTTGCTGTTCCTTAACCTAGATTCCTTGTTCGCAGGATAGAATGTTTAGTAAAAGAGTTTTTGTAACGAAACTTGGCGGGTGTTTTTTTAATAAAATATTCAGTACTGTAAAACTATTGCAGGTGTTTAGTTTAGGACTAAACTATCAGTTTAGGAAACTGGATGAATAGGTTATTGTACTGGGTGCTTTCTGGGTGTGTGTTTATTGTTTGAGCTGGTTGAAAACTGCATTGTGACAGCTATTGCTATAATCAAAGGACAGTTATGGTAAGACATACCTATGAATTTGTAAATTAGATATAATTTGAATATAATACACTACTACAACACACACACACACGCACACACACACACACCTCCCATTCATCCTTACTCTCATTCCCATGTTTTGAATGTTCCACCCTCGCCCCTCCCTCACATACCCACCCCCTAACTCACACCCACCCACCCACTCACTCATGGCCCTGTCTCATGCTTGTTCTGCCTCCAGGCACCACCCCGGGGCCCCTGATGCTGGGTACCATCATAGACAGTGCGTGCAGGGTGTGGCAGGACATCTGCGGGCAGACGGGGTCGTGCTGGATCTACGAGAAGTCTGAGATGGGGATCCGTATTTTTGTCTGGTGGATCTTGGTCAAAGGCTTCGCCGTCCTCTTCTTCTTCCTCGCCCAGTATTTCTACAAACCACCACCAGAGGACGCTGCGCTAGAGGAAGAAAAACATGACCTCAAGAAAACAGTCACAGACAGGGAAAGTGTGTTTTGATGCACGAGAAGAACGTAGACATGGTGGTTGCAGGTGCTAGGGAGCGCTTTAGACCAGGGTGCACAGGGACGCACACGTGCAATCACATCTGTAGCTGTGTGAGAGCTGGACAGCCCCTGGCACAGCCCTGGCCTGCTGTGACAAATGGACTCGGGTGACGGGAGGAATTCGTCACGAAAAATAAATTATTTGATCTCAGCAATCTTAAAAATACATTTATTTATAAAACTAAACATAGTTTGGTGTGTGGATGTTCTTTTCAGGCGCGTTTAACTACATTTGGCAACTCATTAATCTTCATTGTCAAAATTACTGTCTGTTAGATATACGTTTACAATAACAGGGCTGCTGAAAGAGGGTGTCAAATTTATAATCAGTAAGAAATTATTACCCATCCCCCAAAATTCATCACTTTGAGATACAACAAAGAACGAACATGTGATCATTGTGTCATGGCGTCATTGGGGACATTGGTTAAGTGGTTTCAGCAGAGTGTCCTGATGTTGGAACTGTGTCGGTGACAGTCAATCCCCACTCTGACAATCGAGCAGACACCTGGGGCAAATCTGTCGCACTGACGTCACACGGACAGTCTCGTGGTCCAGGGCTCCTCAACACACCGGATCAGGATCCGCTAGTAGTCAATATTCCCAGACTGCGCCCGATTATGACCCTCGGTTTCTAAGAATCCCCTTACTGGAGGGTAAAGGTCAATGCTTTATTTGAGTGCGCTGCTCTCTAAATGACACGCCGTGATATACCTGGAATACTGTTCCATGCGGCGCTAAACTCTCTCGTTGTCCCTATCTCCTGTCAACAAATGACACTCAGACTGATCTTACAAAGGTTGACATAACATTACGTGATATTTGTGCATACTTTCGGTTTACTTGACTATACTTGTGGCTCGTGACTTCTGTATGTAATCAGAGATTTCGTTGTATAGTGTAGGGGGCACGGGTGGCCCAGTCGTCTAAGGCGTTGCGATTCGCTGTGCATAGTTGCGTCCCTTGGGCACGCCAGAAACCTATGATTGTTGGTCCGAATCCCGGTTCGCCCGATTATGTTTCAAGGTTTTTTGACAGCACATTACCCGTGCAGGTGGGTTTCACCAAAGTGGTAAACGCCTGAAACCTGCATCACTTCGGGCTTTCCTCGCGCTTTGTTTATCGATAGCGAGAACTAAGATCTGATTTTAATGAGATTGTAGTAACAGTGCTATGTAAACAGGAAGCGGTTGATGCGGGTAGGAGACTGTTCACGATGAAAATAAAGTTACCGTGTGTGACTGTACATACTTTCAGGTAACCACTGGCAGTTTAAAGTGAATAGTCTTGTTATTGTTTAATAAATACTGTTAATTGATTGTTATATATTATACAATGTTTTATGTTGTACTTACAAACTCCTACGCATGTTATATATGTGCAGACCGCCACCGTGGTCTAGTGGTAGAGCGTCCGCCCGGAGAGTGGAAGGTCCGGGGTTCGATCTTCGGCCGCGTCATACCAAAAGACTCTGACAGATGGTACTTGTTGTTACCCTGTCTGGCGCTCGGCATTAAGGGGCTAAAACAAGGACTGGTCGGCTCGGAGTCAGTATACTGTGTCTGAGTGGGGTATTCATGTTAAACTGCGGCATGGTATCTCAGTGGGCTAGCACTATAAAATCGGCATCAGTCCGAACTAGTACAAGCAGCCACACAAACACACACACGAACACACACACACACACACACACACACACACACGTGCATGCTATATAAATGCGCGAAGTTAAATCCCATTTCACCTCACCTATACACATGCATGTTATATACGTGCACGTTGTAGATGATCACGTGATATGTATGCGTGTTATATATGATCATGCTACAGATATGTATGTTGTATATAAACAAATGATCATGTTATATGCATTATATCACATATACAAGTCAACATGTCTGGTCCATGCCTCTTATGTATCGATGCAGGTACAACATCTTCTGGGTATACTGGATATCAAACGCCGGATTGTCTCCCGTGGTATCCTCCGCCATACTTCTTGTAAGGCCTGCCACAGGTGTTGTAAATTCTGGAAACCCCAAGATCGGTTACGAACCCTTAGGCCCAGACTATCCCAAAGGTGTTCAATCGGCGATAATGTCTAATGTCTGCACATCCGACTAAACCTTATTACTATCAGACCTACCCTGGACTGGACTATGAGTTCGACACAACCAGGAATTCGACTCATCAGAGTTCGAGACAGTGAGGTTAGGCTGTATTTTATGTATTCATTTACACAATTCAATCAAGACAAGAACACGATAAAGTGGATTCGAAGATCTTCTCCCTCATTCCTGATGATCACCACCCCCGGTTGGGACGCCACCCCCCACGATCTTGTCTCTAGAGTGAACATGATACATAGAGTGCATGGCCGCAGTGGAGCATGTCTGGAAAGTAACGCTGCCCATTGGTTTGGTTGTTCAGTAGGTATAAAGGTATAGTTTTCAAGTGAGTTGTTCAACATACACATAAAGTAGCAATCCGCACAGCAGTACAAACAGTACAAAGATGTAATATTATTGATGAACATGTCCACCATTAACTCACCCCCAAAATACTGATCGTGTTGTCGCCAGGGGTGATTGTGGCTTGCATATAATTATCTCTTAAAGGCCATATAAACTGACGGCCAAATTAAACTTTACCACTTTAAAAATAGAATTGCAATAATTTAAGACACAAGTTCAAACTAAATCAATGCAAAACCACAACAAAGCTCTATGCAGAAAGTGATACACGTCCACGGCGAATTTGTTCAAGAAAATGCGAAAAAAGTTAAAAACACGTGCCGCTTGGGCAGCCGAAACAACACGTGCAATAAGGGTATAAAAATGATACGGCTGCTCCCATGTTGCTGTAACTAACCTGATGCACAATTCACAGACAGACCGGGCATACATCAGAAAGACCAAGAACAGGCAGACCCAGGGTAACTACGCCCAATGAAGACCGGCACATGCGTACTTTGCATTTCCGGAATCGATTCCTGACAGTGACGTCATCAGAGACGCATGCTTTAGGGTATGTGGTTAGTCGAAAGACAGAGACCAGGCGACTCGGGGCTCAAGGAATTAGGGCTTAGAGATCTTACAGAGGACAGTTATTGACAGCACAACATCGTCGTCAGAGATCGAGATGGGCCCGGACTGTACGTCGTTGGCATCGACGTGACTGGCAGAGGGTCGTGTTCACATATGAAAGCCGATTCTGTCTGCACAGAGCTAATGGGGAGAACGAACGGGGGCATGTTCAGGAGGTCGTGCCGTGTGGCGGAGAGGGGTGTTACGGCGTGCTGAGGAATTTGTGGGCAGCAGACAACATCACTGGTCATCGTTAATGGACATTTGACAGCTCAGCGTTTTATGGATGACATTCTTCGTCCGAGTGTCCTACAATTTCTGCAACAGCTGTCACGTAGTGTGCTTTATCAGCATGATAACTCCAGACCTCAAAAAGCCCTCAAATCTTTCTTGCAACCAACAACGTCAACGTGTTGCCGTGGCCTGCACGCTCCCCAGACATGTCCCCCATAGAACACCTCTGGGATGTCATGGATCGTCGTGTTCGACAGCGACCACATCCTCCAGCCCACCGACAAGAACTGATCCAGGCCCTCCAAAAGAATGGCGGCATATCCCACGTGATGTCAGGGACGCTATTAATGTGACGTGTCATTGAACTTGAGCGATTTTAGATGTGTGTGTCCTGTGTCCATTACGTTGAGAGCTTGTTTTTGCTACCCCACCTCAATTCGGGAGTCATGCCAATATCGGATGCTGTAAGACTGTCATTTTCAATGTGGATTTCGTTGAGATCTTGATCTTTTTAATACATTTTACCTCATGCGTCTATCCTTTGTGGTTTTTAAATTGGAGAGATTTAAAACTACGGCTGCCAGTTTATGTATCTTGCTACGCCCAGCTACACTTAATAGATTACCGGGTATAAGGGGAGGGGGTGCATGCATGGTGCCCTGGGGGTAGTTCCTGACGTCCAGGTCCCCGTCTATGGCCCATACTCTCCCCAACTCCTGGCTCACATTCACAACTCTGTAAGTCAGAGTCACGTGATCACACAGCAGTCGACGTCATATCAGATGTCACTATGTGCGGCAAAGCGTCAAAACTTGTTTGGCACGCTTTAGTGCGACCGGAAATGATAGAAGAAAGCTTTTTGACCCTTAAAACAAGGTGAGATATTTCTGGGACCGATGCTATTGAAATATCAAGTAACTACCGATCTACCTACTTGTGGTTTGAAGTACAAATGTAGGTCAGCCACAATGAGTCCGGTCGACACTTTTACCGGAGACAAATTTGAACGAAACAGCAATTTCAGATTTATTCTGTCGAATGAGGGAAGTCTGAGGCGGACTAATGAAATATGCGCATGCCACTCCATTGTATTAATTATGATGTAGTCTTAATAAAACATCTCATCCGTACAAAACAAAGTCAGTTGGAAAACAATTCTAGATGTACGTCATAGAAAATAGCAAAATGACGTGAGTTCAAGACCCGGATGGGACTAGAACCTGTAACTTTACAAAGAAAGCGTTATTCCAATTTATCCAAACATTTGTTACATTTGATCACTTTCTAAATGTCAGTGTGTGTGTGTATAGCTTTCGGCCGTGGGAGCCGTGCCAAGTTACGCTTGTCAGAGGGGTACACAAAGTACGTGATCTGGACTACAAGTTGTCGGACTTTCAGGCCTGTGGAGATCCGGGGTAGAATAGGTCTTCAGCAACCCATGCTTGCCGGAAAAGGCGGGAATGCTTGTCGTAAGAGGCGACTAACGGGATCGGGTGGTCAGACTCGCTAACTTGGTTGATGCATGTCATCGATCCCAATTGCGTGGATTACTCGATTACTTACATCATATCTTAATTCACCGCATATCTAAAGTACAATAACAGCAATAGTTTGAGACCATCGTCAACTCAGGTGACATTTGCACCTTTGAGAATGCATCATCACTTTACCCATAAAAGTAGCTTTTCAGTCTAATCACAGTGTCGGTTAGTAGTGGCTAGATTAGGTAGATTTTTGTTAAGTTGATGTATGCTATTTTCATAGCCCTGTGATTCGTATTTATTAGATGAACCCAGAAAAGCATTTCTAGCATTTCCGGCAGTACTTTCGTGCTCCGTCAAACCAAATACTGCAATGAAAACACTAAATTACCATAACTGATAAATACAATGTGCAGAGAAACTTGGAGATGGAGAAAACCAGAAATCTAACTGACGGGGAATATAATGGCGCAATGTGTTCATCTGCGACAAAGAGCTGTTCTTTTATTTGACCTCTTGCTGTCGCAATTAATCTCGTCATGAAACCTTTCATATAATCTGTTTCATAATGAATCATACAAAGATCATTTTGTCTTGTGTGGTCCGAATACATAAAACTTCTATATCTATTTATTTATGTTTAGTATATTGTGGGTTTGTTTCAAGTAATTTGAAACATTGTTATAATAAAATGGATACTCCTGCAGACTACATGAGGTTTGCCATGCGATGCGATGTACTGGAACTCCTAACATTGTGTTTTTATTCTCTATTCGAAATTAGCCTAAAGCGAGTTCTACTATCGCTGCGAGGAGTTTGTAGGGATCACTCCGTTTCAAGAATTATTACTGGCAACAATAATTGCAGTATCTCATGTCTAGGTCATCTCAAGTATAAACGAAAAGTTGCACATTATTTATTAACTTTGTTTTCAAAATATCATGACCAATGTTTCATATTTGAAAATAAACATTTGTTTTATATAAATGATATCCGAATTTAATAATAACTTCTCAATTAGTTCCACAAAATTCGATCACAAGATGTCAACAAAATATTTCAATTTGATGAGACACATTTCCTTAGCATGAATATAGACCCACGTCTTACTTCTATGTGACGCAATGAAACCGTATTTGGGTTATCTCAGTGTGATTTCAAAATGTCCACCGTGTTTTTGCATGTTGGTCAGTGTGGAAATCAGACTGGTCGGTCATTCTGGAAGACGGTGATCAAAGACCAAAGTGCCAATGACAGGTACTGAAATGACATTTTTTAGATAATGGCAATAATGAAGTTAACCAGGCACAGCTCATGCAGTGGATCTCGCTTCAGAGATCTCGCGTGCCTCCTCGATCCTTAGGATTGGTTGTGTTAGGGTTGGGGTTGGTTAAATTACCTCTTTCCTATTATCCTTTGGATCCCCTCTCCGATCAAGCACCTTTTACGGCATTTAGAGTTAGTGGTCTGTTAGGGTAGTTATCAAGGATGGCGATCAGTAAAGTATATATCTGCCCTATATTATGCTATCATAACCCATGGCGATTTCTGATAAGATAAAAGCCCCCTAGCAATTTATGCTCGGGTAATTAACAGGGGACTAAATGGATCATGTGGTCAGGCTGACTGACTTGGTTGATGCATGTGACGATTGTCATTGTATCCCAACTGTGTAGATTGATGCTGGATTGCATCACTGGATTGTCTGGTCCAGACACAAGTATTTAATGGCCACCCCATCAGATAGCGGAACTAGTGCTGAGTGTTGTGTGACAGTTAAACAAGCAATATTGGGCTACATAACGTGTATTATGAATGGTTCCCAACCCAAATGAACGGAAGTGGATCCAAAGGCTACAAGTGTTTATTTATTTATTCTTTGATAGGCATTTAGAAGTTTGAGTTCTAATTAAGGAAAAGATTTATGGATGAACAACTTCTGTATTACAATTAAGAGCAACGTTTAGGTGTGTTGTTGTTGCATTAAGTGTTTAAAAGGTCGCTTTCTGCCTAAGCAATTTCCTCTGACCTGTCCCTATTTGGGACACACCGCCACCGTGGTCTAGTGGTAGAGCGTCCGCCCGGAGATCGGAAAGTCCTGGGTTCGATCCATGGCTGCGTCATACCAAATGACGTTAAAAGATGGTACTTGTTGTTACCCTGTCTGGCGCTCGGCATTAAGGGGCTAAAACAAGGACTGGTCGGCTCGGAGTCGGTATACTGTGTCTAAGTGGGGTATTCATGTTAAACTGCGGCATGGTATCTCAGTGGGCTAGCACTATAAATCGGCATCAGTCCGGACTAGTACAAGCAGCCACACAAACACACACACGTACATGCACATCGCTATATAAGTGCAATAATCTTTGACGTGACGTTAAACCCAATTTCACCTCACCTCACCTCTTTGGGACTCATGTGTGTGAGTAGGGTACAAATATCTATTGTGAGTTTGGTATTCACATAATTTCTGTTTTTGTTTTTTAGGTGTACTTACTTATATTGGAGATTTAACGTGCGCTTTCCGACTGCAAGCGTATGTCGCACACGGAAAGTGCTTGATTGCTTGATAACGGTGTTAGAACCTACACCATGTACACCGAAACGTCTCTCTTAATTGTAATTAAGAAGTTGTTCATCCATAAATCTTATCCTTACTTAGTCTTTATTAATGTTACGTTTGTGATTTGAAAAATGTATTGCCTTGATCTGCAGTCACACCTTCGTGGACCACAATGGCATCCAGCGCTCTGTCCACGTCGATAGTGAACCCAAGGTCATATGGAGTCTGACAAGGTCAATGAATGTGAGGTGAGAGCAGACAAAAAAATACCTATTGTAACAACAGGGGTTTAGCTAGACCTGCTCAGAGGCCGTATTTGGCCCCTAGTCTGCAGCAAAGATCAGTAAGAATTCCTAAATTGGAATTAAAATGTTCCCAAGTTCATGATGATATAGTCATATCTTATGTGATGGCTTGTTCAGGTTCACTTGTGCTTCACTGATATCACTGCCTATGAAGTGGCACAAGCTTTATTGCTTAGTTTTACATTATTGAATGTAATGTTAATATACAGTGTTAAGTAATGTTAATATACAGTGTTAAGCAATGTTGATATATAGTGTTAAGTAGTGGTGTAACGATACGGCAATACAGTATTGTATCCCGATGCACAGCCCACGATACGATGCATTGATTTGGAAAGCAGCGATCTGCTCTCAAACCAAAGCATGTGAACAGATTGATATTCTTAAAGAAAAACTTGAAGTTAAACAGAACTGAACTTACTGAAGTAAACAAGTTGAAACTTGATAAATAGTATTTAATGTTTATGTTTATATTTTTTGCATAAAGTTATGAGTAACTTTTTCTTTCAGCCAGTTTGTATTTTCAGTAAAACATACTGTATTGCTGACAATTTGCTATAACAGTAATTAAACACCTTATATCTTCTTCAACTGTACTTGTCACATCTTTTAGAGAGCAGAAAGACATCAACTTGGCTTAGCTTGTACCAGTAAACACTGTATCGTGATACGTATCGTATCGCGACCCCTGAATCGCGATACGTATCGTATCCCGTATCGTTACACCTCTAGTGTTAAGTAATGGTAATATACAGTGTTAAGTAATGTTAATATAAAGTGTTAAGCAATGTTAATATACAGTGTTAAGTAATGTTAATATACAGTGTTAAGTAATGTAAATATACAGTGTTAAGTAATGTTAATATACAGTGTTAAGTAATGTTAATATACAGTGTTAAGTAATGTTAATATACAGTGTTAAGTAATATTAATATACAGTGTTAAGCAATGTTAATATACAGTGTTAAGTAATGTAAATATACAGTGTTAAGCAATGTTAATATACAGTGTTAACATGGTTAAGCAATGTTAATATACAGTGTTAAGTAATGTTAATGTACAGTGTTAAGTAATGTTAATATACAGTGTTAAGTAATGTTAATATACAGTGTTAAGTAATGTTAATATACAGTGTTAAGTAATGTTAATATACAGTGTTAAATAATGTTAATATACAGTGTTAAGCAATGTTAATATACAGTGTTAAGCAATGTTAATATACAGTGTTAAATAATGTTAATGTACAGTGTTAAGCAATGTTAATATACAGTGTTAAGCAATGTTAATATACAGTGTTAAATAATGTTCATGTACAGTGTTAAGTAATGTTAATGTACAGTGTTAAATAATGTTAATATACAGTGTTAAGTAATGTTAATGTACAGTGTTAAATAATGTTAATATACAGTGTTAAAGGGGCACTGATCTAACGCAATTCCCCGGGACTGGTTGTTGCCTTTGTTATTGTTTTTTCCCAGTGAGTACCCGGATGTATAGCAGAAATCTAGACTAGTTCGCGACCTCTGCTGCGCCATTCGTAAGCGCATTAGTCACTTTTATGGGTAGTAATAAGGGCGTAGGTCACATTGATCAACAAAATGAAATGCTTTTTTCAAGATAATAAGAAAAAGTAGGTATGTTTGTGGGTAGCATCGGTAATGGTGACGAAGTTTTGATAAGTCACTTGCTTGGTAATTTGGCGATTTTCGTTAACACTATTTTGACTTGCAACACAAAGTAAATATTTCACCTGAGCATTGCTTTTTTTATAGTGTGTATATTTTTTTACTGTCAAAACGTGCAACATCTTCAAATTTATTAAACGCCTAAATATTCAGTTATTTTACAAAGTGACTGAAAAACATTTCCATCTGTATTATTATGATAACGAATTCCAAACATTTTGATGTTTAATGTCATCACCAAGAGATTGAAAATGTTACGTTGAAAAGTACATTTCATTGTTGTATGGCTTCTAATCCTACATAATAATCTGTTGTTTTTAGGCCCTTTTGGTCGTCTTAATCAATTTTAGTCAATCTGGGCAGATTTTTCTGTCAAAATGACTGAAATATTTACACATTTTATATATTGCCTGAGAGAATCACATTTTACAAATTGACGGTAACATATACATGCTTACAAAGGAAAAGACTTGTGACAACAACGTCTATCGCGCATTGATCATGAAGAATTTCCCAACCAAGACGTAGAGGAACAAGAACGAATCGGTTCAATGCTACAGCAAATGAAGGAAAACAAAATGCAAATACCATAATTTATGTGTATAAATTTTAGGCAGCTTCCTTGTTCGAGGAATGTATCCGTGAATATCCACACAAAGGAACAATATCCCACTCGTCTGCAGCTGTACAAAAAACTTATTCTATGTCACGTGTCTCTGTAACAATCAAATATTTTAAAAGATATATATCGTTTCGGGATATTATAACCCGTGTTTGTTTCTCAACTGATCACTTAGATTGTTTCAGGTGTTTCACATAGGTGTCAAGTCTCAAGGGTCGGCTGAGAAAGCCCACGTGACAACTATTTTCATAACATCCACGGTTCCTAAAAAATCCATTGAGTGATAGATAACAATGACCACTCAATCGACGTATTATCAGTTAACCCTTTGAACAAAGTATGTTGTTTTTACATCGGCACTTCACGCCATGATATGAGGGTATTCCCTTTGTTTTAGTAAACCTAGACATGTAAACACTCACTTTTGACATCTCCACTGTGCAAGATAATAGTGATTAATCAATCAACGTATTTTCTGTTAATCCTTTGATGACCAGGAACGATCCGTTGATTTACAAAAAAAGTAAATCAACTGATCATTATCCTTGCTTGGCTGCCACGTGCATATTACATAACACACATTTCATCTCACTTCAAACCTGGATTTAGATTGAATAATTACCCCAGACACAATAAATGCCAAATGGGAACCTTTGTCAGGTTTTCTGAGTGGTGCTACCACTAATTATACCTGTAATAAATAATGTTAATATACAGTGTTAAGTAATGTTAATGTACAGTGTTAAGCAATGTTAATATACAGTGTTAAATAATGTTAATGTACAGTGTTAAGCAATGTTAATATACAGTGTTAAGCAATGTTAATATACAGTGTTAAATAATGTTAATGTACAGTGTTAAGTAATGTTAATGTACAGTGTTAAGCAATGTTAATATACAGTGTTAAGCAATGTTAATATACAGTGTTAAATAATGTTAATGTACAGTGTTAAGTAATTTTAATATACAGTGTTAAGTAATGTTAATATACAGTGTTAAGTAATGTTAATATACAGTGTTAAGTAATGTTAATATACAGTGTTAAGCAATGTTAATATACAGTGTTAAGCAATGTTAATATACAGTGTTAAGTAATGTTAATATACAGTGTTAAGTAATTTTAATATACAGTGTTAAGTAATGTTAATATACAGTGTTAAGTAATGTTAATATACAGTGTTAAGTAATGTTAATATACAGTGATAAGTAATGTTAATATACAGTGTTAAGTAATGTTAATATACAGTGTTAAGCAATGTTAAGAGGCCCCTGAATTTGAGAACATAGGAACTTCTAAAATATTCCAATTTTAATAAAATTACAATTTTTTCCCATTTCATTCACAGAACCAACATTAAAAGCAGAAATAATGACTATAGAATAAGGCTTAAAAATACTGTGACTCCATGTTTGTTGTCTGCTGGCCCTGCTGGAGTTGGAGGAAGGTACACTGGGGTAAGGGAGGCTACTCTTGGTTAAAACTGGGTTACATTTGCTTGCAAGGCTCTTAGTTTGGGATCCAAGATGATCTCTGAAGAAGCTGCTTGTGTCTTATCAGACCCCAAGGTCATGGAGTATTGCTCTTGCTAACAACAAGGTGATAGTAACTGGCACTAGTCCTGTAGTCCTTGCCAAACTGCGCAATAGTTAAGGTATCATAAGGACTAGTAGAAACTTGCCATTTGTAAGGGTTTTCCTCTATGTTCTCATTATAAGGACTAGTGGACTAAACATGTAAGTTTCTAACACTGCAACATTAGCAGGCCTCAGATTTGCGACTAAGACGGTCGCCAATGCGACCTATATTTCAATTTGACCACTGTCTAAAATTCAGAGGTAGCCAAATGACTACCTTGAAAAATATCTTCTGGTGACTAAATTCTATTGCTACACATATGTAGACACCAAAATAAACATGTCTGCTACTAATTGTACTCACAAATAATTCCTCCTAAAGTCAACAATGAACTGAAATACATAAATATTAATGTAATTAGTATTTTATTTTATTTGATAGTTTATTGGATAAGCAAGGAAATACGTTTATAATCTACTAACATAAATTGCATCATCGTTCGAGTCACAAATAACAAAACTCAAAAACAGTTTCAACTAATATACAATTCCAAGACTAATACTATGACTTATACACATAATAGTTATTTGATAAAAGATAATTTCAAATGCTTTTGGCTACCTACAATATTGACTTGACTTCTTGATTCTACCACTGTCTACCTGGAAAAACATACTTGTAGTCATATGGCTACTTGGTAAAAATTTAAACGTTGAGGCCTGATCAGGTTTACCTACCTATGGTTCTGTTGTTAACTGACTGTTTTGATGTCCTGAAACATTGCTCCCTGCAGCATTAAACAACATTCACTCACTCCCTGTAAACTTGCAGTTACCATGGTTACTGATAGAGCACTGACTGTGTATAGCTTTGTCTTCTACACCAGAAAACAACATTTATGTTATTGTAACATCTAAGGCATGTTTGCAGAAATTGTGAAAAATATTCTTTTGAAGAAAAATAATTATTTCCTAATTGATGGGTAATTTGTGAAGAGATGGTGTTGGGATATGGCATCCATAAGTGATAACCTACTAGTGTTCCAACATTCCGATTGGTCAGGTCTTAATGGATGAGTACTTGGTAAAACGTGGATGTTTTTCCGGCGTATTTATCTTCATAAGGAACCGCCTCCGTGGTCTAGTGGTTGAGCCTCTGCCCAGAGAGCAGAAGGTCCAGGGTTTGATCACCACCCACGTCATACCAAAAGGGGCATTAAGGGGCTAAAACAAGGACTGGTTTGGGTAGGATGGAAGGAAGGCTTGGGTATTCATGTTAAACTGCAGCATGGTATCTCATGGTATTACAATTAAGAGCAACGTTTAGGTGTGTTGTTGTTGCATTAAGTGTTTAAAAGGTCGCTTTCTGCCTGACCTGTCCCTCTTTGGGACACACCGCCTCCGTGGTCTAGTGGTAGAGCGTCCGCCCGGAGAGCGGAAGGTCCGTTGTTCGATCCATGGCTGCGTCATAACAAAAGACGTTAAAAGATGGTACTTGTTGTTACCCTGTCTGGCGCTCGGCATTAAGGGGCTAAAACAAAGACTGGTCGGCTCGGAGTCAGTATACTGTGTCTGAGTGGGGTATTCATGTTAAACTGCGGCATGGTATCTCAGTGGGCTAGCACTATAAATCGGCATCAGTCCGGACAAGTACAAGCAGCCACAAACACACACGTGCATGCACGTCGCTATATGAGTGCAAAAAATTTTGATGCCACGTTAAACCCCATTTCACCTCAGCTCTTCATAAGGATTATAGTAGTTAGTTTGTACCTGCAATTACCATGTCAGTGTTACCACAAGCAGTTGTGAGGAAATCAATGCTGCACTTGCCAAACTCGTTACGTGAGATTGCTTGACAAAAAACAATCAGCTGCAGTTCTCCACTGACAACCTTAACATTTAACAGACGGTAACCATGGTATCAAGTAAAAAATAGCATGAATATGGCTTTACGTATGGTAGGAATTCATGGCAGGCCGCACTAGCTACTCAACGTATGATTTTCATTTTTCATCAGTGGACAAATTTTGTGATAAAACGTCATTCATTTAGAGTGAGTGAGTATGGTTTTACGCCGCTTTTAGCAATATTCCAGCAATATCGCGGCGGGGGACACCAGAAATGGGCTTCACACATTGTACCCATGTCGGGAATCGAACCCGGGTCTTCGGCGTGACGAGCGAACGCTTTAACCACTAGGCTACCCGACCGCCCCTCATTCATTTAGAACAAGTGAATATATTCTGTTTACTCGCCCAGGGACAAGTTCACAATTTGCATATTTCCACATCCCTGTCTCAGAAATATGAAGGTGTACATTTCATTTTTAAAATAATTTTATGGGGGTTTCAACTATCAAATAGTCCTCTCCATAGAAACAACACCAGGACAGAGACGGGATCCCATAACCCATCTCCAGTCTGTCTGGTCATGTTCTAAATAAAATATATTAAATCAAGATTTCTTTGGGTTCAGTTTGATCTTGTGACTAGTATTTTAGACCCTCTGTATTTCTATACTGCAATGTGTACAATTTTTAGCGATCAGCTATCAGCCAGTCTGACTGTCTGTCTGTCCGTCCGTCCGTCTGTCTGTCCGTCCATAAATATTTCCTTTTCCGGGGCAGTACTCAAACAATTCAGTGTATTTGATTGAAACTTGGCATATCTATCAGTGACATACTGAAGTTGTGCCTTTTGCTATTTAGGAATTTTAGAAATATATATTTTTTTACGTTTCCATGGTAACAAGTTGGACTTAGGTTCTATAAGGGTGGTGTTCGTTTCCGGAGCGTTACTCAAAAACCGTTAAATACTTTCTTACAAAACTTTGCATGTATACCAGGCACATACTGAACTGGTGCCTTTTGCTGTTTAGGAATTTTTTATTTTTTTATTTTTTACGTTTCCATGGCACCCAGTTGGACTTAGGTTCAATAGGGTACGGTTCGTTTCTGGAGCATAACTCAAAACCCATTCAAAACTTTCTAACAAAACTTTGCATGTCTATCAGACTCATGCTGAACTGGTGCCTTTTGCTATTTAGGAATTTTAAGAATTTTTATTTTTTACGTTTACATGGCAACAAGTTGGACTTAGGTTCTATAAGGGTGGTGTTCGTTTCCGGAGCGTAACTCAAAAACTGATAAATACTTTCTTACAAAACTTTGCATGTCTACCAGGCACATACTGGACTGGTGCCTTTTGCTATTGAGGAATTTTATACATTTTTATTTTTTACGTTTCCATGGCAACAAGTTGGATTTAAGTTTAGGCGGGGGATGACTTCGTCGACTATACGCTTGTTTAGTTATTGTTTCTTGTAATTTGTCATTTGTTTGCATAAAAAAAACCCACAGAAACACAAATGTTTTACTTTCTATTTCATATGGATGCGACCATGGTGGATCTTTTGTTGGTAAACAATGTATGCTTCTGAAAGAACATTCAACTCTTGACTCATTACATACAGAACGGCACATTTACTTCTGGTTACTTTACAGACAGCTGCCAGGGGGAAATGTCATCTTTCTGATGACTCTTGTTATCAGGTCCAATAATCCATGATGTGACAACACAGGGTCCTTTCATTTTTCAAATCAGAACGTCTTACCATGTTGACCTTTTGGGGACACATAAGTGACCACAATTCCCTTAAAGACAGATCTTATTTTCCTAACCCCGATATCTCTGATAAATACAAGAGGGTAGTGGTGGTCGGGTGAGAGTGGTCCCACCATTTAAAAAATGCTGGATCCACCCATGCTGTATGCGAATGTCCGACAAGCCATGCATGAGTTTGAGAGTAACCGTGGTAACCATGACGTTGTTTTGTAGAGAGAAGAATGTGTGTGCAGGAAAGCGAGGAAGAGGATCGAACTGGGCCCTTGGTAAGGAGCAGTTCAAAAGTTACTTGCCAAATAAATATCTAAGGGAGCGGATGTCATGGCCTGCTTGTGTTGTGGCCAGCAGTGTCAGTGGCAGCAACAGTAACTAACAGGCGATTTTACGAAACGTCTCTGCACTCAGATGTTCAGAATTTGTCACTGTCGAATGTCTTGAATGAGGCAGGTGGTCCATTCTTGAATCCAGGAAACTGTTTGAAGCAGGCAATAAGTCCATGTTATCCAGTAGGTATTCCGTCTGCACAGAGCGAGTAGATTAAATGGAAGTCAGGTCGCAGAAGGCTTCAAATCAACCTCTCCTAGCTCTTATATGAGTGCAGCCAGACTTCTAGAGACTTACCTCATGAAGCAGGTAATACATCCCAGTATCAAAAATAACTCAAGGTCGTAACTCCAGTTTGCAAAGGTAGATAACTGAGGTTGTTGCAGACCACTATTAAAGCTTGAGATTTTACAAACGCCCCAATCTGCTGCCATTAACAATCATCGGGAATAAACGTTTAATACATCAACTGCCACACAGCACAATGGTATTTCGTCTTTTCCTTAGGATACCATGGTGTTCAGTCTACAGGTGACGACCATCTGACAGATGATGCTATGGAGTGTCTGAGGAAAGAAGTGGAAAGGTACGGAGTCAGCTCATTGAAACGTTGGCACTGGGTGATCAGATATCTATCATGTTACTGTTAGACGGAGTGAGTGAGTGAGTATGGTTTTCGCCGCTTTTAGCAATATTCCAGCAATATCATGGCTGGGGACACCAGAAATGGGCTTCACGCATTGTACCCATGTCGGGAATCGAACCCAGGTCTTCGACGTGATGAGCGAACGCATTAACCACAAGGCTACCCGACCGCCCCTGTCAGACGGATGTTGATATAGCACATGTACTCATGGCGCCTGTATTATTATAGAAACCATGCTGACACCAAGGTCAATACATCAGAGTCCTGTAGATGTTCCTCCATCACCCCTTAATACATCGGCTGCTTTGCAGAGTGGTGTATTCTAACCTGCGAATCAAGTCTGCTCTCGGGGAGAGGATGGCAGTGTGTGCACTGACCACTGAGTGATCGTGTTACATCATCGTCAAGGGCAGTGTTTCTCCCATGGTTCTTGGCCTCCACTGGCTCTACCCGTTGCTTCAATGTCAGGCAGTTGTAGGATGCACTGAGTTGAGGTGATTTGCCTTCTGTGAGTTGTGACCTTCTGCAGCCTCGTTTCATTAGCTGACTGGGGTGGTGGGGTAGCCGAGTGGTTAAGGTGCTCGCTCATCAAGCCGTGGACTGGGTTCAGTTCCCCACGTGGGTACAATATGTGACTTCTGGTGTCCCCAGCTGCGATATTGCTGGAATGTTCCTAAAAGTGGTGTTAGACTTTACTTACACACTGCCTCTGTAGCTGACTAAAAATGTGTGCGCACAAAGCAGAGTACCTGTGAAGTTTTCACCGCTCCCTATTGCCTCTGTACTCCCGTGTATGTCATCCCATTGATTGCAGGATTTGCATGCCAACTCGACCTAAACAGATATTTTCCCACTCTTTTCACATTTTTAGTCAAGATGCTCAAGTGATTTGATATATGGCTCATCTTCCTGAGGCAAGAGAGTTTGAACTGAGTCCAATTTCCACCCTTGCCGAACTAGGCTGGAATTCCTGGGCTCAATCGTAGCACCACCAATGGTTATTATGAGTTATGTCCCTTCTGGGCCTTTCCTATGGACCAATTCGATTCAATCACTTGCATTTGTTTCAAACAAAATGGCGGTGCCCAGTCAAGATGATCTGATCGATAATCAAGATCTATATTGTGATAAAACGGGTCTTACATCGCGAAGGTTTGGAAAATATCTGTTGACAAGGAGTTGGCGGTGTGCATGTTTTGCAAATCCTGCAAATCTACCAAAATCTGCACGACAGTTTACGAACCAGATTTCGATTTCGTTGTGCGATTTTGATTGGACTATGCATGGACTCGTTAGTCCAGCCAAAATGTAACTCCATAATACCAGCCTAGTTCGGCAAGGGTGGAAACTGGACTTTTAAAGTCAGTTAACTCTCTTGCCTTGGGAAGATGTATATCGCTGTGTATAAGGCAAGCTTTTCGTACATACGATCGAGCCATCAATTCCAGCTAAATTTGGCAAGGGTGGAAACTAGACTTGTATAGTCAGTTAACTCCCTTGCCTCAGACAGTTGTATTGAACATGACTCTTTCCTCCTCAGGTGCGACCACTACATGGGGGTGGTGCTGATGCACAGTCTGAGTGGGGGCACAGGGTCAGGTAGGTGACATCGGCATGTGTGATGGGGGTGGTGCACAGTCTGAGTGGGGGCACAGGGTCAGGTAGGTGACATCGGCATGTGTGATGGGGGTGGTGCACAGTCTGAGTGGGGGCACAGGGTCAGGTAGGTGACATCGGCATGTGTGATGGGGGTAGTGCACAGTCTGAGTGGGGGCACAGGGTCAGGTAGGTGACATCGGCATGTGTGATGGGGGTGGTGCACAGTCTGAGTCGGGGCACAGGGTCAGGTAGGTGACATCGGCATGTGTGATGGGGGTGGTACACAGTCTGAGTGGGGGCACAGGGTCAGGTAGGTGACATCGGCATGTGTGATGGGGGTGGTGCACAGTCTGAGTGAGGGGTCAGGTAGGTGACATCGGCATGTGTGATGGGGGTGGTGCACAGTCTGAGTCGGGGCACAGGGTCAGGTAGGTGACATCGGCATGTGTGATGGGGGTGGTGCACAGTCTGAGTGGGGGCACAGGGTCAGGTAGGTGACGTCGGCATGTGTGATGGGGGTGGTACACATTCTGAGGTGGGCACAGGGTCAGGTAGGTGACATCGGCATGTGTGATGGGGGTGGTACACAGTCTGAGTCAGGGCACAGGGTCAGGTAGGTGACATCCGCATGTGTGATGGGGGTGATGCACAGTCTGAATGGGGGCACAGGGTCAGGTAGGTGACATCGGCATGTGTGATGGGGGTGGTGCACAGTCTGAGTCGGGGCACAGGGTCAGGTTGGTGACATCGGCATGTGTGATGGGGGTGGTGCACAGTCTGAGTGGGGGCACAGGGTCAGGTAGGTGACATCGGCATGTGTGATGGGGGTGGTGCACAGTCTGAGTGGGGGCACAGGGTCAGGTAGGTGACATCGGCATGTGTGATGGGGGTGGTGCACAGTCTGAGTGGGGGCACAGGGTCAGGTAGGTGACATCGGCATGTGTGATGGGGGTGGTGCACAGTCTGAGTGGGGGCACAGGGTCAGGTAGGTGACATCGGCATGTGTGATGGGGGTGGTACACAGTCTGAGTTGGGGCACAGGGTCAGGTAGGTGACATCGGCATGTGTGATGGGGGTGGTGCACAGTCTGAGTGGGGGCACAGGGTCAGGTAGGTGACATCGGCATGTGTGATGGGGGTGGTGCACAGTCTGAGTGGGGGCACAGGGTCAGGTAGGTGACATCGGCGTGTGTGATGGGGGTGGTGCACAGTCTGAGTGGGGGCACAGGGTCAGGTAGGTGACATCGGCATGTGTGATGGGGGTGGTGCACAGTCTGAGTGGGGGGTCAGGTAGGTGACATCGGCATGTGTGATGGGGGTGGTACACAGTCTGAGTGGGGGCACAGGGTCAGGTAGGTGACATCGGCATGTGTGATGGGGGTGGTGCACAGTCTGAGTGGGGGCACAGGGTCAGGTAGGTGACATCGGCATGTGTGATGGGGGTGGTGCACAGTCTGAGTGGGGGGTCAGGTAGGTGACATTGGCATGTGTGATGGGGGTGGTGCACAGTCTGAGTGGGGGGTCAGGTAGGTGACATCGGCATGTGTGATGGGGGTGGTGCACAGTCCGAGTGAGGGGTCAGGAAGGAGACATCGGCATGTGTGATGGGGGTGATGCACAGTCTGAATGGGGGCACAGGGTCAGGTAGGTGACATCGGCATGTGTGATGGGGGTAGTGCACAGTCTGAGTGGGGGCACAGGGTCAGGTAGGTGACATCGGCATGTGTGATGGGGGTGGTGCACAGTCTGAGTGGGGGGTCAGGTAGGTGACATCGGCATGTGTGATGGGGGTAGTGCACAGTCTGAGTGGGGGGTCAGGTAGGTGACATCGGCATGTGTGATGGGGGTGGTGCACAGTCTGAGTGGGGGGTCAGGAAGGAGACATCGGCATGTGTGATGGGGGTGATGCACAGTCTGAATGGGGGCACAGGGTCAGGTAGGTGACATCGGCATGTGTGATGGGGGTGATGCACAGTCTGAGTGGGGGCACAGGGTCAGGTAGGTGACATCGGCATGTGTGATGGGGGTGGTGCACAGTCTGAGTGGGGGCACAGGGTCAGGTAGGTGACATCGGCATGTGTGATGGGGGTGGTACACAGTCTGTGTGGGGGGTCAGGTAGGTGACATCAGTATGTGTGATGGGGGTGGTGCACAGTCTGTGTGGGGGGTCAGGTAGGTGACGTCAGTATGTGTGATGTGGGTTGTGCACAGTCTGAGTGGGGGGTCAGGTAGATGACATCAGTATGTGTGATGTGGGTTGTGCACAGTCTGAGTGGGGGGTCAGGTAGGTGACGTCGGCATATGTAAGTTTTTACAAAGTATTGATTCTTTTTGAATGATGGAGAACAGCATTAAATATACATTGATTTTCAGTTATTGAGAGATCTGCATTGCCATACAAAACTAATTTAAAACAAATCTGATAGCTGCTTGCTACTATAGAAATCTCATTCATCTTTTACTCTGATATATCTCACATGGAAAACTCATGAAAGGTCCTGTGTGTGCACTGTAGCCTGTGGGGGTCAATATGTTGTAGGCCTCGGCTCCCGGCTGTGCGAGCTGATCCGTGAGGAGTACCCGATGAACTATTTGATGTCCTGCGCCATTGCTCCATGTGTCAGTGGAGAGAGTCCACTACAGCACTACAACTCTCTCCTCACTCTCTCCCATCTACACAGGTACACTACAACTCTCTCCTCACTCTCTCCCATCTACACAGGTACACTACAACTCTCTCCTCACTCTCTCCCATCTACACAGGTACACTACAACTCTCTCCTCACTCTCTCCCATCTACACTGGTACACTACAACTCTCTCTCTCTCTCTCTCCCATCTACACTGGTACAACACTACAACTCTCTCCTCACTCTCTCCCATCTACACAGGTACACTACAACTCTCTCTCTCTCTCTCTCCCATCTACACAGGTACAACACTACAACTCTCTCCTCACTCTCTCCCATCTACACAGGTACACTACAACTCTCTCTCTCTCTCTCTCCCATCTACACAGGTACAACACTACAACTCTCTCCTCACTCTCTCCCATCTACACAGGTACACTACAACTCTCTCCTCACTCTCTCCCATCTACACAGGTACACTACAACTCTCTCCTCCCTCTCTCCCATCTACACTGGTACACTACAACTCTCTCCTCACTCTCTCCCATCTACACAGGTACACTACAACTCTCTCCCCACTCTCTCCAACTACACAGATACACTACAACTCTCTCCTCACTCTCTCCCATCTACACAGGTACAACACTACAACTCTCTCCTCACTCTCTCCCATCTACACAGGTACACTACAACTCTCTCCCCACTCTCTCCCATCTACACAGGTACACTACAACTCTCTCCTCACTCTCTCCCATCTACACAGGTACACTACAACTCTCTCCTCACTCTCTCCCATCTACACAGGTACACTACAACTCTCTCCTCACTCTCTCCCAACTACACAGATACACTACAACTCTCTCTCTCTCTCTCTCCCATCTACACAGGTACACTACAACTCTCTCCTCACTCTCTCCCATCTACACAGGTACACTACAACTCTCTCCTCACTCTCTCCCATCTACACTGGTACACTACAACTCTCACCTCACTCTCTCCCATCTACACAGGTACACTACAACTCTCTCCTCACTCTCTCCAACTACACAGATACACTACAACTCTCTCCTCACTCTCTCCAACTACACAGGTACACTACAACTCTCTCCTCACTCTCTCCCATCTACACAGGTACAGCACTACAACTCTCTCCTCACTCTCTCCAACTACACAGATACACTACAACTCTCTCCTCACTCTCTCCAACTACACAGATACACTACAACTCTCTCCTCACTCTCTCCCATCTACACAGGTACACTACAACTCTCTCCTCACTCTCTCCCATCTACACAGGTACACTACAACTCTCTCTCTCTCTCTCTCTCTCTCTCTCTCTCCCATCTACACAGGTACACTACAACTCTCCTCACTCTCTCCCATCTACACAGGTACACTACAACTCTCTCCTCACTCTCTCCCATCTACACAGGTACACTACAACTCTCTCTCTCTCTCTCTCTCTCCCATCTACACAGGTACAACACTACAACCCTCTCCTCACTCTCTCCCATCTACACAGGTACACTACAACTCTCTCCTCACTCTCTCCCATCTACACAGGTACACTACAACTCTCTCCTCACTCTCTCCCATCTACACAGGTACACTACAACTCTCTCTCTCTCTCTCTCCCATCTACACAGGTACAACACTACAACTCTCTCGTCACTCTCTCCCATCTACACAGGTACACTACAACTCTCTCTCTCTCTCTCCCATCTACACAGGTACACTACAACTCTCTCTCTCTCTCTCTCCCATCTACACAGGTACAACACTACAACTCTCTCCCCACTCTCTCCCATCTACACAGGTACACTACAACTCTCTCTCTCTCTCTCTCCCATCTACACAGGTACAACACTACAACTCTCATCACTCTCTCCCATCTACACAGGTACACTACAACTCTCTCTCTCTCTCTCTCCCATCTACACAGGTACACTACAACTCTCCTCACTCTCTCCCATCTACACAGGTACACTACAACTCTCTCCTCACTCTCTCCCATCTACACAGGTACAACACTACAACTCACTCTCTCTCTCTCTCCCATCTACACAGGTACAACACTACAACTCTCTCCTCACTCTCTCCCATCTACACAGGTACACTACAACTCTCTCTCTCTCTCTCTCGTCACTCTCTCCCATCTACACAGGTACACTACAACTCTCTCTCTCTCTCTCTCCCATCTACACAGGTACAACACTACAACTCTCTCGTCACTTTCTCTCATCTACACACTGTCAGGTACAACACTACAACTCTCTCTCTCTCTCTCTCCCATCTACACAGGCACACTACATCTCTCTCTCCCTCCCATCTACACAGGCACACTACAACTCTCTCTCTCTCCCATCTACACAGGCACACTACAACTCTCGGTGTATAATTCCAGGTACACTGATGGTGTGGTTCTAATGCATAATGATGAGATTTTGCGGAAGCTTCAAAAGAGAAATGAGAAAAGTGTCTCATTCAGTGCCATGAATCAGAGCATTGCAAACAGCCTGTGTGGCGTGTTCCTGCCGACAGAGTCGCTTACTCCCAGCAGGTTGTACACAGTTGTCTCCCCTTCATGTCATTAAACTTTTCCATTCATTCATATAATTCAACTTAAAAAAGAATTTTACACCAAACTACTGTCAATATAAATGTCACAATTACTCAACATAATGTTTTTAATCCAAGCTACACTTCAGCATTTTCATTTTGAAAAAAAACCTATGAATGTTTAATTGGACATTTCATTATTAGTGGCTGCAGCACAGGCATGGAACCCTGGGATATGGTGCGGACATTATGCCCAATGCCATCACTCAAGTTTATTCACATTCTACAACACGCAAGAAGGTCAGTGTCTGCACAATTCGATGTAAATACCGGTACTCCATCTTCCTGCTGAGTATTCCAAAGGTTTACTGTTATCCACTAGGTTTCCGAGAGAAAACAGGTCCAAAGTTTCCCCTGATCCTCTAGGTTTCTGAGAGAAAAGAGGTCCAAAGTTTCCCCTGATCCTCTAGGTTTCCGGAAGAAAACAGGTCCAAAGTTTCCCCTGATCCTCCAGGTTTCCGGGAGAAAACAGGTCCAAAGTTTCCCCTGATCCTCCAGGTTTCCGGGAGAAAACAGGTCCAAAGTTTCCCCTGATCCTCTAGGTTTCCGGGAGAAAACAGGTCCTAAGTTTCCCCTGATCCTCCAGGTTTCCGGGAGAAAACAGGTCCAAAGTTTCCCCTGATCCTCCAGGTTTCCGGGAGAAAACAGGTCCTAAGTTTCCCCTGATCCTCCAAGTTTCCGAGAGAAAACAGATCCTAAGTTTCCCCTGATCCTCCAGGTTTCCAAGAGAAAACAGGTCCTAAGTTTCCCATGATCCTCCAGGTTTCCAAGAGAAAACAGGTCCTAAGTTTCCCCTGATCCTCCAAGTTTCCGAGAGAAAACAGGTCCTAAGTTTCCCATGATCCTCCAGGTTTCCAAGAGAAAACAGGTCCTAAGTTTCCCCTGATCCTCTAGGTTTCCAAGAGAACACAGGTCCTAAGTTTCCTCTGATCCTCCAGGTTTCCAAGAGAAAACAGGTCCTAAGTTTCCCCTGATCCTCCAGGTTTCCAAGAGAAAACAGGTCCTAAGTTTCCCATGATCCTCCAGGTTTCCAAGAGAAAACAGGTCCTAAGTTTCCCCTGATCCTCCAGGTTTCCAAGAGAAAACAGGTCCTAAGTTTCCCATGATCCTCCAGGTTTCGAAGAGAAAACAGGTCCTCAGTTTCCCATGATCCTCCAGGTTTCCAAGAGAAAACAGGTCCTAAGTTTCCCCTGATCCTCCAGGTTTCCGAGAGAAAACAGGTCCTAAGTTTCCTCTGATCCTCCAGGTTTCCGAGAGAAAACTGGCACTAAGTTTCCCCTGATCCTCCAGGTTTCCGAGAGAAAACAGGTCCTAAGTTTCCTCTGATCCTCCAGGTTTCTGAGAGAAAACAGGTCCTTAGTTTCCCCTGATCCTCCAGGCTTCCGAGAGAAAACAGGTCCTAAGTTTCCCCTGATCCTCCAGGTTTCCGAGAGAAACCAGGTCCTAAGTTTCCTCTGATCCTCCAGGTTTCCGAGAGAAAACAGGTCCTAAGTTTCCTCTGATCCTCCAGGTTTCTGTAAGGGCCATCTGAAGTGAGGATTGGGTGTTTAGGAAGTGTGACCTGACTGACTGTCATCCTACTGGGATGGCATGGATCATTGCTATAAAGTTACATGCTGTTGACAGTGTTCCTGGCTTGATCTGATTATTTACACCACTGTCATATAGATGGAATAGTGCTGACACCGGCAACACTCACTCATACATGTGATCTGATTATTTACACCACTGTCACATAGATGGAATAGTGCTGACACCAGCAACACTCACCTCACTCATACATGAGATCTGATTATTTACACCACTGTCATATAGATGGAATAGTGCGGACACCAGCAACACTCACTCATACATGTGATCTGATTATTTACACCACTGTCACATAGATGGAATAGTGCTGACACCAGCAACACTCACTCACACATGTGATCTGATTATTTACACCACTGTCACATAGATGGAATTGTGCTGACACCGGCAACACTCACTCATACATGTGATCTGATTATTTACACCACTGTCACATAGATGGAATAGTGCTGACACCGGCAACACTCACTCATACATGTGATCTGATTATTTACACCACTGTCACATAGATGGAATAGTGCTGACACCGGCAACACTCACTCATACATGTGATCTGATTATTTACACCACTGTCATATAGATGGAATAGTGCTGACACAAGCAACACTCACTCATACATGTGATCAGATTATTTACACCACTGTCACATAGATGGAATAGTGCTGACACCAGCAACACTCACTCATACATGTGATCTGATTATTTACACCACTGTCATATAGATGGAATAGTGCTGACACCAGCAACACTCACTCATACATGTGATCTGATTATTTACACCACTGTCACATAGATGGAATAGTGCTGACACCAGCAACACTCACTCATACATGTGATCTGATTATTTACACCACTGTCATATAGATGGAATAGTGCTGACACCGGCAACACTCACTCATACATGTAATCTGATTATTTACACCACTGTCATATAGAAGGAATAGTGCTGACACCAGCAACACTCACTCATACATATGATCTGATTATTTACACCACTGTCATATAGATGGAATAGTGCTGACACCAGCAACACTCACTCATACATGTGATCTGATTATTTACACCACTGTCACATAGATGGAATAGTGCTGACACCAGCAACACTCACTCATACATGTGATCTGATTATTTACACCACTGTCATATAGATGGAATAGTGCTGACACCAGCAACACTCACTCATACATGAGATCTGATTATTTACACCACTGTCATATAGATGGAATAGTGCTGACACCAGCAACACTCACTCATACATGAGATCTGATTATTTACACCACTGTCACATAGATGGAATAGTGCTGACACCAGCAACACTCACTCATACATGTGATCTGATTATTTACACTACTGTCATATAGATGGAATAGTGCTGACACCAGCAACACTCACTCATACATGTGATCTGATTATTTACACCACTGTCATATAGATGGAATAGTGCTGACACCAGCAACACTCACTCATACATTTGTTCTGTACATCATATATACTACTCAAAAGAAGTTAAACAGCACCCACAATTGGAAGGGTTCATGTTGCAATACCCACCATCCATGACAGATTAACTATAGTCATTTGAAAAAAACGGTGATGTCTGACTTCTTTTGAGTAGGATATATTCTTAATTGTGTCCCTGTTCGGATGTACACGTTAAAACCATTCTCTGTTATTAATCAGTGTTCCAAAGTAAGTGTCCAGCCTGGACATGTGTACTTGATCTTGTATGTCCTGTAGTACTTGAGTCTAGGGACCCCCTGAGTCTTGAAGTTTTGACATTAGTGTCAATGTTTTATTCTACCACGACATTGAAGAATGCTTGATTCTGATTGGTTAAAATGAGGTATCCTTTTGCTACAAAAACTTTGCAATTTCTGGTAATTGCTGACTAACTAATAACACTAGCTTAAATAAATAGTAGAAATTAAAACATCTCTCTTTGGACTAAGTTTGGGGGTTATTTGTCAACTTCATTTTCAAAGACTATGTGTTTTGAACACTTATTTTGAACTAGTTAAGACTATGGGTATTTTAATGTTGAACTTGAGTAATATTTGTACATATAAAACTACCTGTGACCCCTTTTTGGAATGTTCTTAGATAGGTGACCTTTGCGTTTGTTTCCAAATTAAAATACGAGGTATCTATTCTACAGTGGGACTACATCAAACTTCAAAACACATCAGTAGGTTTATGTCCTATGTGACTGTTGCCTGTGTTTCCCTGTGAGTGAGCTATGTTGTTCTGTGTGCAGCAAGGTGGGCTGGGACAGACTGGCGACTCAGACCCTCCACTCCCTCCAGCGCTACAACACCCACGGGAAACCTGTATCCTTCACACAACATGGAGCTCCAGGAGGCTCCCTGCCATCCATACACAGGTTACACTTAGTTCTTTCCTCTGTAGGGGGCACGGGTGGCCCAGTTGTCTAAGGCGCCGCGATTCGCTGTGCAGAGTTGCGTCCCTTGGGCACACCAGAAACCTATGATTGTGGGTTCGAATCCCGATTCGCCCCGATTATGTTTCCAGGTTTGTCAGCACCATACCCGTGCTCGTGGGTTTCACCGAAGTGGTAAACATCTGAGACCAGCATCACTTCGGGCTTTCCTCCCACATTAAGCTGATACGCCGTGATATAACTGGAATACTGTTAAAAGCGGCGTTAAACCCAACTCACTCACTCACTCACCGAAGTGGTAAACGTCTGAGACCTGCATCACTTCGGGCTTTCCTCCCACATTAAGCTGACACGCTGCGATATAACTGGAATTCTGTTAAAAGCGGTGTTAAACCCAACTCACTCACTCACTCACTCACTCACTCCTCTGTGGTGGGTAGAAGAATATAAGGATATGAGTATGTCTCAGTATATCAGTTATGCACGGTGGGACAGCTGAATGTTGGAGGACAGACTGAAGTGATGGACATAACAGATGTTTTTGAAGACTGGTGCTGACAGACCAAGGTCGGCACCTGTGAAGATCCTGACTGGAATAGGTCTTCAGCAACCCATGCTTGCTGTAAGAGGTGACTATGCTTGTCGTAAGAGGCGACTAACGGGATCAGGTGGTCAGACTCGCTGACTTGGTTGATGCATGTCATCGTATCCCGATTGTGTGACCACCATCATTGTTCATTATCAGACAACTGTTGAATTGCACTTCATATTAGGTCGCACAAATTAGGATGTTTCTACATTACAGCTGTCATTTTCCTGATTGTGTAAGTTTAAGAGTGTAGCCAATCTTGTGGTGGGTCGAGGTGACAGCTCCCAAAGTTTCCTGGCAGCCATGAAGCGAGGGGTGGAGGACAAGATCAAGTCCTCCTACAGTTGTGTGGCGTGGAACCCCATGCCTGTTGATTACTGGTCAGGTGAGCTTCAAAGGTTGAGATGAGGTCCTATAGCTGTGTTGCCTGGAACCCTGTGTCTGTAGACCTCAGGTCAGGTGAGCTTCAGAGGACGAGATGAGGTCCTATAGCTGTGTGGCCTGGAAACTTGTGTCTGTAGACCTCAGGTCAGGTGAGCTTCAGAGGACGAGATGAGGTCCTATAGCTGTGTGGCCTGGAAACTTGTGTCTGTAGACCTCAGGTCAGGTGAGCTTAAGAGGACGAGATGAGATCCTGGAGCTGTGTGGCCTGGAACCCTGTTTCTGTAGATCTCAGATCAGGTGAGCTTCAGTAGAACTAGGTCCCAGTCCTATGGTGTGGTTTGGAAAAAAAACCATGCCTATAGACTTCCGGTCAGGTGACCATCAGGGGACTTGGTCCATTCCTATGGTGTGGAAGCCCATGCCAGTAGACTTCTGAGCTAATAATGTTATCCAAACTCCATTCTTGTAATCAGGACATCGTGGGGGTTCCAAAACCCCATGCTCCTTGTTTCAGCCCACCAAAATGAGGATTGGTTGGTCACAATGTGTGACCTGGCCGATGGTTCCTCACTGCAACAAGGGGGAACACCCAGTAACACTGTACCACATGCTTGTATCAAGAGTGAGTGAATTCTTTCAGTGACGCTTTGTTACATTAAGGTGTTACTCTGGTGAGGCTAGGATGGCTTTCAACCACTGGCGTGCCTGGTGAACTGCGGCGTAAAATAAAACTCACTCACTCACTCAGTTGTTTACAGGCCACCTGAGATGACTGACATGTTTTAACTGCTGCGTAAAACAAAACTCACTCACTCACTGCAGTGTTCTGAAAATGAAGTTGCAGACTGTTGCAGAAGTTCTGCTTGCTCAGAGTATTTAGTCCTAGGCCAAGAGCAAGAAAAGCCTCTTTCTGTTAAGATCGCAAAAAATCAATAAAAGTGTTATCCAGGAATTTGTATGACACCTCCCACCCTCCAGAAATTCTTCTCAGTATGGAACTAGCCACAGAATGTATCAGGTTACAATTAATACACAACCAAGGTTTTCACCATTTCTTGACCCACACAGCCCCATGGTTCAGACACAGCATCACATGCAGACCATGATGACATAGGTTACTACGTGTCCTGATTCACTAAGTAGTTTAACAGACTACTAAATGAACTAATTACAAATAGGAAAGAAAACATTCTTCAATATATTGAGATACAGCTCATAAAATAAGAAAGTGATATTTGGCTCACATGTGATTTGTTTCTTGTGTAATTGCACTTGATGTCAACAGTCTGTAAATCTCCCGGTCTCCTGTGTGTGTACTCTACTTTACCTTGGTAATATTTAATCATTTTAAAACAATGCACATATTAATCATTTATAGTGCTTAATTACAAACCAACGTTGCCCCCATTCGTCCACATACTGTCATTGTTTGTTGTGCTGTTATTATTTATGTACTTTGTGTATTATTGTCACTGTTTCTGTAGGCAATGAAATATCTGACAAACTTAATGTGTACAACTATGAATAAATATGCCAATTATTTGAACACATATTCAAAACACTTAATGCAGAATAGAATATATACATAATATGGTTGTACTGTTAGTAGACATTTTAACTTTTCATATGGTCATTCACATTGTGCATATATCCTGTAACTGCCATTCTTTCTTCTCCTCGCTTCGTTTCAAAACAGCAAACCCAACCATATAAATATAAACCATGTGGTCTAATGGAGGCTGACAGGCACCTGTGTTCTACAGGAACCAGCCATGCAGTGGGTGATAGGGCAGGGGGTATCATATTTACTTGATGATCTTCCCGAGGCAAGCGTGTCCACTAGCCTATATCAAAGCCTAGTTTCTACGTCTTCCCGAGGCAAGCGCGACCACTAGCCTATATCAAAGCCTAGTTTCTACGTCTTCCCGAGGCAAGCGTGTCCACTGGCCTATATCAAAGCCTAGTTTCTACGTCTTCCAGAGGCAAGCGTGTCCACTGGCCTATATCAAAGCCTAGTTTCTACGTCTTCCCGAGACAAGCGTGTCCACTGGCCTATATCAAAGCCTAGTTTCTACGTCTTCCCGAGACAAGCGTGTCCACTAGCCTATATCAAAGCCTAGTTTCTACGTCTTCCAGAGGCAAGGGTGTCCACTGGCCTATATCAAAGCCTAGTTTCTACGTCTTCCCGAGGCAAGCGTGTCCACTAGCCTATATCAAAGCCTTGTTTCTACGTCTTCCCGAGGCAAGCGTGTCCACTAGCCTATATCAAAGCCTAGTTTCTACGTCTTCCCGAGGCAAGCGTGTCCACTGGCCTATATCAAAGCCTAGTTTCTACGTCTTCCCGAGGCAAGCATGTCCACTAGCCTATATCAAAGCCTAGTTTCTACGTCTTCCCGAGGCAAGCATGTCCACTAGCCTATATCAAAGCCTAGTTTCTACGTCTTTCCGATGCAGGCGTGTACACTAGCCTATATCAAAGCCTAGTTTCTACATCTTCCCGAGGCAAGCGTGACCACTAGCCTATATCAAAGACTATGGATATGTGCGATATTCCAATCATATTTAGCACAGAAAAGTGGGCTTGATTGGCAAACGTGTAAACAAGACTTAAGGCTAGTTCACTCTCTTGCCTCGGGAAGAGTGTGTGATTGTTTCTCCACATTGTGCCAAGGAGTATATTGACAGGGTCAGGGATCACGACATTTACATAATTGTGAGGTCACTCGGTGGTCTCGATTTGATCCATCCACTGTTTGGTACAGCTATTGGTCAAAATGAGTGTTTGGTGTTTGTACGAGAAAAAATAAAAATAGTGTTATGGTCACATAAGAAAGTTGCATTTCTAAGATTCATATCTGAATTTTGTGAATATGATGTTCAGAGAGCCCTGTAATATGTATTTAAAACCATTATTCCGTTATCTTCAAATCTAATTTAATCAGTCCATAGAAAACAATATCTACATGGAATATAACTGGTGATGTTATTTTGCATAATGCTTCTGTCCTAGCGAGAAGAAATGCGCTCGGACCTCGAGACTCCTCCTCAATCACTATCGCTGCCAACTACGGGTCTGTCGTGGATTACCTTGAGACAGTCCTGGAGAGGTCGAAGGTCATGTTTGAGGCGGGAGCCTACCTGCACTGGTACGACCGATATGGCGTCTCCACGGTGAGCTGTTACTTTGACAACTGCTATATTGGAACCTGTGCCTCTATTAGCAGCATTTCTCCAGTAGTCTGCAGCACACAGATCTCCCGGTGTTTGTTCATCCCTATCACCATCTTTCGATCCATCACCTTCTCTTCCTCAAGGCTTGGGTCCACCAATAGGTGCTTGCCTTGTGTGAAGAAATTGAAAGTACAGATTATCAGTGTTCTGGAATGTGTGGAACATCTCGATACAGACTATGTTGCCAGTACCACTGCTTGGAATGGGAGTCTGCCAGTGAAGAGCACGTGATTAAATGTGCTGTCCTGTCGATGGCCTGGATCATTGCTCATGCTGTCACCCACTGGTCTGTGTTTCCAGTATATTTACAGGCCTCTATGATACAGCTGGAATATATTGCAGACCAAGCCAATCCCATACAGATGTCATTTCTAGATAAATAGATGGGATTTGTGAGACAAGTGGGGGATTGTCCCAATACAATTAATTTTTTTTACTTTCAGGACACATTTGAGGCAGCATTTGAAACTTTGTCATCAGTGATAGACGATTACAAAGAAGCTTTGTCCTGACCAACTTGGGCCACTACTGGAGGCCGTACTGGCATAATGGATGACCTGACATGTCTTGCTTTATGATTTGAATTACAATGTGGAGTGGATGGCACAATGGGGAGTAGATGGCACAATGGGGAGTAGATGGCACAATGGGGAGTGGATGGCACAATGGGGAGTGGATGGCACAATGGGGAGTGGATGGGGAGTGGATGGCACAATGGGGAGTGGATGGCACAATGGGGAGTAGATGGCACAATGGGGAGTGGATGGCACAATGGGGAGTAGATGGCACAATGGGGAGTGGATGGCACAATGGGGAGTAGATGGCACAATGGGGAATAGATGGCACAATGGGGAGTGGATGGCACAATGGGGAGTGGATGGCACAATGGGGAGTGGATGGTGCCCAGGAAAGGGGGGGGAGTTCAGCATTGGTATCTGGCAGTGTGCCCTTTGACAAACATTGTGCAGTTCGAGTTAATCTTGAAACCAGATTTGCGAAAGTTTTCCTTAGGCGAGACGTGTGTGCTCTCACATACTTTCATGTCCAGAAGACTGTGGGTGCCTGTATCTGTTTCAATCATACGGGCAGCTCTACTGACAAATGAGAAACAAAGCCTGGTTTGATAGCAGATGAAAATACTTTCTTTTGCCTTTCAGGGTGATATGATGGGGCATCACAGTTGACAAAAGTTACTAAAACTAACAAAATAATCCCCCAAACAGACTCCTGCTAGGACTGCTAGTTGAATTGTTTCTTCATTTGGCCTTCCTGAGCCCCGCTGTCATTGTAGTAAAGTGAGTGACTTGGTGAGGTGAAATGGGATTTGACGTTGTGGTCAAAATAAATTCATCTTATACCAACATGCAATTCATATGTGTGTGTGGTTGTTTATACTAGTGCAAGCTTATGCCAGCGCTAAGGTGCTGAACTACCGAGATATCATGCTGCAGTTTAGAATGGATTCCTCACACAGACACAATTTATTGACTTCGAGCCGGTCTTGTTTTGTCCCCTTAATGCTGGTGGCAGGCAGGGTAACAACAAGTACCATATTTTACCTCTTTGGTAAGATGAGGTCATGCGATCAAGCGACATTTCGCTCTCCAGATGGGAATCTTACTTTGACTGTTTTTACGTCTTGAATTGTATTAAAGCATGTACGTTAACCATCTAAACATGACAACGTGAAAAAAATACAGGTGTATAATTGAGAACCCTTCATATTTAGCTCACCTTGCTGAAAGCCGAGTGAGGTTGTGTCGTAGCACATGTCAGCCTTTTCGTTAACTATACATTTTCAAAATGTCCTCTGAAACTATATGGTTTATGGAGCTTCAACTGTTTGCCCGTTACCTTGGCATTTCTGCATGTATAATTGTGAAATCTGGTATGCACGTATGGGGTATGCGGAATTCCATATAATGTTGTGGCATATTTGTATCCCAGCCATTGTGTCTCTAAAGATTGCCCACATAATTACAGCCTGACCGTCATTATGTCTTCAAAATTCAGGCGAGCTACATATCATTGTGGCTCAGTTTTTTATCTGAAACTCACAGTTAAGCAAAAGAACGCATGGCAGACTTCTTGTCTCGAAAATGGATCCCTGGGCTCTCCAATCATCGTGGGTTTTTTTAAACCAAAAGGCCACGGTGAGCAATTCACGGTGACAGGGGTTGTTTCATTGTCACATGGCACGGTGCACGGTTTCAATATACAGTAAACTACGGTTATAACGAACACGCTTATAACGAACTGACGGATATAACGAACTTATTTTTTTTGTCCCGACTATTTGCTGTAGTTATGCTGTATATATGCTTATAACGAACTACGGTTATAACGAACTAAAATTAGTTGTCCCTTTGAGTTCGTTATAACCGTACTTTACTGTAATACCACATTCAGGCTCGATCTGGTGACCATGCAGTTATGACATGTCCCTTCTCCACAGGAATGGAGTCGTGATCAACACCTTCGTTTCACTATCTACGGCCAAGTGTCATATCTCGGTGCCGCAGTTCGATCTGATTATGACCCTGGGAATATCGGCATCATATACGCGTGCTTGTTAGCGTCCGTGACCTACGTCACTGTCACGTCCTCCCACGTTCATGATGATACTAAAACAAGCGTTAACCCAGCCCCACTTTTACGCACTCATACCTATCGCGGACCCGTGAAGTTCCGGGGTAGAAAAGGTCCTCAGCAACCCATGCTTGCCGTAAAAGGCGACTAACGGGATCTGGTGGTCAGGCTTGATGACTTGCTTGATGCATGTCATCGTATCCCAATTGCGTGGATCGATGCTCATGATGTGAATCACTGGATTGTCTGGTCCAGACTCGAATATTTACAGACCGCCGCCATTGCTGTTATACAACGAACAAACAACAACATCACCGCCTTTCCATATCATCTTCTTGTCGCCTGAGATAGACGAGTCACTGCCTCATGCATCACTTCCATGCCGCCGTGAAGTAGTTGCAGTTGCTGACGATGGTGCTTATTCGTTTTCTCCCCTACTACGGTAAATCTAGTTTTCTCCCTGGGTTTGCCTTGGCATGCGCGATCTTCGAGATTATACCAATTCATGAAACTTTAACCCGGCTGGTGTGAACGACTCGTACTGCCACGACTGGTCAGCTAAATCAACTGGGAGACAAGCATACTGTCGATTAAATTAACGTCAGTTCAATCAAGTACGTTAACTGTTGATCTGGCGGCGCTATGCCTACCTCACTGGCGAGCGGGGCCGACCGTCTTGTATTCTGGGAGGTGTGCGTGTGTGTGCGTGCGTGTGTGTGTGTGCGTGCGTGTGTTGTGGTGTGTTGGAAGGGGGGATACTTAGTATGAATGCGACCATGGCTGTATTGAATGTGAGATAGACACAATGCTCTGGCATGACAGTCTGTAGAATATTGGCGGTGTCGTGTGAGCGAGTGTCCTACGTCATTTGTCCGGCGTGAGGGTATTATGTGCCGCAATCTGAGTCGCCTGATGCTTACATCCGGGTTCTCAGATTGCTCCCTGAGTGTACGTTGTTATTGCACGTCATTGTGCAGTAGACCACAAGCAGTCTCTATTACCTGCATAATGTTTTCAAACATAATTTAGAAAAATCAGAGGTATATTCTTTTCTCTTCCTTGGTGTGTTCCGAATGCATGAAAACCCCCGGAAACACAGATATTCGAAACGTTATTAGATTTGATATCATTCTTGAACAATGTTTTCTATTTATTTATTTTTGTTGCCTTTTGTTTGTTTGTTTAATATTACATGATACATTATTTATATGATATGAAAAAAAATCGCGACTACTCCAGTCTAGGAGTGCAGTTGTTCTACCCACCTGTGCTAGAGACAACCTCACCCTACCCATGACCTATCACACCTGTTCCACTGTTGCCTGATTTGAAGGAGATTCTCGTTATACGTCGTCAAAACGTTTGTGTGTGAATAGTTTATAATGTCGCTAGGTTGTTTGTCATGTGATACTTCATGTATGGATTGAGTGGACCGAGTGTAGCTGTTTGAATCTGAGGTATATTATTGTGATTTGAAACCTGATGAATTGAAGCAACCAACTGATTCAGATTCTGACTTAGAGCTCCAAGCTGAATGTGGTGGTTTCATGTGCAAGTCATTAGACAACAAGTGAAGCGTTGAAACTTGACAGTTCGGTTACTGATACCTCACAGTGATGACATTTTATCATCTGTCTGGTGCACACGGTTCAGTTGGTTGCAGATCACGAGAAGCTGCTGCTGGTGGTTGGGGCTTTGTCCCTACGATTACGTTAGAAACGTCTATTGTCTTGAATGGCCATAAATCCGGTCCGAAGTACTCTTTTTCATAATATTCCAGGCTGGATAAAGTAGCAGAATAATAGTTCCGCTTAATGCAGAATTCTGCAGAATGCTGTGTATTCATTACCAGGATATCCACAGTGACAAATGTTTACATGTCTTAACTTATATCTTTGAGTCTGTATCTTATACAGTGAACCCCGTTTGTCCCGAATCCTGGCACACCAGGCGGTCACGGGATCCTCTACATTGTACTGTACGCGTTAATCTGGAAATGTGTTAATCCGGGCGACGTAACGTAAACATTAACGAGGTTTCAGTGTAACAAAAACGTGGCCTTGGAAAATCATGACCCACTTTCAGCTGCAGATATGTCATCGATCACGTGTGTCCAGCTATAGATGATTCATCGGTCACGTGTATCCAGCTGTAGGTGATTCATCGGTCACGTGTGTCCAGCTGAGCCTTGTCCCAAAAATTATTACCGCTGAAACGATCGTAGCTCTCAAAGAATCACACCAGAGACCATCTATTATATGGCCTCTGATCACACCTTCACAGAATGTATCCGCCACTACATACAGATACAATATTTGTGAGTTCGTATTTACTTTGTTTTTTATTCATGATATGATATATACAATATTATAGAGTACCCCCTCCATGCAAAAGACATCTTCCCTCTTCCCTCACACACAGTACGCCACGTACAGTGTACAATACACCCACTCACTTCTAGTTTCCCTCTTCAATTCATGTTTGTCCGCACGACCCCCGGGCCGTGGGTCTCCCCAGTGTACAACTAACGCCTATACCACCTGATTGACTTCGGGCTGTCCTCCCACATTAAGCTGACACGCCGTGATACAACTGGAATACTGCTCCAAGTGGCGTTAAACCCAACTCACTCACGTTTCACGAACAACCGATATTGCTACCGCTCAGTGCGGTTTGTGAAAGGAGTTTCCATTGGAAGATATTTTGGTATATGTGGTATTCAAAATTCTGTCGAAGAAAGCAAGTTCCGACATTTCTATATAGAAACAGTCTCTCTGATCGACGACAAACCCGTCCCCCCACACACTTTGAGGGACTTCCAACGTCCGACCCACAATGCAGTAGTCTCGCAGCTGGTGCAACAGCTGTTTAAAATACCGCACTTCTTCAAAGAAATCTGACCTTTGACTCCAAACCTTTTTCCAGAAGACTTTCCTGAAGTGATTGTACAGATCATAGTCAGCCCTGGATATGTTTCGGTGTTTACCGTAATGGTCCCGCGAGAACATCCACTGCTGGCGTCTGTTGTTCTTGTTGTGATGGAAATATAATATGTCCTTGAGACTCCAGCAGAAAATGCGTTTTAGAAGTACCAACGATTCGTCGAAGTATTCCATGAGCATGACCAAGTCGAAGTCCCCATCGAGGTGACTGATGTACGCCATGGCCTCCGTCCTGTTGGACAGCGCGGGGAGCGTGAAACCCATGTCGCAGGACTGGGAATTGCGGACACGGTCCATCCTGGACCTGACTGACCGTTGTCCCTCGTTGTCCAGATAATCCGCTATGGGATTCCTATGTTGGTGAAGGGACTCGTTTCTCCGCTTGTCAACCAACACGTAGTATTCATACGCCGACACGAACTGATCAAAAGGCTCCCTGAGTATTGAGATGTAGCGCGTGTCCTTTGGCATGATCTCACGAAATGCATCATGGTTATAGGTCACGTGGTTCCACAGAATGTCATAGCTCTCCCCGGGGGGCGGGGGAAGTATTCTGTCTCTAGACACGGTGTCACCCCATTGGCCAATATAGTTGTATGCGGATGTGTGTAACGGTTTTCTTGGCACCACAAAGTTGAGATTCCTGGTGAAGCCGAATCGCTGTATGATGTTGGCGACTGTAGAGCTTCCAGCTTTGTGGACCTTCAGAAAGGCTAGTTTAGTGACAGGGTGGCATTTGTCCGACCACCTGGGTTTGAACTCGACTCGGACCGGGTCGCCGTTGACGAAGTCGTAAGTCTCAAGAACAGGAACACTTGCGGTGTAGTTCCGACCAAC